AGGAGAGTTTGGTCCGTGATCCACGACCCAGTGTAAGGAAGTCGAAGTTGATAGCTGACAGAAGTACGACTTTAAGGGGTGTACAGCATTTGATAGAAAGGTGAAGAAACCACATTTACAATAATAAGTTCCCAATTATAATACTACTCTAATAATCCAGTTAAGAGTCATCTTTACCACAACTTCATCTCTTGACATTTCAACTTTCTTGAAAGAAATCGTAAATTTGACGCACAAACGGTTGGTGTTTTCAGGCCCACAGTAACAGCCTGTCATTGTTCTTTAGGCGTTGTTTAGCGGGTAAGCTAAAAACGAGCCCCAGAATACTTAGAAAATGGACAGAAAAACAAGGATGATGTACAGATGATGAGAGACGTTTGGGGAAGCCAGCAAGGCACAAACAATATGGGTCGGGAATGTTTTTACTTGACCGGGTGATAGATTCCGGAGTCACCAGATCTCGATGCTAGAGAGGTACGTACTGACAATGTCTCGGTACGTTAAGACCACCAGGAAAAAATGTCTGGTTTTGGTGTTGGTCAATAGGGAAGGACATTTACATCTAGACAAAATGCCTCCCAGTAACGTAATGACTGTCTCCAATCTCATCTGAAAGCTACACAATTACCCCAAAACAATAAACAGGCGGCCTCTCAAATCTGTACCCTCTTTTGTCGATCATGCACTTCTCCTCTTTTACCTGATGCCAAAGTGCAACCTTGGTCAGAACATCTACCCGGGACATTTCCTCCAGTCCGTGCAACTCATCGAGATGTGAGATGCATGAGAACAAGGACATTGCATCTTCAAACGGGTACAAAATACCTGAATTTCCCATCTCTTGTGTCTACCCATTCACTGCGTTCCATGGCTTTCTATTCTGGCCTCATGCATCCATCATGATAGTCAACACCACCACAAACTTCCAACCACGCGCCAAGAAGCCACCATCAGGTTGTCTTCACTCCATCACAAAGTATTCAAAGTGATACAAAGGTGATTCGTCGTTCTAACCTCGATTATCTCGAGCTCAACCCATATCCTTGTCAATATTGGGTGCACCGGCCCGTCTACCATTTCCACGCCGTCTTACACGGGCCGTTTCTACTTACCGAGCGCGTCGCATGAGTTGAATTCATTTCCTTTGTTTTCTGTTTGCTTCAAAGTAAAAGCCGCATGAACCACGCGATTGGAAGCTGTGCATCACGATAGCCGGATTATGCTGTGCGTGCCCGCGTATTAGGTTGCAATATGCACCTTTCACGCGCCATCACGAAAGCTTCAACCACCAACTGGAGAGCCGTTTATTAGCGATAACTTCTAAAATCTTCTGCTCTAAAAGATCTTCAGGGGACCCTAGCCTATTGATGCTCTCATCGGTTTGGATGCACCCCGCAGCTTGACCGTGGTGGAGTAATACCCGACAAGCTTCAGGCAAGACTTTGTCTCGGGGCAATAGACATGGGATGGGAAATGTGCCTGAACTAGGGTCGATGTTTGGGGTAAAGAACATATCCGGTTCGTATCAGATTTAGTCTGCGACGAATTTGGGAACATCGAAAGCAGCAACATGGGTGAGTATCACGCATGAAATCCTCATGTGAATATTGCCAAAGATTGCTGGGAACACTTAGCATCTGCATGTCACACCTCTCCAACTTTCCACCCGAGCTCCTGTAGCATCACACTCGTACAACATTCGGCCCCAGCAACAGGGTTCATCGGCTTTCACCTCAGCCCACAGCCGGAGGACCGGGGCCCGCTACGGGACCGGACGGGTCATCTCAAACGGGACATGTTCGGCGATGAGAAGTAATTTCTCTTCTTGGCTTTACGTGAGTGATTTATTGATGAGTCTATAGATTAGAGGTTGATATAGTAATACCATACGTAGTAAATCTTTCAATGGTCCCCGCATACAATGTATTGCCATGATCTTCAACCCCGATGCTTCCCGGCAACCATATCATCCACTCACAATCAGCGGGGTAACCTCGTGGTGCTCATGGCAACTTGTAGGGCAGCTTCTAGAAAAAGAAACCTAGCAGCTGCATAGGAAATGCAGTGCCGGTCCGGTTCCCATAGAGGTTGGGCATCCAAACCTGATTGGAATCTGCACCTCCAAGCTTTGCGCAATGACTCAAAATGATAAGTCCAAAGCTAAAGACAATTCCAGACATTTCGACAGGTGGTTAGGCTTCGGCGGTATTCCAGGCTCTCAGGCAGAGGACGATAAATTTAGCTCAACTTAGTGGTGATGCTACCCCACAACACCACTTTCTAGACATTTCCAGCGCATCGTGAGCTTCACCTCAAACAGTTCTCTTCTACAGCTTCTGTCATCTTTCTTGTATATTTGAATTCGCTATCAACTGTAGTCACAAAAACGCCGTGCCCCATAGATCTTACATGCGAACCTATCAGCGTGACACTGCCTAATGCGACACTTTCTGTAAACGTGCTGGTCGTTTTAAAAGGTGTTGTGCTCTAGGTATAACACAAGTGGGGAAATGCAGGTTGGGTCACAGTAGGCCTAGATGCTTGAACGCAACTCCCGTGCATGCATGATCTGTTGCAAATCCCGCTTGACAGAAAAGCAGGGTGCTACTTTTGAAGTAGTATTGGGTAAGAATCGGAAGTTTCCCGTAGGCAACACCACCACGCCGCGCGTATATTTCCTCTATAGATCACATCCCCAAAGATAAGCATCCTCACTGCCCCGACAAAACCCAATCGAGACACAAGCATGTAGTTTCAAATACACAACGGATGAATGGTGCAGCAAACAGTTTGTGAATCACTTCAGGGGTATCTTGACTTTTAGAGTAACAAACACCATTTTGGGATTCTAATTTTGCCAGACCCGAACCGCCTTGTCCTTTCCACCACTGCCGACTCTCTTGCCGTCCGGTGCCCAGTCCACCGCGTACACTTCATCCTGGTGACCCGGTAGATCATTGGAGAGCTTGTGAGATGCCATTGACCATACCTTGAGTGTTGTATCCTTTGATGCTGTGACGAGAAGTCTAGAGTCTGCTGAGAAAGCACACTGGTACACAGGAGCTACATGACCGCGGAGTGTGTTAATGAACTTGCCATCCCTATTAAAGTCAGTATGCGAAATTTGCGTGGATATCGGATGTCTTACCTGGCGTTCCAGAGCTTGGTGTGGTTGTCCCAGCCTGCACTGGCAATGAGAGTGCCATCGGGAGAGAAAGTGACATGGTTCACTTGCTTCTGATGACCCAACATACGTGCGACGGGCTTAGTGCTCTGAGAAGGATCCCAAAGGTACATGGTAAAGTCATCACTGGCACTGACCAAGCGCTCAGCGATTCTACCTTGGAACCTGGCTGCCTTTTCGAACCTCTCCTTGGCCTTGGCTCGCTTTCCTTCCTCGGTTTCGGGCACGGGTGTGTGGTCGTAGAATGCAGTCCTCAAGACGAAATCTGTTGAGAGGGCAAGATGATTCACCCAGTGAACGTGAGATGACAAAGTGTGCACCAATGTTCCCTTCTCGGCGTTCCAAACTCTGACTGTCTTGTCGTGACTTGCGCTGTAGATAAGACCTTCTCCTCCCCAGCGCACACAACTAACACTGCTCTTGTGTCCGGACAGGACATGCTCGGTTTTGCCAGAGTTGACAACCCATATTCGGACTGTTGCATCCTTGCTAGCACTGGCAAGACGTGGTGTACCGTCTCTCCAGAGGTGATAGGGCTCCCAGACCACATTGGTAATCCATTTTGAGTGACCAGTCAAGGGGTTTCCAACAGGCTTTCCAGTATCGGGGTTCCAGAGACGAACTGTCTTGTCAAAACTTCCGGTAGCAAGTCGCGCACCGTCGGGGGACCAAGCGACTGCCAGTACCCATCCAGAGTGGCCCGAGAGTGTATATTTAGGAGTTCCAGTCTCGGTATCCCATATCCGCGCAGTCTTGTCTCCAGATCCAGTTGCCAGACGGTTGCTGTTTTTGGGGCTGAACTGTGCTGCGAGGATTGCTTCACCATGACCGGGGATCTTGTGGGACATGCGCGTAACGGGCTGGACCTTGAAAACGGCCTGTGGCTCGGCGCTGAGGGTAACGGTTGTTTCAAAAGGGTTTTCGATGCCATGGTTGCGAAGAAGCTGGAGGAGATCGGTAGGGTATTGGTCTACGATGATATCGCTACCGGGAATGTGAATTCGGAATCGATATGGGAGAAATTCTTCTCTTTCCTGGATAAAGTTAGCGATATTCTTTATTGTTTTAAGCCAGACATACCCTTGCAAGTAGCGTATTCAATAATAGCGAGAGGTTCTTCTCTGACGCATCAGCTAGAGGAACTTCAATCACATCGGCCATCTGCTTGCCATCTCCATCAAGGAATCGAGCCTTGAAAGAGCCAGCTGGGCCAGCAGCGATCGCTGTAACATCTTGTTGAGTCTGCGTTCGTTCGAGAGTCTCTCTCTTCTGTCGTTTCGACGGAGGGGGAACGATTGTCGCCATTTTGAATTATCTGTGTGGTTACTTCACAGTCTGGAGAATTTCAGAGCGCCTGCGAGATAGTGGGGCAATCGGCAAAATCTTGAAAATTTTGGCGGTGAAGAGCTGCAGCCGTTATTCGGGGGTGACAGAATAAACGACCAAGAACATAGGCTGTAATAACATAAATTGATTGGTGATTTTGTCTTAAGACTGATAACCAGGTTTCCTATCCCTGATTCAATTCCTTTCTATCTTTCCTACTAGCAACTTTGGCTCATTTCTGTCAGACAAATCTAACTCAAACACCTAAAATACAACCCCTTACGCCCTTTCCCTGGAAACGCCATACACCTCAGAGTTCATACTGGAAATATGCCAACCACATCTTTCATCACGTGCAAATCATCACTCCCTCTTGCTTCGGTAGCATAAGATTGATAGCTTGAGTGTATGCTGCCGCTTGATTGTGCTCGAAACATTTAGAAAGGTCTGTCATAGAGCTGGTGCTTGTTGGATTGTCCGAAACAGACGCCTAATTCTGCCCTCCCTGTGATGTTCGTCCGCGCATCCTCTTGGGAGGTCCGGCATAGTGTTGAAATTGTGGCATATCCATAGTTGGCACAGGGATTGGTGTTTGTTGGGGATTTTGTGGAAGATACATCTGTGTCTGCATCAAGACTTGAGCCTGTGCCTGAGCCTGAGCCTGAGCTTGTGCCTGAGCCTGGGCTTGAGCCTGAGAAGTCTGCTGCGGCAGTGGTTGTTGTTGAATGTGTTGAACATGCAATTGCTGCTGCTGCTGCTGCTGCTGCTGCTGATTCTGCCCAACAGCCTGCTGACGACGCTGTCTAGCCCGTTGCTTCTGTGCTGAGCTTTGCCTCTTGGTTTCTTCAATCTGCCGGTGTCGCTTGTCTTGAGCTTCTTGACGTTTTTGCCTCTGCAAATCCTCATTCTGCACAGCGTAGATGGCGGCGACACGGAGTTGAAGTTGTGATAGAATTCCAATCCTGTCAGAATGCGACATTTTACGGTATTCGCTCTTGAATTGATGAAAGGTATCGCCGGTCAAGCGGAGAACTGCGTTTGAAACACCTGCTACCTGGATTGCGGCTTGAGTCTCTGCATCAGGTTGAGGACCATCATCTGCCCAAGGTGTCAGAAGTGGCGTGCCAACCGCGTCCAAACTTTGCTCGCCATCCAGTTCGTCAGCGATATTGGTCTCGTCTTCGCTTGCGGGTTCGGGTGTTGGTGGTTCGGGTGTGCCTGGCTCGTGGTTGTGCTGATTGCAGGTAATCGTCAAAACCCATCCACCCATAGTCTTTCGATGAACGGCTTTGGCCTTCCATGGGCAATCAGTTTTCTTTGTTGTTGTTTTGTGTTTCGTAGCCATACAACGATACGGACGACCGCCTCGATCGCAAACGAGATCGCATCGTACTATATCGTTTCCTGGAATGTCTGCACCACCCACTTTGCCTCGATGGGATCTAGCTTTGACAATCTTGTATCCCTCCTTTTCCATCCGCTCGCTGAGCTCCTGGAAAAGCTCTTCATAGCTGTTGAATATACCCGAATGGGGTACAGATACTGCCTCGAGGATGCCGAACATGATGAGTTGACGCGATCAACGCGTTCGGGACTCGATGATTGGGGTGTGTGGATTTGGGTATTGACCGGTGTCAGACGTGAGCCGCGCGTATCCCAACAGCGGGGAGGTGAGGAATTTCCGAATCGGGTAAAGTTCGGTAATTCTTCACTTCCAACCGAAAGGTACGATATCTGGTGTTAATAAACTAGCTCACTAATACCGTTATTTATGCCGTCGGTATCAAGTTCTTTGATGGGGAAAATTCGTAATTGGTGGTTGAAGAAGTTGAATTTTCTTTGCGGGCTGTGGCAGGCTGTGGTGGGGGATGACTGTGTAGCAAGCTCCTGCCCGAACTTGGCGGCGCCTTCCTCGACTTACAAAGAAATCAAGATCATGGGCAAGAGCCATGCTACTTCGACGTGTCGTCAATTCATGCTTCTTGCTGCAAGTCTTCGATCCACCGGATATAATATAAACACAAACTTGCTCTTATGCATTACCAAAACTACCCTACAGTGAATAGTCGATCAAAGTGAATGAAGTGTACGCAGAAACAGAGCAACAATGTCCCGATCGATTCCGTCTAGAACGGACAGTCGAGCGTCAAGCTACTTCCAGAGCAGTAGTACTCGACGCCTAGGTACGTCTGCGACAAGCGGCCACCATGGCAGAAGACCACAAACGAGTCTTAGCGGTTATTCAAGCTATTCTACCTCCCTCACGAGCGTATCACGACCTTCTACTACACGTCCTGGGTCCAGACCGAGTACATCTTCAGGAAAGAGATCACGTACCACAACAGCATCCTCAATCTTTGGACCTGTCGAAGCGCAGGATATTGTCTGTGCACTTAGTGAAGCTCGTGGAGTCTCCCCGGTTGTAGGTGTGGCTTTTGTCAATGTTTCCATGGGTGAAGTTATCATCAGTCAGATTTGTGACAATCGAGCATATGTCAAGTCAATTCACCAGATCCAGTTGTCATCACCGAGTCGTATTGTCTTTATGTCAACGGTCTGTCCCCCAAATAACCCCAGCACCCTCTTTTCACTGGTACAAAATCTCACTTCTGACGCTCAAATCGATGCATTTGAGCGTTCTGCGTGGTCCGAGACAGAAGGACTGGAGTATATTCAGAACCTAGCCTTCAAAGACGATATTGAGCCATTGAAGGTTGCTACACAAGGCAAATTCTACGCTATCAGTTCGTTTGCAGCAGTAAGTGAATAGCCCAGACGGAATACAGGCACTGATCGGTTCTAGGCTATGAAGTATATTCATCAGAAGTTCTCCATCAATTTCGTGCCGCATTCACTTCGGATTCAGTATCGCCCTTCTGAAGATACCATGATGATTGACATTTCAGCAATCCAATCTCTCGAGATCATGCAGAACTTACGAAGCTCCAAGTCCAAAGACTCGCTATTCGGGTTACTAAATCACACATCCACCCCGATGGGCTCTAGACTACTTCGAAGTAATATCCTCCAGCCACCGACTGACGCTGAAAGGGTTGTTCTCACTCGCTACGATGCTCTCGAGGAGTTGACAACAAATGAGGAAATGTTTCTAGAGATCCGAAAAGGTACGACCACAGACCAGTGAAGAATTTAGCTGATATTAATAGCCCTCAAGCTGTTCCATGATATTGAGAAGCTTCTGACTAAGGTATGTGGCCAATTATGACCTCTATTTATACTAAAAGCAACAGTTGATCATCGTGCATACGAATGCTACCGTCCAAAAGGTTGAAGAACAAATCAACCAGGTGCTGATGGTCAAAAGCTTCCTCGAAGCGATCCCCGAACTCTACACAGCGCTAGGCCCTGCTACATGCGATTTACTCACCAAGATTCGTAGACGTTGTTGCCCTGAGATCACAAACCCTATACTTGACAAGATCCGGCAAACCATCGAAGCAGATGTCACTTATATGAAGTCTGCATTAGATCTACGCAATCAAAGAACCTTTGCTGTCAAAGCAGGTATCAATGGCATGCTCGATGTTGCACGCCAGACTTACAAGGAGCTCACCGAAGAAATTCATTTACATATAGATGCATTGAATGGTGTGTTTTGTGTTTTCTGCTGGGCTACAACTAACGATAGGCAGTGACTCACAAGGTTAATGCTACCCTCAGATACGACAATGGACGAAAGTATTGGTTGCGCTTTCAAGCAGCCGACTTTGATGATCGACCTATACCAGATATCTTGATCAACGTGGTGCGAAAGAAGGACAGGATTGAATGTCAAACTCTCGACTTGGTCAAACTCAACCTAAGACTTTCCGACACCTCCAACGAGGTTGTTATTCGCAGCGACAGTGTTGTGCAGGATTTACTCAGGGAATTGCGAAGCCATGTACCGCACCTGTTCCAAGTTTGTGAATCGATTGCCCTCATTGACATGATATCATCCTTTGCACAGCTCGCCACTACGAGAGACTATGTGAGGCCCGATATCAGCAGCACGCTGGCGTTGAAAGCAGCCAGACATCCTGTTCTTGACAAGGTTAGTGAGAGGCTCTTGTTGAACACATCAGCTGATTCTTTAGAATATGAATGGCAAGTTTGTACCAAATGACTACTATTCCACAGAGCAATATTGCTTTCATATTGTGACCGGATGCAATATGGCTGGGAAGAGTACGTACATTCGAGCCGTCGCATTACTTCAAATCATGGCACAAATCGGCTCTTTTGTACCTGCAGAATATGCTGCCTTTTCCATCATTCACAACATATTTGCTCGTGTCTCTCTCAGCGACAACATTGAAAGCAACCTCTCCACCTTTTCCGTGGAAATGCGCGAGATGGCTTTTATTCTGAGGAACATTGACGACAAGAGCCTCGCAATTATCGACGAATTGGGCAGAGCCACGAGTAACAGGGATGGCCTGGCTATTGCGATTGCCATGTCTGAGGCTTTAATTGAAAGCAGGGCATCCGTCTGGTTTGCGACTCACTTTATTGACCTTACCAAGGTTCTCGCAGATCGTCCGGGTGTTCTCAATCTACACCTTGCAGCAACTAGCTCTACAACGCCCGAAGGAATCCCACACATTACGATGCTTTACAAGGCCACTTCAGGTACTATCAAAGGCGAAGAACACTATGGTATCAACCTGGCTAGAGCAATTGGACTACCTCAGACGTTTATTGACAAAGCAGAAGAGGTGGCAGAGGATCTTCGAAAGAAACGAGAAGCGAGCAAGCGCAGCTCAGAATCGTCAAGGCTTGTGGCCAGACGAAAGCTGATTCTCAACCTACAGGATGCTTTGAGACAAGCCAGAGATTCAGGTAGCGAGGAAGCTCTTCCGGGTTATCTAACTCGACTTCAGGAAGAGTTTGTTGCACGCATGGATGAGGTGGATAATATGTAGCATATGAGATGAGCAGGAATTCTGTCTATCATGAAGGAACTCTATGTTGATTGATAACATGGGCCTATACGCCGGGACGCTTGTAATCTAATTCTCGAACTCGCTTCCATACTTCTCTTACTGTCCGTTCTTGTGTCTGGCGTGCGGTTTCTGTTTCCGAAGGACCCGTAGGGCTAACAAAGTTAGTAGGGTCCTGATTATTGTTTGAAGCAACTTACCGTATCGCTAGGTATAATCGACCACCGAGATGCGCCCTTGTTACTTCGGCAGTTTCTAAATCGCTGGGAGGATTGGCAGTTGTTACAAGACCACCAGCTTCTTCGAGAATCGCAAAACCAGCAGCGACGTCCCTGTTGATGTTAGTATTTATTCTTGAGACAGTGTCGAGACGTACCATTCCCAACAACCACCTTCCCACCAGATATCTAAAGAGCCCATTGCGACATAAGCAAGATCCAAGGTTGCGCTATAGCAGTCAGCAGGGTGCATTGGCATACATCAGACTGGCAACATACCTTCCCAAGCTTCGCACGCCATGAACCATTCCACCCTTGCCTCCTCGCCCATTCCTCTCTGAAGCGAGGTTTACAAAAGACTCAACCTTTCGCGACAAGTTACCATCTGGGATATCTCGACGGTCTTTACCCCATTCACATGAGAATGTACAACCACTAGGGGCATTTGCGGGCATCGGGGGGATCGGGTTTCGAATCAATGGTAGTCGTTGGGTCTCATTTAACCATGCGCCTTGACCTGTGCATGATGAGAAGAATTGGTGAAGGAAAGGTGCGTTGATAACACCAATAACCGGAACACCCTTAACGACCAAGGCTATGGATACACAAAACATGGGAAAGAGATGTGTAAAGTTGACAGTACCATCAAGGGGATCGACTACCCATGTTGGCTTGTCTTCAACGAGGTAGGTTCGCGATGCGCCAGCAGAGTATGACTCCTCTCCCAGGAATCTAATCAAGGTCAATGGATGCGATAACGACATTGACAGCAAGCTTACCCATGGTCAGGATATTTACTGGCGACTGTTGTACGAATAAAGTTCTCGACATCTAACACACTTAGCCATGACCCAAAATAAGAAACAAGTACTAACCGTTGTCAGTCTTGGTTACCAGGTCTACCGAGTTCTCTTTCTCGACATATGATACGGTAGTGGAAGAAGTGCCATGACCATCGATACGGCGCTGGGCTGCAGCCATGAGCATATCTCCCGCATCCTTGCCCAATTGCACAGCAAAAGCATAAATCTCAGTCAACTGTTGGCTATCCATGTTTACGGTATCGTTTTTCCAGAAACAACAAAAGGATAAAAGTCAAGTCTGCGATGAAGCTATTTTGTTCAAAAAGAGCCGCTTCGAACCGTCCCCAGATCTGTTTCCGCACTACGGATTACGTGCGCTGCGGGGAAGCATGAAGCTGTCAGATCGATGGTGACAATCGGTGGAGACGAGGGATGAAGCTTTAACCGGGTTGCGGGGTGGCTTGGGGTACCTTTCGTGGGTGCCGACAAGATGGAGATTGATGGTCAAGACGACGGAATTATACTTTTGCGGGGTATAGTTCATAAGATGGCGATTGCGAGATGAATTGGGTGAGCAGAAACACCAGAACACATCACTTCATCATGTCTCGTCGTCTCCTCCTCCTCAACGGTCCCAACCTCAATCTTTTGGGCACAAGAGAACCTCATCTTTACGGATCAACAACTCTCAAAGACGTCGAAAACGATGCAGAAAAACAAGCATCAAGTCTGTCAGCCACAGTTGAGACTTTCCAGGCCAACTCGGAGGGCGCGATAGTGGATCGCATCCACGAAGCACGAGGAAACGTTGATGCCATCATCATCAACGCGGGCGCATACACACATACCAGCGTCGCGATCCGAGATGCTCTCGTCGGAGTGGATATTCCCTTTGTTGAAGTTCACGTTACCAATGTTCACGCTAGAGAGACATTCAGACATCACAGTTATTTGTGCGACAAGGCGGAGGCTGTCATTTGTGGGTTGGGTGTTTTTGGGTACACGGCTGCAATTGAGTATGCTGCTAAGCATTTGAAGTTGAGGACAAAGTTATGATTTGATATAAGTTAGATGATCAAATTTAAACATCGCTATGGTATTATGCTAGAATATGATGGTATTACATTACAGATTTGCTTGCAATCTTGGTTGAACTTGATCAGAAGTTCGCAGTCCGAGATCAATCTTCATTTTCTCAAACGACTCGGCAGCTCTTTTCGCTGTCTCCTCGGGAACAATCTTGTCTGTGTCGAGAAACCTCCTGTTGAACACCTCAAAGCTCAACCAACCCTTAAAGCCAAGTCCCTGCACGATAGCTCGGAGTAGCTGCTTGCTTGGGAGGTAAGCACCATACGAACTCTCGCCATAAAAGAGTCTTGCGTTGCGCGACCAGCTCATGCGACACGGTTGCTCTGCGTTGTAGAAGGGGTGACTCTCGTTCAAAGGCGCATCAAGTTTCTCACCGTCAGCCACTTGCAAGAGAAACACTCTGGAGACATCAACTTCTGTTAGGAGTTTCCTGATGGACTCTTGTGTCACTTGATCGCAATCGGCTGTCTTTCCATTCTCAGCAGCTGGATCAGCGTAGATTCGTCCAAGGATGTTATAAGTGTCGAGACACATTCCAAAGTTGGATCTGTCAACTCGCTGCACCATTTCCCAAGACTCCTCCCACAAGGACAGCCTGGTTCCCCAGCACAAGGCCTCGTAAGCGAACCTCACCACGGGCTGTTGCTGCAATCCCATCTCGGCAGCACGAGTGAAGTCAGCTGTGTGGACGTCCAAATCTTCAGTTGTCTGCTCCGCGGGAAGGAAACTACTGGGAAATAGGATCAAATCCGTGTTGAGGGCGTGAACGAGGTCAAACCAGTGCCTCAACTCATCAAACTGCTTCTCTTGGGCATCTCTATCGACAAGACCACCAAAGTGCATAAACGGTTGAAGGCAGATAATGTCGAGGGAACGGGCTTGGCAGAGGTCATGAATTGTTCGGGCGGCGATAACTTGGTTGGCGTGGGTGGCGCCGCCTGGGAGGGACTTTGACAGGTCGACTAGGTCTTCGTAAAAGACTTCTATGCCTTGGAAGCCGTACTTTGCGGCCATGTCGAGCTTATGGGGTAGGGAGTGGCCTGCGAAGCAACGGCCTAGGGACATTGTGCATATGCTTGGTTTGTGAGCCATGGTGATGGTTGTGATGATGTTTGTTGTTGAACTCAGTGATGGTGAAGTGATAACTCCTTGATATGGACTGGTATGGAGAGAGGTCTAAGATGAACTATAAAGATGACGATGTGGCACTTGATATAGGAGACAAAAACCGGATATTCCCTTTCTCATATAATAAACAAGTCAACGATAAAAGGATCATTCATCCAATGTGACCCCATCTGATCAATGCGCATCTTTCCGCACTCTCTGTAACTGTTTAGGTCGTCATTACCCGTTACAAGGCGGCGACAACCGCTAAAGATGCTACAATACGTTTTTCCAGAACATTTCCCATGCCTACCAGGCAAAGCTTTACCTGACTTACATCATGGGGTTTGTGATGGTGGTGTAAGCTTACCCGGGATAGTGATGGGTAATTCTTTAACCGGACCCAAAGATTCGGCAATGTAATCCCTACTTACTGAAGCACGCACTGATGTAACCCCGCGATGGGGAAGATAGTTAGTGGAGGCTAGTGGATATTCGGAGGAAAAACCCTCGATTTGATGATTCTTCCTTTTTGTCTTTTCTCTCACTGGGTGATTTTGATAGAGAGTACTTTAGACCTTGATGGCCCAGATCAATTGAGTATTCATCATATCATATCACATTATTTTCTTTATATCATTTCTCATATTATTCTTTATTCAATCTCAATATGTCTGTCCAACAAATAACATCTTCTCCTACTGGAGACTCACTCCAAACCAACCAAGTCTCACAACTTGAACGACATGGATACTTGTTCGGCAAGAAACTAACAGCATCGCTGTCGCCTTTTCTCCATGATGTTATCTACAAAGCCCTTGGTTACAACTGGGGTCAAGTTCGTCTTGACTCGGCTGATATTGATGGTTTCTTGCGACTGGCGCAACACCCTGACTTTTATGGTACGTCCATCACTCTGCACCCATGAATTCTTACTAACTCCTTACAGGCGCTTCTGTAACTATGCCCAACAAAGTTGCCATCATCCCTTATCTAGATGAACTCACAGAAGAATGCCGCGACGTCGGTGCCTGTAACACTCTGTACCTCCGGGAAAGAGACGGTCGTCGCATCTTTTGTGGCGCCAACACAGACGTCATTGGCATCAGAGACTCTTTCTACCAAAACATTGAGAGTCCCGATACCGTCTTTCACAACAAGCCCGCTCTTGTCGTCGGTGGCGGCGGTGCAGCCCGAAGCGCAATCTACGCTCTGCGCAAAAAGATGCAGGCAACAACTATCTACCTCGTCAACCGTGATGAATCAGAGGTAGAAGCCGTCATCGCCGATTGTGTAGCCCGCGGGTACGGTGATGGTTTGCTGCACGTCAAGACCGTGTTGCAAGCCTCATCCCTTGAAGCACCCGGTGCCATTGTCGCATGTGTACCAGACTTTGAGCCCGTGACAGAAGAAGAGATTACCGCTCGCGCCGTTACAGAAGCTTTCCTCGACAAGCCCCAAAAGGGCGCCATCCTGGAAATGTGCTACAACCCCACACCGTTCACAAAGCTGGGCGCCATAGCAGAGGACAAGGGGTGGAAGGTCATCTTGGGTACTGAGGCGTTGATATATCAAGGACTCGAGCAGGACAAGTACTGGACAGGCAAGACGTTGGAGGAGATGCCAATTGAACAGGTGCATGTTGCTATTGCCGAAAAGGTTGCCCAGAGGGCTGAGGCAAAGTTGTGATAAAATTGGGATTAGTGCATTGGGAGGTGAGCGTGCATTGCTTTTGTTTATAGATTTAAAATACAACTGAGATTCGAAACACGTTTAATTCATTCATCATCGTTGTCCTCTGGTCAATTGAACTCCAAATGTCATCATACAAGGTATGTAGATCATTTGGAGTATTCGGCACGAAAGTGATTTCACCGATAGTAAACGAAACTACAGGACTCGTGAATACGTAATCTCACTCAGGATAGATCAACTAAATATTCAGTCGTGAAATCACCAAGTTTCAACCATTGGTTGCTAGGTATGAATAAATGCTAGGATGTCTGCGATAAAACACCAAACAAATAGTTTCAAGACCGTAGTGTAGGTAGCAAAAATAAATAACCTGAGAACTATAGCCTAAGGAACATAAAATGACCTACTAATTTCGTCTCTTATACTTACAGCGGCCAATTTTGAGGATATTAGTTTCGTGTCTGAGGATGGTAGATCGAAACCATTCCGAGCCAAGGATTCTTCGGCAACTAAACAAATTTGCCGAACAAACGCTACTTATATCGCATCTTCTCTATGCGTCACTTGAGATCCTTCAACTCTCATCATAATGGCGTCCTTAATATCTTCTTCGCCAGAAATGGCTCAAATTGCAGGTCATAATTCACCAGCAGAAACTCAACGAACAATAAGACGTATCAACGCAACCTACGACTGGACAGGCCCTGACGACCCAGATAATCCAAGAAATTTCTCATTACTCACCAAAACTCTGAGCATTGCTTCTATAACGTCTCTAGCATGGGCATCTTGCTTTGCTGGGGCGATATATGCACCCGCTCAAGCATCTGTCGGACAAGAATTCCATCAAGGACGCTTAGCTGTTGTCATGCCCCTGTCGCTGTATAACCTCGGCATGGCATGCGGACCACTTGTTGGTGCACCTTTATCAGAGACATACGGCCGAAAGACTGTCTATGTCGCTACGACACCAATATTCCTTGCGTTTCTTCTTGGATCGGGTTTCACAAGAGATATCGTTAGTTTATCCATCTGTCGCTTTTTCGCTGGCATGTTTGCTTCACCGAATGTGAACAACACGTCTGCTACTATCATGGATTACTGCGAGCCAAGATATCGCGGTGCGAGTTTGGGGATTTACTACTCTATTCCGTCCCTTGGTGCAGCTGTTGGGCCGCTCATTGGAGGGTTTGTCGAGAGGCAGCTTGGATGGCGGTGGACACAGTGGATCGGTGTGATAGTCACTTGTGCGCTATACGTCCCTGTCTTGTTCACAAAAGAAACGTATAAGAAAGTTGTGCTCAAACGAAGATCCATCAGAATGGGCATGGGGGACAGTTCATCCCAACAGACTTCTATCTCCAGAACTATTCGACACTTCTTTACGGTCCTTATCCTTCGGCCACTCCATATGCTTTTCACCGAACCAATTGTTACCCTGGTCAGTTTGTATAATGGCTTCATCTTTGGACTTTTATACACATTCATCATATCTGTTCCTTGGATATTCAGACATTACTACAACTTTAGCAAAACGGGCGAATCACTTTCATATCTGGGTATCACCCTTGGCACTCTATTCGCCTGCGCGCCATTCGTCCTGATCGATTTCTCATACTATCAAAAGCGCCTCATCCGATGGAATCAAACTCATGATGAACCACTACCCCCAGAGAACCGTCTCATCTCTTCCATGATAGGGAGTTTTCTCCTTCCCGCGAGCCTCCTCATAGCAGGCTGGACAGCTGAATACCAAGTCCACTGGATTCTGCCCATCGTATTCCAAGGAATGACCATGTTAGCTTGTCTTTTGATTTATGCTGGTGTGAATCTCTTCATGTTGGATGCTTATGGTCCTTTATATGGTGCTTCGGCTTCCGGAGCCATGATGTTGAGTCGATATTCTCTCAGCTTCGCGTTTCCAATGTTTGCACTGGAAATGTTTCAGAAGCTTGGGGCGGGTTGGGCAACGACTCTTTTGGCTGGCTGTACGTTGTTAATGGCCCCTATACCATGGTGTTTCTTTGTATATGGGGAGCGTATTAGAGCGCGGAGTAGATATGAGTCAAGTTTGTAGGCAGGATACAAGAGAATGGAATTATCATACGATTCAACATGTTTGAGAGTAGAGAAATTATTGTCGACATTTCCGTATCCACCTGATCTGACACCATCACTGGTTACCCTCTTTCCAATCAGCGTATTTACGATAGACGTCCTTCCTAATAACATCCTTCAAGTCTGTGGCTGTTTTGGTAACCACGTCATCCAGAGGTAGAGCAGCACAAATAGCTCCAATGGCACAAATATCATTCTTCCGGTCAATAAACCAAGTCAAAGTCAAACCTCCCCCCCAACTCATTGTGTGAGCACCATACCACCCGTCTATATCCTCAAGCGTCACAGCACCTCCAAGACCATGCCCAAGTTTGGTATTCTCATCAATTCCAACCCTGAAGAAAGGACCCATAGGGCTTGCCAGCATGACTTGATGACCAGCGGCTGCTTCGGGACTGAGATGATTCTGAAACATGTCGTCTACAGTTTCAGGCTTGAGGAGCTTTCCATCGTTTGAGAGGATGGATTGAAGGATTTTGATGTAGTTTGTAGCGGACATTGCTAGACCGTGACCACCGAAACATCCGCTCGAACGAATGTTGATAGAAGCGCCTTGACCCATAACAGCATGACCCAGACCTTCAGGATCATCGGGGTTGAGATCAACAAAGCGCTCTCTCAGATCTTCTCTGGTAATAGGATGAAACTGGGCATCATTTCCACAGCCAAGAGGTTTCAAGATGCGTTCATGAAAACGCTTCTCCAGTGTATCTCCCGTTACACGCTCGACGATTCGACCAGCCCAGTCAAGGCTAGACCCATACATCCAGCCAGCGCCGGGTTGATGAGAGAGAGGATAGATAAAAGTATCTTCGACATTCTTTTTGCCCTGATCCTTTGGTTTATATTTGGCACTCCACTTTCCAATAGACGGATGTAGAAAGTCGTACGTCGCACCAGCACTATGCGTAAGCAGCATTTCAAGTGTGATTTTCTGGGACGCGTCTTCCAACAATGGCTCATCATTCTCAGACCATCCTGTCAGAACTTTCTTTTCGGCCAACTCTGGGGCTACAGTTGACAAGTCTCCTTTGAGAGTAAGAAGACCTTCTTCAACACACTGTAGAGCAGCAATGCTGGTTGGGAATTTCGACGCCGAAGCAAGACATAGAATGTCGTCTATTTTCTGAGGTACCTTTTCGCCAGAGAGAAGAGTACGTTGGCCAAAAACAGTGTTGTAAGAAAAGTCTCCTTTGGAGTTGGTGGCGCAGATGACAGCTCCGTTGATTTTGCCAGAGTCGATGGCTGCTTGGACTGATTCTTCTATGGTTCTGGACATTGTGAAAGAATGTTGGTTGAATTTTGAATAGGATATGTTGAGCCTAGAGAGAGAACTGAAGAATCTGTGTCGTGATAGCATGCTGATCTGAGGAATAATATTTATGCCACAAGTTCATGTAAGACACCTTAATGTTCCTCCGAAGTCTGTCACGTGTATCACAGCACTAAGGAAGATTTAAGCCAATTAAATCCCCAAGTTCCCGAACGGACAAATGAGCTTCAACTTGATGGCCAGGACTATCTGGCCAGTGAGTCAACGTGTAGAGATCAACAAACGTTTGCCGATATATCCGAAGTGAAACGTGATTGTTATCAATTGTTATCAATTGGTAGGAAAATTAGAAATATTATCTTCATAAATATCAACACGCTCAAGGGTATTTATCATCTATAAGCCATCGCATCATAATCCTAGGCTGTACCTTCAATCTGCTCAGCCTTTGCCTTTTCCTCCCGCAAGTCAACACCATCAGCGTTGTGTCGGAATTCTTCCTCTTGCAGTCTCAAATCCTCCATGATAATTTTGTTAGCCTTCCAGATAGGCTTACTGTCGAACAACTTGTCCATAGCCTCCAAAGGCACACCCTTGGTCTCGGGAATGCAGAAAAAGACAAAGAAGATGGACAAGATCATGAGAGAGGCAAAGAAGATGTAAACACCGAAACCCCAAGCTCGGAACATTTGCTCAGTGAAGCGGGCAATGATAAAGTTCCAGAACCAGTTGTTGGCAGCGGCGTTGGCCTGACCCAGAGATCGAGTGTTTTGGTCAAACATCTCAGAGTTGAGAACCCAAGGTGTGCCGTTCCATGATGGGGTATAGAAAGCAGTGTAGAGGTAGAAGAAGAACACGGCTGCGATACCACCGGAGGAAAGAGAAACATCTTCTCCGCTGGCAAGCTTGGACTCGGTGTTGGCGATCTTGATGTATGCACCAATAAAGTACATGGAGAAAGCACCACCAGCAGCACCAATCATGAGAAGGTTTCGTCGACCCATGTGGTCAATAAGAACCATGAGCCAGACAAAGGTCAAAACAGTCTTGACGACACCAAAGATACCTGTGGTGAGGAAGCTGGTGTTTGTTCCGGTAATGCCGATCGATTTGAAGACGGTGGGACTGTAGTAGTTGATGGCGTTGATACCAGAGCCTGGAGTCTGTTAGTCATTGAAAGTTTATAAGATCGGGTTTCTTACCGTTTTGGAACACAAAGAGGAGACCACCGAGGAGGAAGCGCCACTGAACCTTGCGGTCCTTGAGAGCGGCGAAAGGCTTCCAGAAACCAGCACCAACAGCACTGTGGTATCGGTCGATTTCGGTGTCGATAAAGTTAATCTCCTCAACGATGTAAACATCGTCTTGGCTAAGGTTTCGCATCCAGCAAAGGTTCTTAATAGCCAGCTCACGCTTACCCTTAGAGAACAACCATCGAGGTGACTCAGGAATAAAAACGGCACCGACCATGAGAAGACCAGCAGGGATGAGCTGAACAGCAAAGGGGATGATCCAAGCATTTTCGTTCTGGCCGGGGGAGTAGGGGAGGTGCTGGTTGATTCCATAGTTGATCCAGAAACCGACAAGACCACCAGCCTGCCAGCCCAGTTCGTAAAGACCGACAAGACGGCCACGAATAGCAGGAGGTGATAGCTCAGAAATGTAAATTGGTGTCATGTTGGAGCATCCACCGACACCGATACCGGCCAAGACGCGACCGCCGATAATAAGACCGAGACCCCGTTCACCATTGGCACCCAACATCATACCGGCTCCAACCATAAAGACGGCAGAAAAGATGATAAGTGACCATCGACGACCGAGAAAGTAACTGCTGATGTAGGCGAAAAGAGAACCGAAGAAGGCACCGGCTTGGTAGACAGAAACAATGTTTTGCTTGGTCAGAGCCAAAGCATCAGGGTCGTAATTCTCAAAGTTGAACTCTTGAACGAAGGAAGGCAAAGCCAGGGTGGTTCCGATAAAAGCAGAATCGTAACCAATGGTACAAGCAGCCATTGATGCAATGGCGGCGCATGTGTAGACGCGCCAGTTGTAGACGGCCTTTGGCGTAGGCCGATCCTCCTTGAGAGTCAAGATACCCATGACTATAATGGTTCAGGGAACTTTGCAATTAAGGTTGAAAAGAAAGTTGTGGGTGAACTGGAGAATCGAAAAGAATGCCCCAGGACCGGTGGGGAGGAAAGATTTATATCAGTCCAACATGGCCCCGACCCGTACGTTACCTGGTCCATCTCCCCTAGTCTTCTCCAAAAACTAGCGGATTCTGAACCAGGGGAGGCAATACCTCGTGTCAATCCAACAACCGGGAGGATTACGTCTCCGGCTGGAGAAGCAGTCCGGGGTTTGCGGGGTTGGATCTGCGGGGGAAGAATATGCTTCCGTGACATGTGTCTTGGATCTGAGATTGCATTTTTTGTCTGTTGGGGTAAGAAAATAGGGCAATTTTGGTGTCTCCTGTTGCCGACAACCGTTTCTCAGGATAAAGACTTATCCTTTGTCTGGGGTCTCTCCACAGTGTTACCATCCACATGGTCGAGAACCTAATCCTGTTTCGTTAGTCAACGGCGATGATCCTGTTATTCTGAATGTTTATCCCTGTCATTTCTCTTGACGCGGTGAGACCGTTGCTCTGCTTTTGGTTTGCCGATATAAAAAGAGGATCAATGTAAGGGTCTATACCTAAAACAGTGGGAATTATAGAATGTTAAGGCGCATTCCCGCGTAATAGATTATCATTGCCAAGCATTCTTGACTGAATGTTGATGGAAGAGATAAGGACGGTAAGAATAGCATGTGAGAATAAAGTGAAGTGAAGTAAAAATGACATCTCGTCTTGATGGACCACCTAAAACTCACAGTAATCTGACCAATAATAAACTGTTGAATCGCTAGCTATGCTCATGCTCGGAAGGGTAGATGTCACTCTATAGATCGATAGGTTAACCTGGAGAACACATTCAAGAGACATCACACTGATGTGTTTCTGCTTGTCCATCCAGGCTGTAATTTAGACGATCTTGATAAGCCTGTTGGAGAAATTCGAGACATGGTGATCTATTCTTCAAGTTGTTCCGTATTCATGGGGCCAATGGTTTTGTTTTAGATTGTTGAGTAGTCTCAGCGGTGGTCTAACCCTGCATGCAACGTGCGCAGCTAGGAATCCCATGGACGCCAGGCCAAAAGGATATTTTGTTCGAGAACCGCAACTGACACATCCACGCTAATCCGTGTGGAGATCTAACAAGTGCTGGACTTTACCCGTTAAACACGCCTAAGGGAATTGTCCGTTGAGGGTAGATGTCTGGGTTCAGCAAGCTACAGCTTATCCATTTGGAGTCTTTGTTTGCGTTTACCATTGAGAAGCCGGACAACGCTAGTCATTAAAGAATCTGCATGGCAGAATATAATTAAATTTCATTAAATCATGGGCCAAAATCGCCTTGAAACATCTCTCCTAAATCGCATCCCGGCGCAAAGCCCAAATTCGTCATAAACTGTGAATCAACATCGATACCATCCGCACAGTCTATAGATCCAAGTTCATCCAGTATGGCGTCGTAGTCCAACAGCTGACTTGGCATATTCGAGTCATGAGGTAAAGATCCTATCTGACCATTGAGGTGAGACGTTTGTAGCGTATGAAATGTAAGGTTGGGAGTAAGTGTGTATAATGATTGCGAATTCGGACTTTGTTCTGGTTGATAACGTTGTCGATCGAATGGTAATGCTTGCTCTTTTTGTCTCTGCTGCATCCGTCCAAGCTCATGTTCCAGTTCTCCAGATGTGATAGGGGCTGGGTGGGTAACGTGTTGAGTCGGATGAGTGGCGGCTGATAACTCATCCATAAATGTCGGGCTTACCACTGGGTGACTTGGGGGATCCACCGTGCTTGGCGTGTCCTGGTTGTTTTTAGATGCTGGCCCTTGCCCCTTTGTCTTCCAAGTGCCAGTGAGTGCTTGCATCGTTGCATTCCACTTGCCAAGGTCTTCTTCTTGCAAACGAGCCGCATGGCCGTGTTGCTGGACTATCTGCATCAAAATGTTCACAATCGGAGGCGTTCCGCCAAGTCCAAAGTTTTCCACGCACGACTCGACCACCTCCACAAAGTTTGACAAGAGGGATGGTCGATGACCGGGCACCAAGTCTAGGGTGATTGCCAAGAATATCCCCTGAAGTAAATATGCTGATGGCACTCTTGGTGTCGAGCCTCCAAAGATTAAGGAATTGCAAAAAGAAAAGCGAGAATCAAGGCTTTTCACGAGGTCGTCTGGAGTAATTTGCGTGTTGCGACCTCGATCCATACTGGCACCCCAGAGTGCACAGAAATCGAATAATTGCCGAAACGTATGGAGTGGTGCTGCGCATTCTAGTGTTGATTGTTGCCTGTCTTCAGATGCCTTCCCAAAGCCAGAGACAGAAGCCCAGGGTTGATTCGAGTCGTGAAACTCCCCTATCGAAACAGAGGGAAGCGTATATCGAATGCCTGCAGTTACTTGGGATTGGCCAAGGCAAAGCGATGCCAGAGAGTCCAAGATGAAACTTGCAGACAGAACCCGGATTTCATTGTGATTAAAGGAGTGTTCAGCTCCCTGCTTCACTGGGTACATGTGCGATGCTGTGGCTTGATGATAGAGAGCGAGACGCGAGGCACGGCCTATGAGCGTCCATGCTGGCATGGTCTTTTTCTGGCCCAATAGTGCCAGTGACTGGAGAAGCAGAGCACTGACATGTCCTAGATCAATTGCTTCGTCATCAGAAGGCACGAGTTGCCGAGCGATGGCCAACATCTTGTTGGGGGTGAGTCCATTGTCGTTATAGGCATGAGGAGTTGCTGCATCTTGAAATGAAGATACAGCAAAGACGGCCCAAAGCTGAGCATGAAGCGCCGATGCGAAGCCCGCTTCGATGACGAGTCCGTTCGCAGGATATGTCAAGGCTGTGCTGGTAATAACCGCAGGCTCAATAATTGGGAGCCAGCTATGGGTATATGATACATAAATGTCGACAAGTCGCTTCCAATTGGGAGGTAGTGTCAGCTTGGTAGATGACCGTGATCCGCCTTCGTCATTAAAGTTGTAGGATGGCGTGGTGAGATGTGTTGATGAATTGACGCCTTGAATCGTGATACCAGGTGATGGGTTGCCGTCAAATATGCCATGACCAGATGGGGTGTTTTCCTCTGACTCTGAATCGTCTGCGGATGTTTCGTTCTGTGGTGTCTTTTCATCCGATAGTAGCCTGCCAATATCTTTGTGGACTCGACTCTTGTTCCATCGTCGGTATAGTCGATGGTTGGCTTTATCTTTTGTCGCGAGGATGCGAGTACCTTCTGCGCCATCATCCTGCGTAAGAAGATGATGTAGAGCTCCTTCGCACCCAGGAACCTGTTCAAAGAGCCACGCGAGGGACAGCTCAATTGTCCGGAGGTAGCCAGTTTGCACACCTCTCTTCCGCGACGCAGGGGTATACGAACATGGCCTGTTTTGTGCAGTACATGTTCCACAGTGAGGACGGGCGCCATCGCACTTCTCTCTCGCAGTTCGACAGGAATCACATGCAAGAGAGACTCGCTGACGTTTGACAGGAGCTGTTGTTGCGGGAGCGCTGGTGGTATCCGCATCGTTCTCGCGTTTCTTTGGCGGCATTTCTTAACTTTGTCGACAGAGAACAAGCTACCTGTGCCGCGAGGGCAGCAGGAGCATGACGGTGAATGGAGATACAGCTGGGCCGAAGCGGTGCTGTCGCGCAGATCCAATCAATGACGCTCAGCTCAGATACGTAATCTCTGTGCCATTGTCATCAATGTCCATGACAATAATGCAACACAGAGTAATGCCTATGATGAGATGAGACGTGATCGATGCGGGGAGACAGACCTGGGGCCCTTGAACTTTGAGTTGTTGGAATTGAACTTTGGAGCCTCCGAGACCAAGCGCCGAATCATCACCGATGTTATTGGTCCGGTGGCCGGAGTGGGTCGGATAAACACTTTCCCGACCAATTGCCGTACCTGCCCCAGATTCTCTGGTGGGGGATCTGCCGAGCCTCTTGCCCACTTGCTTCTCGATTAACGAAGGCTCTTTGTTTGACCAGTACACTATCATCCTCTTCTCCGGACGTTTCACACTCTCTAGGAGTACTGTAAACCGCGACAAGACTGTTATGGCGTCACTTTAACATCCCGTGCAAACGACGCGAAATGGCTGGTGTTAAGAGGTCTCTCGGGTCGATGCTCGGCCACGAGGATACCTTGCTGCGACCAAACGGTAATGGCCGTGCAAGAAACGTCCGTTATGACCATGGAATTACCCACGATAACCTCGACCCAATGACACCAAGGTCGCAGTCCTTTAAGCTGAGCGACGCTCTCCAATCACAACCTCATTCTCAGGCGCAATCTCAACCCAACTCCCGACCTGACTCTCGCGCCAATTCCCAATCAGCCGGTCCTCCAAATACAGACCAAAGCGATGGCCTTACACGGACACCCTCCCCAACCTTTCCTTCCTTGACAGGACAAGTCCCAGACTTTAATCAAGATGCGTCAATGATGCTTGTTGGTATGAGAGGTGCCGGAAAGTCAACCCTCGCGGTTATGGCATCGTCGGCCATGGAGAGAAAGGTCATTGACCTTGAGCCTACTTTCCAAAGGGCCATGGGCCTTTCCAGTGCACAGTACAAGGCGGAACATGGATCTGCTGAGTGTTATAAACAACAGGCCAAAGTTTTGCAGGGCGCTCTGCAGCGTCATTCTACCGGCTGCATCCTCGTCTGCTCTTGGATGGAGAGTCGCGTGCAAAGCCTGTTGCGAGAATTTGCGTCTACCCACCCTGTTGTTCACATTGTTCGCGATGCCGAAGCGATCCAGAACCACCTCAAGTTTCGTGACAATGCCAAGATACGAAATCTCCTCGACGTCAGCAATGCCATCTTTAGGTCTTGCACCAATTTCGAGTTCTTTAATGTCTCTGAAAAAGCATCCAAGTCGTCGCTTGCTCGAGCATCAATGTCAGAGAGGTCTCCGGCTCCATATCTGACATTGAAACATGTCGAACGACACTTTCTCAAGTTCTTGTCAATTATTTACCCAGCAGGGACAATACCATTTACGGATTCCGCGTTTCCGCTATCGAGAATCCCTGCTGAGGAGCGCAACTTTACATACGCCACATCGATTCCTTTGACAGATGTTCTTAATGACAGCGTTGAAGTTGAGGAGCATGTCAGGGGTGCCGATGTGGTTCAAATTGTGGTGCACGATCTTGCCGACCATGCCGAGCAGGGCACCTTGACACCTGAAGCCAGCGCAAGGCTGCTTGCTGATATCACAAAAGGTATCGGGATTGTCAGAAGAAGTACAATTCTGCCTATAATCCTTCACCTGTTTCTCCCCCACACGGCGACTGATGAAGTCTTGCGTGTATATCTCGAACTCGTCCACCATACTGTTCGATTGGCACCAGAAATGATGACGGTCGATCTCCGCCTTGAGAATGTACACATCTCACGCATACTATCAATCCGGAAAAGAACAAAAATAATCGGCAATTGCTTCATCATATCAGATCCACCAGCCTGGGATTCTCCAATGTGGATGTCTTGGTACAAAAAAGCCAGCAGTTTAGGATGCCACATTGCCAGATTAATACGGCCAGCGATGTCAATTGAGGATAACTTTTCCATCAACCACCTCAAGACATCAGTCGCCGCTCTACAAGGGCCAAAGATTCCCCTCATTGCCTACAATTCGGGGTACCTGGGTCGCCACTCCCAAACCCTCAATCGTGTTCTGACGGTTGTTCGGCCGGACTCGCTTGAACGAGTAAACCCTAAGCCGCCAATCACGCCAACCATTACCGCAGTAGGAGCGACAAAAGCCTTGTTTTCCTCATTCGTCTACGACCAAATGAAGCTCTATGTTTTCGGTGCCAATGTCAGTTACAGTTTGTCGCCTGCGATGCATACATCCGCACTCAAGGCATGCGGGCTCCCACATACCTACGAACCTGTATCTTGCTCGTCGCTGCGAGGGATCAAACATTTAATTGAAGATCCAGAGTTTGGTGGCGGCTCCGTCGGACTCCCTTTCAAGGTCGAGATCATCACCTTGACCCATTCATTGAGCAACCATGCCAGAGCAATTGGTGCCGTGAACACACTCATTCCTATCCGCTTTTTGAACGAAGACGGCACAATCCCAACAGGCGCTGCCTTTTTCGAGAGCGTTAACCGCGCTGGCCCTATCAAAGCCTTGTATGGTGAAAATACCGATTGGATTGGCATTCGCGCCACTATTCGACGTGGTCTCTCTCCTGCCAACGCTGTTGTATCCAGTACCTGCGGTCTTGTCGTCGGAGCAGGCGGTATGGCCAGAGCTACAGTCTATGCCATGCTCCAGCTTGGTATCAAGAATATTGTTATATATAATCGCACACGCAAGAACGCCGAAAAGATGGTGTCGCATTTCACACAGCTATTACAGAGGAAGGACTTGGGTGTGTTGAGTGCCGAGAGTGAACACTCGCGCTTCCATGTCATCGAGTCAATGGAAGATCCTTGGCCAACAGATTACCGCTTGCCTACAGTTATCGTTTCGTGTATTCCAACGCATCGCATTGGTAACGTTCCTGCCCCTGAACTTGCATTGCCTAATGAATGGCTTGGAAGTCGCACTGGTGGTGTCGCTATTGAGCTTGGGTACAAAACATTGGACACACCGTTCCTCACTCAATTCCGAAAAGAAGCTCACCGAGGTTGGGTCAGTATGGACGGTCTTGATATGTTGCCCGAGCAAGGTTTTGCCCAATTTGAGTTATTTACTGGTCGAAGAGCACCAAGACGGATTATGAGACGGACAGTGTTTGAGGCGTACCCAGATGAAGAGGGCAAGTCAAATTTTGAAGAACTGCAACCAAGGTTACGGTCACTTGACGAGCAGGAAACATGATGATGAGATTTAGCAGCATATTATGATATTTGGACATTTCAACTACTTTTCGTGTCATTCAGCGTGCCTACCATCTTATCCCAAGATACATAACTACAGAGCCTGCCTCGCTTACGTGATTTACCTCATGTACCTTACCGAATAGAATCCACGAAAGGGCTAAGTTCTGATTTGGGAGGAGCGGTATTTCCGTCATTTCGTAAGCTGACCCGTCCAAAACAGCAGGTACATAAAGAGGCACCAGACCCGGATCATACGATAACGCATCGTTACTTTACCCCAAATACTATCATCCAATGACTTCCTCAAATCTCAGAGAGTCAATCGAACGTACCGCCAGGCAATTCTTTGCCGCGTATGTCGAGAGTGGTGAAAAGAATGACCCAAGTATCATCAACCGCGACGTCGACGAAAACTGCAAACGTTACTACCGTCCTCTCTCCCTATGCGATTTCTTCGGAGTTCCTGGGGACTGGTCCCATGACAACAAGGCTTATGAGAGCGTAATCACCAACAATCTCACTAAGGGATCCCTCAAGACTTGCGAAGTGTCAAACTTGACAATCGATGTCGATATTCGCCGAGTAGCGGCCACAACCCAATCCGATATGGTGTTCAAAGATGGCGAGTCTTTTATTATGGAGCATGCTTGGACTTTGGACTTTAATGATGACGGATCAAAGATTGTTAGAGTTGTTGAGTTTTGCGACCAGTTGGCTACGCGAAGGATGGTGACAAAGGTGTATCCCGAGAAGTTTGGTAACGCCGAGTAGGATATTATACTATGGATTCACCACCACGCGCCCATGCCTATGGGTGGTTAGGGTTTATGTTCACAAATCACACAAATTGAAGAGAAAGGTATTGACCAAACTTGGGCTTTTTGCCTATACATAACAGACATCACTCATTAATTCCTCCCACCACAAACATACCTCATCCTGCCCGCCAAAATGACGAACCCTCTCCAAAATCTTCCGAACGAGATTATGGATATAATCTTCAACTAACTGACCCCTTCCAATGTTTGGCGTGCCCAACAGTCAAGCAAGTCCATCGAATACGCGCTCGACTTCCACCTGCTAGCACAGCGTCATGCTGTCGATGAACTGATGGAATGGGGGTGTGCACAGGGCAGCATTGAAGCTGTCAACAAGGCTGTATCACTTGGTGCCGACCCCAATCTTATCGACAAGCCCACGAAGTCTGGACTCTTCCATTCAACCTCAACTATCGCCTTGGCTTTAAACCATCCAGATCTCGTCAATCATCTTTTCCGTCCTGGTGCAAACCTTCGACTAGCCTATGTGTACGAGGACGTACATCAAGAAATCTTCCTGACAGAAACCACAACTCCTAAAGTCATGTCTGAATCGCTGTACGAAAGACCAGTTTATCAGCCTGCAAGTCAACCTTGATAAATCTCTCTATCAGCAAGTTATCAACACAATTGGTTCAATGTCGAGCAAAAGAACGGCCGCCATGGAAAATGTGAAATGTTGGCTGGAGTTGGGAGCCGACCCAATGTCTTTGTGTCGGCCACCGTCGACGAGTCTTTCCACAGCCATTTTGGGGCTTGGGGCTTCCCGTCATTGCGGCTGCTACAATCCATATGGCACGTACTGGGTCAACCGACATAATGGAACTACTGCTTGAAGCCGGAGCAAAAATTGATCTGCCAATACACGCGGAGTTCAATCCCTTGGTTGTTTATGCAAACATAGCTTAGATTACAACGCCAGGGGATACGATTTCTTATTCAGTCACGGGGCAAATGTTCTGCCAGACTGGTATAATGAACATCATGACTTGATACCAATTCTTGAGCTCTGAGGAGCATGGGGTGGTCGGGGGTGTCTTCTTAATGATACGAAATTCAATACAATAAAACATTTTATTGGGAGACACGCCGTTAAGAATTTCGCCTCTGAGTTTGTTGAGCACAATTTCAGACAGCCTGCCGTTAATGATAGCGATACAGATTCTAAGCCTTCAATGATGGAACGCTCCCGGATGATGTTGAAACTAATCTTGCGAGATTTCAATTTCAAAACCACCATGGCCCAAGAGATGAAACCTCTTTCGCAAAAGATAATACAGCTGGAAAAGACTGATTCACCCTGCCAGAGTATGATTGACCCTATCCTGAAGGATATGTTGATGCCTTACGTCAAGCTCACCACATCTGAACAATAAATAGTTCAGGTGGTTATATGGGCAAACTATTGTTCTCCCTAACATCCGCGAGTTTGTCGTTGCTATCAACCCCATGCTTGAGTCGATTGATACTGCATGGAGATTGAGTCTGACGTCAAATTGGGAGACCTTGTTTACCGCTTGGCTTGGTTACAAAGCATATTCAGCTGAGAAGCTAATGGTTTGTCAGATGAGGCTGCGTACCACTGTTTGAAAGATATCTAAAAACTACCAAACCCCCAGAATCTGTTTCTGAAACATTGACCGAATCATGCAAAATGAGGGTCACTTGCCCTCGTATCCTCCTCGTTATTTTAATTTGCAGCATTGGAGCGTTTATTGGGACAATCCACGCTCTTCGGCCTTTGTCAAATGTCATCAAGCGCTTCCCAGGCGATTCACACAGTAGTGTCACCAGAGAAAAGGCACGAGAATGTAACGCAGACGATCCGGAAAGCTGGGGTTACGCAGCTTATAGCATCCTTATCAAATGCATTCTGGGTAACCTTGACGACATTTTGAAAAGTGATTTGGCCATTGGAACTACTATACTCGGTTTGGTACCAAGTTTCTTGATAATTGGCGCTGCACAGCCTGAAGAGACTGTGCACCTGGCTCTTGTGTCGCCACATAGGGCATTGGCAGTGTCTATCTTTGGTATTGCGCTATCTCCAAGTTTGTTCAAGTGGGTGACCCCTCTGAAGACACCCTTGAGAGAATATTCCGAAAAGATGTGGGATATTGAACTTGCTCGGTTTACAAACAGTGGTCATGGAAGCACATGGTTTACAAAGCGTTGGCTGACCTCACAATCGTCAGCATGGCATCCGTCGCTTTGTGGCAGAACTGGAACGTCAACTCGGCTGTTATGGTTCAGTGGCTGTGCGAGTCTCCTCTTATGATTTTTACATGGCCTCTGGCAAACATGATCTGGGTCATCTTTTCCGTGCTGCTGCTTCACTTAATGGCCAAGGACATACGATCCCAGCATATTTCGCTCGACATTACCTATAGCTGGTGGGAAGTGCTTCTTCTACCATACACGCTGGACATTGAAAAACTATATGAATGGAAGGTGGATTCGATTTCTGTACTGTCGACGCCACATCTCAAGCTTCCATATCTACAGTTCGAGCTAATTCGTCCAGCAATGTCGAGAGACTCACACTATACGAATCTTTGTCAAGATGACTGATGATCAGTTCACTTCCAAGTGGCAGGTCTATTTCTTTGTCATTGAGTTTTGCGGCATTGGTGTATACTTTTATGCCACCTTTGTTCTTCTCAGTGCTGTTTTACATGCACTGTTGGAAGTGTCAGGTTTGGGGCTATCATGGCTACACTTTATGCGGCAATTCGATTTATTCAGTGTATTTTCTAAATTACTGCACAGGCTTTCGGTCTTTTGACTCCTATAGTTATCTCTTAAGTCACATCTTCTTTTAATATTAGTGTAGCACAGTCACAAGTTCAATTTCAGTAAAGGTCACTCCTCCTCATCACGATTCTTCCCACCTCATGTCTTTGTTGACTTTGATGGCACCCAACGGGATAGTTTCAACAGTGCCACCTTTTGCAGTTTCCACCACAGTGTTCTGCTGATTGTAGTATGCCTCTGGCCACAAGACGGGCTCCTCAGCGGAGTCGTTGTCATGGAGTCTTCGGAAAGGTCCGTCCTTTTTAGGCGTCACCTGCTTAGCACCGCTGCCACCAATGGTGACGATGCCCTCCTTGCTGCGATCTTGGGTAGCTTTGGTGATGAATCGACCGAAGAGTAAGTAAAGGAGCGGTTGCATGGTCGGTAAGCAGGCGCAGAGTAACCCAACAGTTGGTTCAATAACTGTCCAAATCCAGGGTGCCGAAATAAGCTCTGTGTTATTGAGTCAACGTTGTCTTGCCATGTACAGAATTTGTAACATACTGGTAAAGTCTGCAGTCGGACCTGCTTGGAGAAGGCTGACGATGAATTTCAAGCGGATGCAACTGATGATTACAATGCTGTAACTGGTTAGCATATGTTTTCCATGCATGTTTCCTTGACCTACAGCCCTCCAAGTAGAAAGATTCCAGCTATGGCAATTTTCTGTGATCGCGGGACTTGGACCCTGGAAACCTCGAATACGGGCAGTCCAATCATCATTGCATCCACGATAATATTAGGAATCGAGTTGCCGATGAAGAACTTGTTCTTGTCAATACATTGCCCTTGTTGCATAAAGGGCTTCCAGGCCTTATCAATAGGTGAGCATTGAAAAATAGTCGTAAAGACGCAGGCTATCCACCAGGCAAATGTAATTCCGCCAAGGATGTAACCTCCAAATTTCATCGATCGAGTTGGAAAGATTCGGTAATACATGAGGAGAATGCTGCCTTTGATGGTACAGAGAACAGCTCCGTATACGAACTCGGTCAAGAACAGACACTGATATCATAGTTAGCATCAACAGTATTTCTAGCAGGAGAGTCCTTGCTAACTAGCTGAGCTCTTCCAAGCCGATTTGGGTCTTGCATCATGTTGACTTGCAATGGTTTTCCAACTCCACCATATTTAACAGCTGATTGATATTAGTTGTCACTGGTTATTGGTCAAGTGTAAAGATCAACTTACATGCGATTGCTACTGCAGCATTACTCCAATGCAACGGCTAGTCAACCAGTCAGGGACATAGAAACAATGTGGGAACAAAGGAAGAAACGTACCAACGAGACTAGTATAAACCAGTCATCAATGTCAATGCGCATCTGCTTTCGATGCCGTGCCCATACTCTCACTGCTACAACAGCAAGGGCAAATGGGATGGCTACAGAACTGACAATCACCAGAGGGGCACCTTGATCGTAATTGAGAAGCTCAGGTGGGATCGCTTGCTGAGCTGACATTGTTGCGTAAAGGAACAAATGGGGTTGTAGACAAGATGGATAATTTCTGGAGACATCAAGACTTTATTCAGGTGTCGACTCGGTAATTAATTATTTAGGAGTATTTTCGTAATCAATACAAACAGCCGATTAATGACTCGCGCCAGGAGACCCAGGCTCAGCTGTTAGCGATGTGATTTAGCTGAACTCTAAAATCGAATGTCAAACATCAACTAAGCTCATTGAGGGACGGAGGAAAGGAACTCTTTGACCTCCTGTAAGTCCAGATCCTGTCTTTCTCGTCAACGCCCCTAGACGATGTAACATATTTTGCTACGTTTACCTCGTACAATCCAGGATCACACTCCTTATGAACCTCCATCAGGCGTTATGCAGGGCATTCGGGTCCGCAAGACTTTGAGAATCACTTGCTTCTGCGGATCCGAACACAGTAGCGTGATATCTTGCGGACCCGTGAACTGCATGAATTAACGGCCGCAAAGAGCTGAAAAGATACAGTCCTTCACATTATACAGTAGCTAATCCATTTATATTAGTGTAGCAATACTTATATCAGCAGGTTATTTGTCCCGGATATTCAATATTACTTTCTAAAGCAGTACCTGGAAAACCATGGAAATGGTGCGGGTTTGGATTTTGTAGGGTCGTGCGGACCGTACCGTTGAATCAATTTAGCTTCAAGCTATTACCAGTACTAAAACTCCATAGCTCAGGCCACTTTTATCAAGCCCATTTATAAGAGCAAGGCCCAGAACCTGACACAATTTCATCCAGACACTTTAACTATCTGCAAACGATATCTTGCCAGAATCCTGTATAGCATCATCATGAGCCAAAAACCCGTTCTGCTATTTGTCACAGGCGCGTGGCATCCTCCGAAGTGCTACGAGGTTCTCAAGACCGCTCTCGTTGGATCGGGTTATGAGGTTGTTATTCCCAAGATGCCCTCTGTAGGGCCTGATAGTCACGGAGTCACTTGGGAAGCAGATAAAGCCAAGATCATCGAAACTGCGGAGCCATTCTTTGCTCAGGGGCAAGAAGTTGTTCTTATTGCCCATTCCTATGGAGGCATTCCCGCCACTGCGGCTACGCAAGGACAGGGGATCCACGAAAGAGCAGAGGCAGGCCTTAAAGGAGGATTCCAATCCATCATCTTCCTCGCTGCATTTGCTATCCCTGTCAAGGGCTGGGATCTTATTACTACCTTTGGTGGATCTTACCCTGAATGGCTACAAGCCGGCGAAAAATACATAAAGGTATGCAATAAGCAACAACTTTCTGTTAAATTTTATTAACCCATATCAGAATCAGGTCACCGTCATGAAGTCAAAGCAAGCCCGAGATTGTGTCTATAGCGGTTGCTCCAAGGAAGCAATGAACGCCGCCTTGGAAGAAACACAGCCACATTCTCAAGATGCATTCGAGACCAGTCTGGACTATATCGCTTCGGATATTACTATTCCCAAGACCTACATAATCTGCGAGAACGACCAACTATTGCTGCTTCCTCTTCAGGAACAACTCGTTAATTCAACGCCTGGTATGAAATCTGCGAGATTGGCGGCTGGTCACAGTCCATTTTTAGAAAAAACACAAGAAACTGCAGACGTGATTGTCAAGGTTATCGAGGGCTAGACATTATAGATTACTGGCTTAGATTCATCTTATATGGCTTGGAATAATTTCAATTTTGATAGCCTGGGTTGCTCAAGATTAGATGCACTTTATGTGGTGATTTATTATTCAGTGTATTTTTTAATTCACAATCTACAATTTGTTGAAACTTTACCTCATCATTCGTATATTATTCAATTTATAATTCTTGAATTGGTTCGATAGTCTATTATGATGCTACTCTGGCCCCGAACTATGGTCATCCAAGCAATGCAAGAATGGTTTGAATTCTATCTCGTGACCTTGATACATCCTAGTCAGGCAAAGTCAAAATGCATCTCCACAGCATGACCGATGACCCGAAATCTAGCACACCAAATGGTAATGTATGCGTCATATGAAAGCCTTCATGACTTGAATCATACCCAGAAATGCGGGGGTTTGGGGTATATAAATCCCCCGACGTCCCGGTTGAACCTCCAAGCTTCTTCTTTATACAACAACCACCAACTCATACCTTTATACCATTTCAACTTTACATTATCAACATGGCTTGCGATTGCGGATCTTCTTGTAATTGCGGGGGAGCTAGCTCATGCAACTGTGGAGAGAGCTGTACTTGCAAGGGTTGCGGTGTTAGTACTGACTGGTCTTGGGCTGGAAAATCACAACTAACTTGGTAATAGAAATAAGCCGTACGAAATTGCGACAGTCCAACCACGTGCAGTATCCAGCAAAGAACTAAGCAGATTGATGTCTAGTGTGTTTCAATAAAAAATGACTTTATATAAAGACTTCAATACGACGTAACGATGTAAGCGTGAACCATATTATAGAAGCGGCAGTCGCATCGCATTTTCCTTTCCATAAACTCTCGGGTAGATACATATGCTATATTTAGAGGTAATCAGTAGGAGCAACTCCCCTCCTACATTGCACTCCAACCCATGGGAAACCGAACCATTCAACTTGATCGCCCATCAATCCAAGAACTCCGGCCTTGCCTTGTATTGCTCAGTTCATCTCACTCTTGGGCTCTAAGCAGCATAAATACTCGAATCCTATGCCCGGATCATTCTCAAGTTTGCCAGTGCAGTGACAGCCTATAGCATTGCAAAGGAAATAAATCATTAACTGTGATCCCGTGACGTATAACTGCCTAATTTCAAAATTGCCCTTCACCTGCCGCTTTCTCTCCGCAGACTTTGTTCCGCATGCACAAAACACCAATACACTAGTAATAATAATAAAATTCGATCAAAATGAGCGGCTAACTTATCTTGCCCGACCCGACGGGGGTCAACCATCATAACACGAATGACCGTCGTCAGTATATGACGAAAGTGTTTCGACAGCTGGGCCTTTGGGATGATCTCGAGAACAGGCTCAAGTCGAAGAAGATCCGAGCCAAGTGCGAAGATCTTGTCAGTGAGCGGATGAACAAGGCCAGGCATCTCCGCGTCAGTGAGGTCGCCTTTGAGTATTTCACTGACCTCAACATCTGGCGCAGCCTCGGTAAATAATGTCGACACTCTCTAGCTGAAATATTTTACTAGCAATGGCCTGCTCAGTCAATCGCGATAACAAGACTCCATGGCCTTGGGTCACCTCCCCGTTACCATCCGAGACTGGCCCGTCACTCGCAATCTCTCAAACTTACAAGACATGGCAAATCAGCCGTGGAAAGTCGATTGAGAAAGCCCTAGAGCGCGGCGACAGTGCTCATCAGCCCACCAGAATGCCCTTGGACAAATCCCAATCGCCTGCGGGCCAGAACGCGGCAAAGCCGTCTACTAGCCCAGCAGTACCAGCAAGAGTGCAGGTTAACAATTGTACCAGCTGTCGAGGTACTGGCCGCCAAGTCTGTACCGGCTGTCAGGGTGCTAGCCATCAAGTCTGTACCAACTGATAAGGTAGCTAAGGCTTTTACCAACCCTTCTACAAGTGTCGCGACTCGGGCGGACAAGGTCAATCAGGCTTTCAATGCTTTGACCTAGGAAGCCGAAAGTCAGAAAGTAGCCACAGAGGAGGCGTCAAAGAAGAAGGCTGCCGCTGAGACGAGACTGTTGCAACTTCGCGATATCTAATACAATATGGCAAGGTCTATCTTTAATGTCAAGGTAAGCAGGATCATGGCCAAGGAAACTAGCCCAGCTTATAATAATTTAAACAATAGGTTCCGTGGCCAATGCTGGACTGACCAGGTTGAGGTATCCGAGGCGGATGCGATTCTTCCTGTTAGAGATGGGTTTGGCGCTTGAAAAACATCTTCTGGATAGATACATATGCTGCATACAGAGATGTACCATTTCGGATACAGCCCATAGAAAACTTGACCACTCAACTTAATCTCCCATTACTCCAAAAACTCCAGCCTTGTCGTGTCAGAAAGCAAAGCGCCCTTCAATTGATTCATCATTTGGTTCGCGGGTAAGCATGCTATGCGATGCAAAGAAAACTCCAGCGCGCGCTCCATTTTCCCCACTCAAGCGCGAAATGTCACACTATGATTGGCTATAGGTACGCATGCTGGTGATCGTGTTTCATTTATAGACTATTGTTACCAGGATGCCGAAAAGACTCGACAATCCTACTCTTGTTCAACCGTTGGCGCCAATCAAACACAAAGACAAGGATGTCCAGATGCAATCACCCTGCAATTTTAAGCCAGCACAACATCAGCACATTGGTCCTACCAGTGATCGGCAATATGTGTAGCCTGTACCAGCGGTTGTTCCGTGCAAGGCATTCTCATGCCACATTTATAAGTTAAACAGTTTCCTTCTCTCAAGGTCTCATCCACCTCAGAGCACGTCAAAATGGATTCCCATGGTGGTTCACGTCGCAACAGCGGCCATCATGCCGAAAACCTCCGCACAAAACAACCCGAAGTCACCACCTTTTTAACAAAAGAATCAGAAGCAAAATCGCAAACTACGCAAAACAAAATCAGCCCTGTGCGATCCTGGTCTTGGGAAATTATATCACTTCTATTTGCCTTCGCGCTACTCGTCGCCATCATCGCGGTTCCAGCACATTACAACGACAAAGTTCTGAAACGATGGCCGTACGATATCAGCCTCAACACCGCAATTGCCATTCTAAGCACCTTTATGCGGGCGGCTATAATGCTCGTTGTCGCTGAGTTGATCGGTCAGATGGGATGGCACTCTCTTCGAAAACCTCGTCCTGTTTCCGACCTTCATCACTTCGATAACGCGAGTCGAGGCATCATCGGCGCTATAAAGCTGTTCTGGAATGTCCCTCCGCGTCTTGCAAGCATTATTGCCGTAATTGTCATCATCCTTTCACCCGCCATTGCACCATTCTCTCAGCAAGCTGTCAAGACCGTCCCTTGCGCACAAGAAATCTCAGGCTCATCTTCCTTGCCAATTTCACACTACGTCCCAGCTGATGGGTCATCAATCAGAATGTCTCCAGTTCAATCCGAGATCTCGCACGATATGAAGGCTACCTTGATTAACGGTCTTGTCAATCCTAACGGAAAAGAAGCGGATGTCGAAGCTACATGTGCCAGTGGAAACTGCACGTTTGCAGAAAACTCACAAGGCGTGACCCATACCTCTGTTGCAATGTGTAGTTCATGTCTTGACACTACTGAGTTCATCAAGTTGAATGTCACCAACGAGAAAGGAGGCCTCTCAATCGTCAACTATACTTTGCCAAACAGGCAATGGTTTATACCGGTAGGAGGTCAGCTGATGCATACTGCAACTGGAGACGTTGATTGGGCTCTTGGTGGAGTTGACTCTGACTTTGCAGAAATGACAAAAAGATCAATCACGAACTTGACCATCTTGACCTCTTCACAAAGTGCTTGCACAAACATATCCAAGGCTGGCGCGGACTGTCCCGAGGACAGATTCACCAAAGACCTACCGGATCCGAAACCCTACAGGTCGCAGAATGCAGTGGCCATAACCTGCGCACTCTACCCTTGTCTGAAACATTATCACGCCCATGTTAAGGGAGGAAAGCTCGAGGAGAAAGTTGTCAGTAAAGAGCCGTTGACGCCTATTGACATTGTCATGGACGACGATGGATTCGGAACAGCTAAAAATCTCAACCGAACTACCGTTCAGTCGCCTTGTTTGGTTGATGGCGAGGAGTACAACTTTGACAACTTCTCTCGCATGGCCGAATCCACAAAGGGCGCCTTGACGGTGGAGATGGATGGCAAAAACTACACCGCCCCAAGGCAGTGCATATACGCATTTGGTTTTGCATATTCAATGGGTCTTGAGGTCTTTATGAGGGATACTCTCTTTAATCGAGGCTGTAATGTCAGCTACCAAGTGGGATCGCCTCCGGAATGTGGGAGCAGATGGTGGCTTGCCCCTCTGTACAACTCATCCTACGATGCCCTGGATACTGCAATGGATGACTTCACCACGGCTATGACGAACAATTTCCGAAGGCAAGCGAAAATAGGTCTTGGTGTCTCAGGGTCAGACAAAGTCATCGGCACAGTAAACGAAACAACCATCTGTACCGTCTTTGATTGGCGCTGGATTTTGCTACCGGCTGGCTTGATGGCAGTCACAATGGCGTTGTTAATCTACGTCGTTGTTCAAAGCTACACCAACACAACATTGCCTATTTGGAAGACATCCGTTCTGCCGCTGTTGTTCTACGGGCCTAATGTATTGAACGACCAGACTCGTGAAATTGATGTGGATGAGCTTCAGAGGCATGCAGGGAAAATAAAGGTTGAATTCAAGAATGATGATGGCATCAGGTTGCGGAAAATCGATACCACAGCAACGGAGAGTTGAGCGACGACAGTTATGACTATATGTTTAAGCTACGAAATATCATTGATGAATAAGACAGTCGAGCTAGGCTTCAACGATAATATACACTATTACCTCACCAGTACCTACGTGGCTTACTAGTCTAGCGTCTCATGTTGCACAACCTGATGAAGGACGTCTGAACCAAATAATGCTCCAATTTGTCTTTATATTACCAGCTTATCAAAAGGCCATGATGGCAATGTGAAGTCCACTGACAGCAAAAACATATAGAATACTGACGGATGAAGACACATTTCTACCGCCATTGGGTTCAGCACTTGTAGTTGCCGCTGCCACACTGCCAGTCGTGGTAGAACCACTATCAGAAGTAGAAGTCTCTGTTGTTTTAGGCGGATTGTTAGTTTCAGCTGATGCCTGTCCGGTAGTCGAAGTTGAAGTCAAAGTGATTTCCTCATCAGAAGACTACGTTGGTTAGAAGATTGACCCAAGGGCTCACCGCCATACAGACTCACCATCAATCCCGCCTCAACGGCTTCACTAGTAGAAGCCGTAACAGTCTCGCAAACCCTCCTCAGGACAGTCGCATAAACTAACAAAAATCAGTCATCTTCTTCTCTTTGCACCTCTGATACTCACCATTATAAGCAGATGGACCGCAAATATCCCAAACACAATCCTCCTCTCTTTCAACCCAGTCAACTGACTCATTACACCAACACTGCCCGACGCTTCCTTTGTTGCAAGACTTGAAGTTTCCATAAGTCTTATAGCATGCTTGGAAACATTCTGCGCGCTTTTCTTCAAGATCGAAAGCTGCGGCTCCGGAGGCGGTTGGTGCGAGGGTCACGGTTGCTAGATAATCACTTTCGGTGTCGGCTGCGGCAGATAGACTGGTCAACCCAAGAAGGGATAAAGCGAAAGGTACAGAGGGTCTCATGTTGATTTACTTGATTTTTGATAGTCTCTACGTAATAAGCATTGAGAGTTGCGGTATGAACGAGTTGATGGTTTTTATAGAGTCGCTAAGAAGTTAGCCCAAGGCAGGGGTCGTCTTGGCAGCTGAACATTTGTCATTTCACCTACACCAACTATATCTCAGACAAAAGCCACGTGTTTTGATACAGGTAAATATCACACGCCAAATGGTTCTACACATTGTCTCAAGGCAGAATCGCAACTTGTGGTCGAGTCCGTTGACGAGATCGAACCAGCCAATATCATATCATTTTTACAAAGCCTCTGTTCTCATAAATATGCCCATATCTTTCGATCATTTTTAACATCTCTAAATACGCAGAACCCAAAATCAACACCTTTTAGTCTCATCCTATTTATTGCTGTCCGCTAAGTTCTTCAGCAACTTGCTTCTTAACCTGCTCCCTCACAGCCTTCCAGTCATTTGAGATATCAGAAACCCGCTTGGGCAACTTTTCAAGACCAACAAACTCCTTGGGAAGAACCTTTTCGTTAAAGTTAAAGTCCTTCTCATCCTTGAGAGCGAGCTCGACAGCACCGGCAAACTTGGCAGGGTGAGCAGTGGACAAAGAAATGTGAGGAATGTTGGGCTCGGCGCGCTCAGCGGATCGTAGAGCAGCGGTGATACCAACGGAGGAATGAGGGTCGAGAACGTATCCGAGTTTTTGGTAAGTGTCTTTGATTGTCTCGAGAGTCTGGGGGTCGCTGACGCGCTCGCTCTCAAAGGTCTTGCGGGCGCTGTTGAGAACGTCGACGTAGACAGGACCGAAACCACCCTTGTTCTTGAGGTCCTTGAGCCAAGTAGCAACTTCTTGGCCGGCTTGCTTTCGGTTGAACTCGACATCCATACCAACAGTCTCGGCAAACTCGTAGGCCAGGAACCAGAGAAGACGCTCAAAGTTGCTGGACACTAGAATGTCCATCGCAGGGCTGAGAGTCTCCTTAACACCATCCTCGTGAGCCTTGGCGCCATCAATCTCAAGACCACCCTCGGCCTCGGGACCCTTGGCGGGCTGCTTCTCGTACTTTCCAGTCTTCCAGAATCGATCAAGGATATCGTTCTCATTAGTCGCGATAACAAGCTTGTCGACGGGAAGACCCATGCGGGTGGCAAAGTATCCAGCCAGGATGTCGCCAAAGTTTCCGGTAGGGACAACAAAGCGAACCTTGTCGCCTACCTTGAAATTGGGGTCCTTTCTGGCAAGGGAGAAGTATGAGTGGAAGTAGTAGACGATCTGAGCGAGGATTCGGGAAAAGTTGATGGAGTTGACGGCGCCAAGCTTAAGGTCGGCGTTGGTCTCGGGGTCGCCAAAGAGAGCCTTGACAATGTCCTGTCATTTGGTTAGCTGGGTCTTACTGAAATGACGGTGGACGAACCTGGCAATCGTCAAAAGTACCGGTAACGGCAAGGTTGTGAACGTTGGCATCAGTGCAGGTGGTCATCTGAAGCTCTTGAATAGGGCTGACACGGCCCTTGGGGTGCAGGATAGTAACAGACACATCCTTCTTTCCTCGAAGGCCGTGGATAGCAGCGGATCCGGTCTAAAGCAGTTAGAATGGTACCACACCAGGCTACTAGTGACTCACATCACCGCTTGTCGCGCCAACAACAGTCAAATGGTGTCGGTCCTTGCCCTCCTTGCCCTCGTTCTTTCGTGCGAGGAGGTATTCGAAGAGGTTACCGAGGAACTGTAGAGCGCAATCCTTGAAGGAGTAGCTGGGTCCGTGGAAAAGCTCGAGGAGGTGTAGGTTGTCCTTCAATTGGACGAGGGGGACGACTTCTTGTGCGCGGAATGTTGAGTAACTTCGGTTGATGATGCCTTGTAGGTCTTCGGCGGGGATTTCGCTTCGGGAGATGTAAAGGCTAAAGATCTGGAAAGCCAATTCCTGGTATGAGAGGTCTTTCCAGCTTTGCTAGTTTTGTTAGTGTTGTTACCAGTATTCTGCTTCCACAATTGTACGCACCCATTCTGTCGCAGAAGGAATCTCATGGGGAAGGAAAAGACCGCCATCGGCAGCCAATCCCTTTAGGACAACGGTCTCGAAGGAGAGCTTCCAGGGTTAGCGGGTTGTTCATGAGGTTGAGATTGAGGGTCTCGTACACCGTAGTCACCACCTCTTGTGGAGAGGTAGACTTGTGATTGAGTATGTGTCGAATCGCTGGCCATTTTGTCTGCTTGTTGATGCTTGGGAAAATAAAAATCTCGGTGCCCCTCGTCGGAATGGTTGGGGAATGAACCAACAATGAGTCGCAAATGCAGCCACCCCGCCGGAATATAAATGGTCCGTCCGGTATCGGAGATGACCGCATTGTCAAAGTCGCAATTCCCTTGTCACGATGATCCGTTTCTCTACAACCCAAGAGGGACTAATCAGCAAGATTGTCTTTGTATGTACCTTGATAAAGATGATCTAATTAAACCGATATTGATTGTCATATTCATCTACAACGAAGTCCATCTCTTTCGTCTCGAGGCCCAACTTTCAAATTATTTCAGGGGTAGGAAAACACGGCACGGTGATATGATCACGAATCTTGGCAACCAATTACAGCTCTTGCTTCTCACACGATAATTTAAAAACATGGGCCCATTTAAGGCTGAAGACACAATCCTCAGGGTATGAGAAAAATTGACCGCTGGAAGTGTAAGGAACGGAATTAGTAGGTCACTTTATGCTCCTTAGACTATAGTTCTTAGACTATTTATTTTTATACCCTAAAGCTTGGGGGGCATTTTTTCTGGTACCCGGTAGACAATGTCAGCGGCTAACAACACGATACGACAAATTGTCTAGGATACAACGTTACGGCTGACCGTTTGAGTCACCGGTTAATTTACAACATGGCATTAATTTGCTTCGCCCTGCGGCGTGGTAATAGCTTATAACCAATTTGCTCCGCCGTTTTGAACTGCTAACCATCAATCGTTAAGCAAAAGTCACTCGCTTAGACATCACATTCGTTCTATAAACCTCTAAAATGGTTAAGGCTACTCTTCTCTCAGCCCTCCCCGTGCTCATGCTCGCTGAGCAAGCCCTTGGATTCGGTTGCTCAACACACAGCTTCACCACATGCGAAGATAAAATCGTTCACTGGTTCGACCCTGATGATGGCATGATTTGCGATCCTCTTGATTGCGGTGGTGGTCGAGCCCCCGTAAAGACCGGCGTACCAGGATGCGCCAACTACTCGGGCACCGAGACCCGCGGAACATCATACCTCTCATGCTGGAAGCCTTCGACTACTCTTGCCACCGCATCCGCTGAAGCAACCAGTGAGGCCGTCAGTGTCGATGCTGAACCTACCAGTACAGCTGTCGAAATCGAGACTCAGATCACAACCGAGAGCCAAGCTGCCGAGCCAAGCACTTCCGGAGTGATTGAGGCGACCGTCTCTGAGCTTACCACTGTTGCCCCTGTCATCCCCTCTCAGACACAGACGACTACTGAAACTCAAGCGACTGAGCCAGCGTCTACCCCGATTGTCAATCCCAACGCTGCACAGGCTTTGAAGGGTTCTTTTATTGCTGCTGTCGGAGTTGCCATCGTTGCGATGTTTCTCTAGGCACAAACAGTCATTGGTATGGATAGGATATGTGTTAGGAATCGATGATATAATGAAAGTGTATTCAGTTGGGTTTTGTTCGGCCTGTTTTCTGAGACATATCGGATCTGGTTATCATAATATGGACATCCTTCGGTATCAAATATCTTAATTATTTCTCAATATTGACCTCTTCGTTTTCGCAATCCTTTGATACCTCTCGAGCTTCCTTCTTTCTCAATTTTCGAAGACCGGCGTTTTTCAATTTTGTAAACGATACCGGCTTGAAGACATACTTTCGTTCCCCCGAACCCTTGCAAGCGATGTTAAGTCGAGTACATCTCGAGCAAGCCGGTTTCTGCTGATCGCACTACGTATAGTCAGTCAGTATCAGTTATAATAAGGCAAGATGAATACCTTTTTCTTTTGCTTGAGGCAGTTATTACAGCCTCTGCTTTTGGGAACTCCTGGCATTGCACCTACTAAGTACAGGTTTGATTTTTATGCAAGCCTGCAACATCAAATTCGAATTCTCTTTTCGATCGAGATTTATATTTTCTCCATTTTATATACCTATTAGCGAGAGGCGGTTTTATCCCCCACTTCAACCAGAGCGCTCAGTTCCACCTTGTTGGGAATAGTGTCATGTCATGGCGTAGATCAAGTGGCGCTGTGTAATGCACACTGGGTCTTGTCATCCTCCCCAGACCCTTGGGACCCAATGTAAGGCTGATGTAAGGGTCCGCAATGTTTTCTTGGATCTTACTTCTCGATTAAATGTCTCTTTCGGGAGAACGCCTGATGTTTGTGGAGGCAAATATCCGGATTTCGAGGTTGATTTTCAATGATCTTCAGATCTGACATGCTTAGACTATCGCCATAGTATTGTACTCCGAAATAGAAGCATAATTACTGGGGTGATAATGGATATTGTCTGCAACTCAAGCCCATCATGCTTGAAAAGGGATGATACCATATCCTATCAACTATCAAGGGAAAAATGGATTCCCACTTTAATTGATGTTAAGATCTAAAGTTGTCATGAGTATCATCCGTCGGTGTTAAACAGACCTCTCCCTAGTTCTAAGTAATTTATTAAACCTGAAACCGTTATCATGAAATGCAGAATTATGTTCTTGAACGAACTCGAGCATCTTAGATGCATACAGTTCCTCGGCGACTGGCTCTAATTAAATTGACAATTTATGTCCTCGAGTACCCGTCCCTCAGCCGACTCCGGATATTACCGCGACTCATCCGTATGTTTGGAGATATTCAAATACTTCAAGCTGTATTGCTGTGCAATTTTGGAACAATATAGACGTTGGGTGTATTGCTGCGGAACAAGAACTTTGATAAACCATATATCGCTTATTAATAACATCATCGAACCTCAATAGTCCTCAGACAGAACGGTTCATGAGTCTGGATCGTCTATGATGCGATACTGAGTGACAAAAACATCAGTAGGCTTTGTCCAGTCCAGCCTGTCTTTCTTTGTCCGCACTACAGACTGCCACATATTCCGCCAACTTCTCGGAGCATCGTAGGCAAAAGGAACCCAACGCGCATATTTACCGTTCTCAAATTCCCGTCCTCGTCTGTTGATCTCTTCCGTCCACTCCACGTCGTTGAATCCGTCCAGTTCTAGGTTTTCCTCTCTTCATTCCTCTGTTAGATCGGTGCCGTCGACAACATCGCAGAGTTGGGTTTCGTTTCAACTGTCCAAAGAACTCTGGATAAAGACAATTAATTTAGGATAAAGTAGCCCTCTGAGGCTACGTGTGGTGTTCGAAGGCGTACAGGCTATATGGACGTCTTGCGCAGGCACTAAGATGAAGTAGAAATCGGCATCCTTGCCTTTAAACCGATGATAGTTATGTAAAACATATATGCTAGGATACGGCCAAGGCTCCACCAAGGAGTAATTTGTCGAATGAGGCTCAGATTGCAGCAAATCCACGGCTTTCTCAACGAGTTCAGATGGGACACATATTTCCCAGTTCTGTAAACCGATGCAAGACAATCAGCGATTTATCACGCAAGAACGATATTTCTATGTTTCCAAAGAACCTGTGTGTAACAGAAAGGTCAGCCTAAGCCTTAAAGTGAAAAAATAAATAACCTAAGGAGTCTGATCTAAACAGCGTAATCTGGCCTACTGATTTTATCTCTTATGATTCACCTATGGCGACAGGACGGAAAACCAGTCATGCACAACTTCAAGGGTTTGGCAAGGGGGATAGCTAGGTACGCGACTGAGTCTTCGAACTTGGACGTTAAGCCAGGCTGATTTTGTGGAAGGAGATGCCAATAAGCCAGGGAGTGAGAATTCTCACCCGGAAAGAAATATTTACATGCTTGAGCCATAAATCAAGTATTAAAGAAGCGCACATTCTTTGATTGGCACTCTATCATTGATACATGAGTTTATTCAGCAGTCCATTTGTAGTTCCTGTCTCAGCTATTATGTCCGCTGAATACCAGTGTTCGACGCTGGGAATAAACCTTTGCCCCCTGACCATTGAAAAGGCCACTCTGCGACAAGGATTTCCGGAATAGATGTCTAGAACCTACAGGTGAGTTTACGATCCAAGGATAGGTAAATGTCATGTGCAATGACATAGGCAACTCCCCGATCGTCTTGCAACAAAGAGACAGCATCAAACAAGGAAATTAAAGATTGGCTTTTTAGCACCTCCAAATTACAGTCAGTAGATGTGACAGCCACTGTGAAGGAAGAACCATGTTCGGGCAGTCTCTCTCCGCAACCACTTTGGCGTTGTACCATGGTGAGATGGAACATAAGGCATCGGAGTAGATGGCTTCTAAGCTGGTTCTCTTCATCCGTACTTAGACTGTCAAACTCCCAAAGGGACTTAAAATCGCACTCCCACGACTCCTCGTGATCGAATCTAATGCCTGAATTCCATAATTGACTCATGATGTCGTTGACATATGAGGCTCTCTGCTATAAATTGGACCTGTGAATGGATAGGAGATCTCGAATTGTACCAGGCGCTTCTGTGGCACGTCGGCCAGCAGTGGTTGAGTTGAGATTGAGAAGGCCAAGGACCAACCACAGTAATCCTTCATTTCGCAATGAGTGGCTAATTCCTCTACTCTTTGCCATCACTTGTGATGGAGTGGTTAAACTAGCTGTAACGGTGCTTTTTATTCCAATGAAGTCGGTAGTTCCATTCTTCAGATACACAGCGAGACGCACCTTCATTTGACGAACAATGCCATAGCAATCAAGAGTGACCAACAGAGCCATACGATAGTCGTACTCGAAATACCCCAACATTTCTCGAAATACAACAGCCTCGGTCTCAGAAAGAACAAGGCCGTTATGATCAGGGTTGATAACACGTTGGTACTCGAGGCGCTCAATCACTTCCTTGCATCGAAGCGGGTATTTGATGAAACATGAAAGAACTCCACCGAGGTCAATTCTCCATGTGGCCATGTCGACTGCTGCCGCTACGAAATCGCCAAGGTGGGCGTTCTCAACAAGATGATGCCGAGGCCCGCCTTGGGCAAAGGAATGGACTGAACCTGCCGCCATGTACACGAACCTCTATTATGTTGAAGGCTGGCGACCACCAAAGCTGGATACGACGTTCTTCTTGAGTGGTCGAACGAGCCATTGTGATCACCTGGGCAGACGAGGTATGCCAGATCTTGTCACGTGGGATATCGGATCCTAAGACAAGATAAAATTAATCGAGTTCGTTGAACTCGAAAGGTGCCCGAAATGGCAGGGAGGGGCTGCTATGTCTCGAACAGCCCTACCTACCAATCGTGTCAAGATACCATTCTCGCCGACTTTTCTTTCACAATATCAACAAGAATGCATTCAAACACAACAGGCAACATACCACAGCGTCATGTCCACCAGTCAGTTGATCTGTGTCGTGCTTGTGTAAGACTTGCTTACTGAGATAGCTACCATTTCGGGAATAGAGCGCGTCTTACATGCAGATCCTCAGCCCAGAGAGTTGAAAAGTCGGGATTTCAGCAACTTGAACATGACTCACCGATATGTCCAACAACGCAATTCTGACAAATTGTTCACTTGCCGTCAATGGAAATATGCCCAGCTGCATTGTCTGAATCTTGATTGGCACCTTGTTCCATCTAGAACAATTCCAAATTCTGGGGGCTGAGCTAGCGAGGCGCAGTCTGTTTCCGCGTGTCGTTAACACCGACCGGCAATGTCGCAGTGGATATCACACACAAAACTAGCAGCATTTTAACCAAACGGAATTACGTAGCCTGCATCTGAAAGGCTAAGGCTATATCAAATTGTCTGACTGCGGCATGATTGTGGATAACGCCAGTAAGCAGGGTGTTTGCTGCTAGACATGGAATCGCAATCTTAAAAGAACCTCGACAATCCGCCAAAGATTTGACCGTCATTGCTTAGATTGATCGGTGTCTTCTAACAACATGTCTTACCTTCAACAATCGCCGTCACATAGCACGCATCTAACATCAAGTCCCCATACAGTCAGGTCAAGAAGATCGCACACAAAGTCGCGACATGGATGCTTAGGATGTAAACAAAGAAGAAAGAAGGTGAGAATATGAAAACATCATTCCGATTGCGTAAATATACTAACATGCGCAGTGTGACGAACAAAGACCCCAATGCTCGCGATGCCTTGATAAGGACATTCCATGTGAATACCCTCGCTCGCCAAAGTCCCGAAATCTGAGGTCGTTCGTGTCAGATAAAGACAACGCGTGGGATCAATCTCAAAGACTTACTGTCCCAAGTCCTGATCTTCATCAATCCACTGGTTCCAGCCTTGGTTCGACATCCAGCGTTTCCTCGCCATTCCTGGCACCAACTCCAAAATACGAGTTCAGCACCAACATATTCACCAACCAAAGTATTGAGCCCTCTGTGGATCTCGGTGCAACAGAACTAGAGCTTTTCAGTTACTACTTGTCACATGGTGCCCGGTCAATGGCCTATGATGACGAGGACCTATACGCACTACAAGTTGGCTTTCCGAACCTGGCATTTCGAAGCAAACCGTTGATGAGCTCCATTCTTGCCCTTGCAGCAGTCAGAAAATGCCACGATATACTCTCCCAGCCGTCTACACAGCCCGCCGACAAAGGCCAAGTTAGAACTCTTCTGGCTCTTGCGGACGAGCACCACAGAGACTCGCTTCGTCGGACGCAAGCTGATATCCCCAACGCCAACCAGTACGACCACGTCGTTGCAAACGCACCTCTTATGGTACTTTATGCAACAGCAAACCACGCCGTTCGGATCAAACTGTCGGATACATTGGATGACCAAGATGCAAGTACCAATCTGGCTCCGGCGCAACTGCACTGGATGACACTCATCCGCGCAGCGCATTTGGCGTATACGGGTCTTTTGCACTCTACCAAGGACTTCAGCATGTTGGATGATTTCACTGCCAGTCCTCCAGCGATAACTCTGAATCATCCAATTAGTGGGCTTGTTCCCATGGCTGAGAATGGTCCAACTCAGAAGACGGAGACTCTGCTGATGCCTATCATTGCAGCCACATACAGCTCGGCGCTAGAGAAGTTGCAGACAAGAGCGCAGACGTTGCAATTCACACTGCATCTGACTTCCTCGGACGACTCCAAGGAGTGTGGTGAGTTTCAAGCTTGTGTTGTCGCCCTGGAGTCCCTGGGTAATATCTTGATCGAGTTGTTTGAAGCAGGTGACGGCAACTACGACACATCTCAGGTTGATTTAGAGAACGATTGGGCAGCTTTAAGTCAGCTTTCTGATGTGTCACCCTGGTTGCGGAATTACATGGCACGCGTCACATTCTCAACCCCACCAAAGCCACTGAGGCGAACAATCATGTGGTTTCTCAATCGAGTTCCAGCAGAATTCCTGAGTATTGTCCAATCGACCCTTGACAACATACCTGACACTATTCCCGATGAAGGTATTCAGTGCGACAGCGATGATTCTTCTGAGACTTCTCGACTTGCCATGGACATTTTTGCCCACTGGCTTGTTCTGGTCATGCTTCTGGATGGTGTTTGGTGGATCGGTGGAATCGGAGTCTGTGAATTGGGTAGAATCACAAAGTATATGGGTCGACAACAAGAGGGTTTGGTAGGATCAAAAGGATCTTGGTGGCCGAGGAGCATACTCAATATCGCATTGGAAATAGGCAAACAGGGCTAGATTCGTGAGAAGCCGATAATCATGTTTAGATACAACTGGGGTAACCGGAAACAACTCGATTGATTTTAGTAGGTCTTTGAGTTAAATATTTTAATGTAATTGGTCATCCCTCGTCCACGCCTTGATAGGCTCCATTGGGATATCTTGTGATCGTCCCTGTTGTTCGCGCTGCTTCAACATTAGCATAGTATGATCAATCTAGATTTCCAACACTCACATCCACTCTTGTTAGCATAGTATCTTCAGACTCACCTCTCTGACGCGGGGCGTGAGAAACAAAATTTTGGGCATTCTCCTCATGCCACTGTGGAACTCCATCTACATAAGTCTGACTGATGTTTGCTGCAAACTCGTAATGTCCATCGTCCCTTGAGCCCATTGGACGTAGGATTGACCCCAATTCTGCTCTAGAGGACGATTCAAACCGTGAAATCTTACGATTGTATCCAGGCATCGAGAAATCGGTAGAAGCCGGCGGATGGACCGAGGGTGAGGCGTTATCTCTGTACTCGAAGGTCGTGATTTTTCTCATGGCTGATTCCGATATTCGGTCCAGAACACTCTTGAAATCGTCGAGGAATATAACGTCGGATGCGCATTTGAATACCAGGGCTAGCTAGAAACAAAAAGTCAGTAGGTATTGGGAGTGTCTCGCGAGAAGAACATACCCTCCAAAATGGATTCATTCCACCTCTCTTAGATACCACAATCATGAAGACGACATCCGTGATTAAGAACACAATTGAGAGAAGAAGACAAAGAAGCATGATTCCGAAGCGTGGGCTTGTGCGAACCAGACCGGATATCGTAAATTCGTAGTTCTCGCGAATGGCCATGACCAATTTTATCGTCGTGAAAACCCACCATGGGTCTCTGAACAGCGGTTCGAGTAATCTTGATGTGTCAAAAATTCGGCTACCGAGGTGGTTGTGGTATTGGAAGTTTGCCCAAGTTTCGAGAATCCAGTAAGGTTGAACCATGAGCAATGTGATGATGAAGATTCGTGCGCCCCATTTAGGAAGAAACGGTCGGATCTTTAGCCACGCGATGAGATTGTGGATGAAGTATGAGACGTAGAGCAGAGTTGCGGTGCTGCTGAGGATCCTTTGATACGTTAGCAAGGCGTAGTTAAAATGTCGGTTTTATCTTATTACCATCCATATTCTGGCTCTTCAAAGAATGCAAAGAATCCATGTCCGAGCGCAAGGAGTAGCTGTTGCCAATGATTAACACGAGTCTATGGAGAACGGAGGGCGATCATACTTCACCAAGAATAAGCTTATGTAGTAGTGTCTTTCTGCGATAGTTGCATAGAACAAGCAAAATAAGGATGACAACGGCTCCGACGTTGAAACCCTGACTCCACGCTTCTACGACGGCCTGTTTTCGGGTCGTGACGTACGGGCTGTTTTGGTTCGATGCCATTTCGACATCGTGGGTGAGCGTTAGGGAAAACGGGTTCTAGTACAGTCAGCACAGCATGAAGAAAACAACTTTGCATGCAAAATCAGCATAAGCGAAGGAAGGCTGATTAATATTACTCTCGAGAACTGTAACGTCATTGTTGTCCCAGGTTGCAAGGGTGCTTTGTCTTGCCAATGCTTGGCTTCTTGGTGTCGAATCATAGATGGAAGAAAGCCGCTGCCTTGACATGGCTCAGCCCAAGGATCTGGTTGGCTGTGGGCACCAATCAGATGGGAGGGCTGGGGGTAGTTGGGGATGAGAGTACATCTCCAGAATAAAACGGTTAACCTATGAGATGTCTGACTCAAAGTTTATCTAACACGCCGAACAAAGACACGAACCAGTATGACACGTCATGTTTTGACATATCGTTGGTGTGTTATAGCTCGTATGGCCCAACTGTCATCGCAACAATTGCTTGCTAGTCGCTTCCCAATCCAAGGGGCAGCGCTCTGCCAGTCTCTTTAATGACGATATTTTGGATATCAAGGATGAGCTTCCAGAACTTTAGTGCTCCCTCCATATCCTCTACATCTTTATTGAGCTTCTGTATAAGCTTCTCAAATTCCGATAGTGTCTCGTTCCATTGGAAGTCGGGCGGAAGACTTTCTAGCTCTTTCGTGCACTCGTCAAGGAAATCGATTATTTCAATCAGATGGGCATTAACGCGGTTCATGTCCTTCAGGTACCTTTCGCAGAGAGCGGCCTCTTCGAGACTATCACGGAGATTCGAATCGAAGATACGGATACCCGAAAAAAGATACGCCGTATTGGTCCTCAGGCCCTCATCATCAGTGATAGTTCCATGGCTAGTCGCTCCCTCTTCAATTGCATTAAATTCATGTTGATATACAAGGGATCCTGCAAGATTTGTGACCAGCTGCTCTGCTTTTGGCAGCTGATCAGACTTCCAAACCCGCACAACGTTTCCGATAGTCAGCTCAGCTTTATGTCCAAGCTTCCGCAGTATACTAACGGTATGGCCAAGAGGTCGAGTGATATTCCTGACATTGTCCTCGCCGTATACCGCAACACTGTTGTACAGGTTTGTAGAGCAGTCCACGTAAAGAGGACTCTGCAACATCCGGGTCAACCCAGTACTGTCCAGAGACCTGTCGCACATCTTTTCAAATGTCTTGATAAGAGCCTCGATACTGGGGATGTCTTCCCCCCTTGTGATAAAGGCTGGGATGTCTTTTACAAACTCCCCTGCAGCATGCTTGTCTACACGATTTACATGATGACGCGCAAGCTTTTCGTCTTTTGACAGGGTTGTCGGAGCAGACTGGTACTTAACATTTGCTTTATACCCAGCTACATACTCCTTCATCTGTTCAAAAAGGCGCTCTATCTCCTTGGTGTTAAGGAATTGGCCGCAGTATTGTTCAAGACTTAACCCAATGACATGCACACCAGGAATCACATCAGTAGCCCGTCGAGGCATTGGAAAACAAGTGATATTTCGTTGGACAACGTCATAGGCAAAGGTGTTATTGACTATGCTTTGCACGACCTCGAGATCCATGCTATGCAAAAGTTCAAGCATCGACCAGTCAGCGCGTGTCAGCGCGGCGACTGTGTCAGCCACGGAAACGTTATTGTCCTTTAAGGTTTGGTTATTCTCAAGGGCAGCAGCTACTACAGGGAGCTGTAGGTACGTCTCGTACAGGGACTCACTCCTTGCACAGAAGTCAGTCAACCTGATATGTTCCTCGTCCCAGAGCATAGGCATCTCTGCGCTACGCTCAATAGGCAAGGGGGCAAGCGCCTCAGGATAGTCCTGGATATCATTTTCAGAAAATGAGTCCATTTTTGTCGGGTACTTTGTGTGGTGAAGAAGGGGAAAGTAAACCAGTGGAAGAAGCCGTGGGGAAGGTGAGTGTGGTGGAGGAAAGGTCGTGGCCAGGCAGCAGCCTTGGTGGAAGTTGATGATTGCTCAGCTCGTGTTGTGGCAGCAACAAAGGTGGATGATTGTTGTTCAGATTACAGCGCAAAATATACGTCATTAGGAACAAGCTAGATTAACACAGAATGATGCCAGAATAGTAATAAAAATTATAGTTGTTCAATAGCATTGACAAGGGGTGTGCTACAGACTGCGTTGGGTTCACAGGTTACTGCAGTTTGTAAACCTCTGTTTGCCCGCGCAAAACGATAACAAATTCCATAGGACCTAAAAACAAAATAATTCAAGCACTTTATTCAAGCTTAGACTTATCCTTAGCCTATTTGGTTTCTAAAGTCCCTAAAGAGTGGATTGCACTAAGTGCTATTGCAAACAGAAGGTGGCAAGGCGGCCGCCTAACATGATTGCAAGAAATTACCATCCATCTCTTATAAACTGTGACAACCCGCAATAAAGATCCCTTCATTCATTATCCCGCACCGTTTATCTCAATATATCCTTTCCAAAGTTTTCCCTCCAACTTCATCTACAGCGCAATAAGACACTGCCTTATATATATATACCTTGGATCAAGCTCAAACCCGATGTTCCCAAATCGGGAAGAAGACTACTACTGAGCCACGCCTTAGCAAGACTTTCCATATAGAGTCGGCTATCTTCTATGGCATTTCAGAAATGGTGGGCACAGAGAGTAAGTTAGATGATGGCTATTACAGAAGACGTGAATGCTAACATACGAAGACGCAAATAGGACAATAAGACCTACAATCGAGTGATCAGAAATAACTATAGACGACCATTCGCCGCCATACTCAGTACGACGGCACCGACCTCCATGGTACTTCATGCCCAGGAGGTTTTCCAACCCCCAGAGGCCTTGGCTGGCATAACTCAGAACCGGCATCCTATCCTGGTTTAGAAGGCTAGCAAAATCCTGCTCGGACTGATTATTCCTAACATGGGTTGGGTAAGTCTACAAGACTTCCGCTAACCGATCAACATTTACTAACACTCACGCCGTATTTCCAAGGCAAGAAGCCGGTCTAAGGTTCACATCTTCCGTCCTGGGTTCGATGAGAATTTATACAGCCACGAAACAACAATCTCTCCCTCTCATATTGAACATGCGACACCCGAGCAAAAGCTCGCCGAAGCGTATAATTTTGACACTCAAGTACCGGTTGCGATACAAAAACCTTTACGCGCCGAGACAGTTGCGGTCTTTGATGCTGGACTCTAGCCACTTACTGCCAGCGTGATATTCTCTCATACTTTAAGGGCATTCTCAAGACATAAAGAGTCTGCATACCGAGATAAGATGGCTTCAATCAGGGTGGATAGAAAGCAGATCAAAGAAGTAGATTGATAGCTCCGAGATCAAAAAGGCTGGTTTTAAGAGCAAAGGTAAACGGCGTCGACTTCCAACTTCAAGAGGTTTGATCTGCATTTGTAAGACCCACGAGGGGGCATATTGAGAAGAGTGGCAAGGCGTACGAAGCTATTTGCACGCAACGACTGTATTCAAGAGTAGCATTATTGTCTTGACGATAATGGCCGGAGAAACTCATACTTAAGTTATAGAACGTAGATATATGTATCTAAACTCTCTACAAAGTCCAATAGAGGCTTTGATTCCTGCGCACCAATCCAAATGACCGCTCTATTAGCAATCCACAACGCCACTATAACCATATCCCTCTCCTCAATCCATATAGATTCCCTCCCATTTGTGATAACTACATCTTGCAGCGCCAACTGCCACGTACTATGCTGCCGCATCGAAGTTTTATCCGCATACCACCTTAGCTGTCTTGTCTTATAGGTATACTCGAGAACACCACTTCTAAGACGCCGTTTTGCCGCGCGGAGCTGTCGATTAATGGACGTGTGTTTCCAGAGGAGTTCTTGCTGCCATTGGGGAACGTGCCCGCTGATACGGTAATAACCTGAGCCAGCCTTTTGAAGTTAGTAACAGTGTGCTCAGTCTCGGGGGTGTTTACCTCTTCGTAGTGGATACGGAAAGTGTTCATCGTGTCAGTATCTAAGAATTCCATCACCATATGAGTGACAATTTCATCAGCAGAGGTAGTGCTATGTCTCATAAAGGGTATCTCGTCGTCTTTGTGAAAATCTTTCTGAGCCCAGTGTTCCGCTTCAACTTCCTTTAGAGCGCGCTCGAGCTCCGAAATCTCCTCTTCTGCGTATTGTTCGTCATCATCATATAACTGGGACAATCTAGTACAGGATTTTAAGGTCTTTCCTCGTAATGAATCATCCATTATAAAAAGAATACCCAGAGAAAGTCGCAGAGGTAAAAGATCGTATGTCTCCATATAGTCGATCAGAAACTTGTCGAAGGATAGACGGTCTGCCAATTTCTGCGTGAAAAATGACCGATCATGTTTCCCCTCAAACACTCTGGAGTAACGTGACAGGCCAGATAATTGCCCAAAGCCCGAGTGGCAGAGTTTTTCCATCTTGGGGATATCAATGGCATCTCTCAAGATTGACACCCAAAGCTTATCTTTCCATATCAAAAATCCCCAGTTATCCCAGTCTAAAGTGAGGATAAGTTTCAGTGTCTTCTCGAGGTCTTGTCTTCGGAATAGACAGAAGAAGTCTCTAGACGGGTCCGAGTAACGGACCCAATCGCCATCGAGACTTAGACCGAAGACTTCCGATGGCGAATGGGGTCGCTTTTCGAAGTCCCCATGCTCAGTATCATATTCAAAGCTATGATTATCAAAAGCTTCTTTCTCCTCCATTTTGAGAATACCAAACATCCGTTTTGCTCGACTGGCATTATCGATGGGGAGAAACTGTAAGATTTGTGGCTCTGGAATACCGAGACACTGCATTGCAATACCTATGGCAATTGGTATGTCATCAGATTCCTGTAGAGAGTACGCAGGCCAAGCCAGAACGTGATCAAGGTCGCGTCCCATCATCTCGAAATGAGGCTCGGGAGCTTCCAACGATATGACACTCTGTCGTCCATCTGTAGTTCTTCCACAGGGCAAAAAGCCATGAGCTAGCCAGAATAAGGTTTGCAAAGAGGCGTCTTCCCTTCTCTCCTCAACACCCTCTTCAAAAATCTCTTTCGCAATATGTGGAACAAATGAGACAGCAGGTAAATAACTCCACGAGCCTTTATGTCTACCTAGCTGCTGCATTTTGCCAGTGATTCCATAAAGGGTGGGTTGAGGAGTGGTCTCCAGAGTAATGGTTCCGTAGGCGCTGCGTCGCACAGCCACCACTGTACCTTCTGGCTCAGAATCGCTGTCGGACCAAGAACTCACACTACCTGAGCGTCTACTGGAATGTCCTCTTCCCCTGAGTCTCGAGGCTGAATGTGTTTGTTTTTTACGGACCCATTCGAACGGCGTCTCAAAGTCCCTCCTTTTAGTTTTCCTTGGCAGGGTGAAGTGCCGAATTGATGCGCGTTCACCGTCAAAGTTCCTCCTGACTCCCTTACGCTGCAAAATCCCTTTATCCACGCGTTCTCCATAACGGCCGAGAAGGCCCAAAATGAGGATCCAGTGCTTGTTGACCACTAAAGCGGTTCGACTATTGACGACTTCCAGCGTTCCTCCAGTCTTGGGTATACCCAGGTCAACTGGTCCGTTGCTAATCCCATCACGTACTTTGTACGACTCGATCAACTCGGACATCTTAGCCCAGCCATTGTTCCATGGTAAATAGTCCCTTGATTCGAACCCCCAACGGCCCAAGGCAGCGCTGAGCGGCGGAATGAGTGGCGCTGTATCGGGTTCATTGGTAATGTATCCAGGTGCGAGGTTAGGTACGCGTATTTTTCGAAATAATCGCAATCCTTTTGTGACTGGATACCCTCTGGAAACATATTTTTGCTGTTGGTCCTGAACTGCATTCATGGCTCGGTTTTTATCGCTCATCGAGGCTTGTAGCGTTAGCAGTGGACCGACTACACCAACGAGAGCAATGATTGCTACAGCCGCTGCGACCCAAGTGCCGATGTTGCTGGTGAGTTCAACTGGATCCGAGCCATTGCTGTCTGAAGACATTATGGGTAAATATACTGATGCATAGGTAAGCTGAGATATCTGTCCACGGCTGAAGATGGCTTGTAGTATCACGTGGATCAACTGATCCTTGCAAGCTTATCTCCAAACTATCTATCTTGGTTAAATATAATTAAAAATTGAAATCTACATAAAATAGATATTATAGGTAATAACTAGTCTAATTAAGTATCATAAGATAATACCTGATACGTCGACAGGAGTTATGTGATGGAAGCACGTGTGCAATCCCATTTGAAAGCCTGCTGCACTCAATGGCAAGACTGTGTCTTACACATGGAGTCATATTGCAATTACATTCATCTTACGGATCAATATTGCTACAAAAACTAAAATACAGTTCTATTCAGAAACATAGATTTAGTTAGACGAAAGAGCATCGCAGTCTAAATAAGTCAATCCTTTCTATACTTAAAACCTGACCATCAGTGGCTGTGTTAGATGTGGTGACGATACAGCTTAGTGAATTCATTGTAGACAGGATTGTTTATTTCTGTACTAAACTGTTGGCATGTTCTATTTTGCCTCATTCTGGATGTCGGTGCATCGACGGGTCAACCGCCAAGCCCATTGTATAAACACTCCTTGAACACCCCATCCATCCGTAGATTAACCTAGTCTTTGGGCTGAGATTCGGTCATGCACACCATCTATACATAGCTTGACCTAGTTCTTAGACCGAGAAATTTCCTCGAAGTCAACGGGACCCTGAGGGGTGCTGTCCTTGTTCAGACCAGTGCTGTTTATGACGCGCTTGTGAGTCGCGGTCTTGGAGAACTCATCTCATAGATTGAGAGCGTAAGGCATGATCTTGTACTCAATCTCAGAGCAGTTGTTCTCATTCATGACACGAGCAGCCATTCCCTTGAGGGATTTGGAATCCTTGCAAATACCCATAACCCTCCTGTAGAAGTAGCGGCTACCCACTAGGAAGTGCCGACATGAGAGGTAGTGGTGATGTAGGTGAATAGATTGTGCGAAGAAAAGCAACCAGAGTTGGGTGTTTTGAAGAAAAAGAAATCTAGATTCCTTGTGTGTGGGCTTGAATAAATCGCTGGTGGCTAGCCTGGCAGCTGTTCGCACTGACAGCAACTGCGAGCCCAGTTGGGGTGAACGTAACAGGCAGACGCTGATTCACATGGACAGATGCAACTCTTCAAGACGAATTAGAAGTTCAGACTTGTTCCATAAAGGGGCTGAAAATGACGTCTGGGCTCCAATGATTTCATGAAATCGATGCCAGACTGGACAAGGTAGTGACGGTATAATGTCGAATTTACCGGTTTGGGCGCCAAGAAACCCGAAGTGCAATAATATAGCGATGCATATGACTAGAAGGGGATGGTCGCACAGTGAATCCACTGACTGCAATGTTTCACTTGAAGTGATACTATTTCTCTACGCGAGCTTGACAGCGGTCTCGTTAATATTGCATTCCCCCATATCATCCTGGGCTTTGTAAGTTCCACAAGATAGTCCTTCATAGGAAGTACCGAGTTTGAATTAGTTGAACGATAGATGAACGAGTTTCAGCCAAACGTCCTTGGATAGGCAGAGTTTCAAGAAAGCAACAGTGGATCTAAAGGCAAAGTTGATACGGTCGCAAACTTGTTATATTAATTTCAACTAGTGTCCTGTACTGTTCAATTTCCCATCCAACTAATAACACTCATCCATCCAACAAAACAACGGCTTAAGCAACCTCTCGGGTCTGCACATGAGTCTGTTGTTCCTCCTCCTTGGCATCTCCGAAATGGATTTGTTTCTCGACAGCAGCGGTTGCCTTTTCCTTGAGTTCGTCGGCCTCGAAGACTGTATCTGTTAGTTATTGAACGAACTGGAGATTTGAAATACATACGGAAAGTAAGTTCCTCGAGGGTGCGGCCGCTAGTCTCAGGGTAGAGGAAGTAGATGATGAGGAACTCAAAGACGATCCAGCCACAGTAGATAGCCAGGTACTTCCACTTGATAGCTTCGAGAGCAATAGAGTTGACGTTGGTGGAGAAGAAACCGGCAAGCTTTCCAAAGATTTGCTGAATACCAATACCACGAGATCGCATAGCATACGGCCAAAGTTCGACAAGGTAGGCTGCAAAATGTTAGCGGTTTCAACGGTTGTCAGCCAGATGACTTACTGTATGTCAGGGCGTTGTTTCCGATGTTGTAGGTTGGCGAGTAGGCAAAATAGAAGAAGAGCGCAGCGATGCCAGCAGCGTTGTTCTTTTGGCCTTCGGGAAGCGACTGGATCTGTTGGAGGGAGACGGTGATGGCGATAAAGGCGAGAAGCATCAGAGTTGCGGATAGCATGTACATGTGTCTACGCTTGAAGCGGGGAACGATGAGAGCAATAATTGTGGCGTTTAGCAAACTCCAGCAGGCGAAAGCAAGGTTGATGCGAGTCTTTGTGTAGTTGTCCGTGAATCCCATGAGCTCAAACAGTTTACCAGAGTAGTAACTCATGAGAGTGTTGCCCGAGAGTTGAGTGAAGAGACCGATGAAGATGGTGACAAGGAATCGGCGACGCATACCGGCTGTACGGATAACTGAGAGCCATGACTCTTTAGAAGCCTCCATCTCAGCCTTGATGGTTTCCCGGATTTGGACGATTTCGGCTTGGACAAGGGGAGAGTTGGCATCACCCTCGGCGTGGTATTTGACGAGAATTGCGGCGGCCTCTTCGCTACGGTCCTTGGAGATGAGGAAACGGGGAGACTCGGGAAGGAGGCTGGCGTATGTCAGTTTTGAACTATCTGAAGTCTTGTTTCACTTACAAAACAGTGACAATCTGAATCAAAGAGGGGCAGATCTGCAGAAGAGAGGGGATTCTCCAGGCCCAGTTTGACGTGATAGGAGTGGTGGCCATGGCAATAGCAGAAGCAAGAATTTGACCAATAAAGTACGAAGAGTTGAAAAGTGAGGTCAGGGTAGCTCGCTCCTTGGGGTAACCCAGTTCTCCGATAAGGGCAGCACCAGAGATGATACAGAAAAGGATTCCTGCTCCAAGAATCATACGGGCGACAATGTACATGCCGACTGGAAGATGTTAGTATGTTGAAATTATCCAAGGCCTGGGTTCTTACCATGCTGGGCGAAACCTTGGATGATGGCACCAACAACCATGATGAGAGAACCCAACATGATGGACCATCTTCGACCGTATTTTTGAGCAAACCAAGGCGCAACAGGGACAGCAAAGATGGAGCCGAGCTGGTAACAGGAGTTGACAAAGCCGAGCAGACCAGGTTCGATAGCATATTCGCCCTTCTCGTTCGTTCGTCCTTCACCAAGATCTAGGAATTGTTAGTTGGTAATGGGGTGTACGATGCAGATGAACGTACACTGGTGAAAGGTTTTTGAGTATTGCAGAGTGTTGATCAGTTGAGAATCGAAACCAGAAGTCATCTCGACACCCATACAACAGAAGAACAACCAGACGTACATGATACGAAGGTTAGGTTTCTTGTACCATGGTGTCTTGTCCTCGTCGACGAGGCGAGTGACGATAGGATCGGCGGCGGAACCAACGTTGACCATGGTGGCGGTTTGGCTTTTGGTGAATGCAATGCAATGCAAAAGGCGTGGGCCGCTCTACCGGTAACAGTAGCAGTCGGACGGTCGGTACTGGAGAGGAACTGGAGACTCGAAATTTAGATGGGGACACTGCAGATCATATTATATACCTGATGTTGGGGGTTATATCTCCAGGTATCCCCCGGTTAGATAAGATAGAGCTATAGCTCATAGCTACAGAGCTACTGCTGCTCTAACGGTAGGGTTTCCGAATTCTCCGCACTCAATAGTCGTCTGGGGAAAAAACATGGAGTCTCCGCACCCAAAACTTGCTTTGACCGCATGTCCATGTTGCATCGCGATGTGACATTTTGAGAGTCTCAGTCAGCAAAAAGCGCGACGCAGAGAATGCGATTCGTTCGGATAACATCCCCGGTCGGTTGACACTCGACCGAAAACGGATTCTCGCGCCGAAAGTGAGGAGATTTGGGCAAACTCAGCAGCGGTTAAACGGACCGGCTGATGGTTGGTAGTGGATAGTTTGGGGGGGTTTGATTGGATTGAGCTTATGCTTAAAACCGCTGATCATCCCGTCTTTGGTGTGGTTCAAGTTGAGGATATGCGAGATCTAAAACTAGCACCTGACTCTACCGAAATTGCGGGGTTAGTTTGGGCTCAGGAAGCGACATGGAAGCCAAGACGGGCATGACAGGAACAAACGAAGGTTTTGGTCCGCCTCCTTCTCCTCAGGTGCATTACTCGTAGTATAATTTCTCCATCCATTTGTGCCCAGCACAATAAGAACGACAAGGATATGAAGCTTGGCTCTTTGATGGATTGACAAAGCATTACCAAACTCTATCAATTATACGGCTAGACAACCGGCAATTACCTTAACCAGCCACTCAAATAATTGATTTATGTCAGCGTTTCACTTGTTCACCCACTGATGCATGTTTTCACGAAACATTTCTCGAAGCCAAGAATCCTCATAAGGCGTGGCACGTTCAAGTCGGACTTTTATTTCTTCTTTCAGCGTCAACAGGTTGCATCACTCTCCAAGTCCCCTGTCTTCAGCTTGTCAACCGTTCACCTGGTATTCTTAGCTTAGGTTCATAGTCTACCCGCTCTTCAGGCTAAATGACCATACAAACACCCGGACAAAGAGACATCTTAAGTTTTCCTTGGCAGTCCCAGTCAATACCCTGGGAGGGTTCACTGTCAACCCTCCTAAGCTTTAAATGGACGTGGGATGAAGCAACATCAGGACAACCGTCAGACGGGTATACTGTCCACCGATAAACTACCATTTCCGGATGAATCCTTCGACTTTTTCTATCTTGATTGGGATATTTTCTTTATTTACACGATGTTTATCAACTCGTTTTCATCCCTTGGCTCGTTAACCTTTTCGGTCCGATCAAAAGGACATTCCTACAAAGAACAATATCCAATGATGAGTGACCCCTTGACGCATTGTTTAAAACAAAGGGTCCATTCTACCGAGTGTGATACATCCGGGGTAAGTGGATATCAAAATAGGGAGGCGAATGACATTCCAGCTGGTGGTCGTCTGGGGATAAAGCTTGGCGGTAGAGCAATCCGGGGAGATGACAGTTTAGGATCGTCATTATGTTGTCTTTGACTCGTAGGTGATTTCTTCAGCGACCGTTTTACTTGTGCTTATTGGATGTGGTGAAGCGTGGTTAGCGGTAAGATTCATGTAGCTGTCACTGTCAGAAATATAGTGAGTAGTAATTTTTGCCTTCGTAAATCCAGGGCGTGTGGTCTAGGGGTATGATGTTCGCTTCGCATCTTTGTTCTGGCTATCAGACGATATGTAATTGCGAAAGGTCGAGGGTTCAATTCCCTCCTCGTCCAACCTTTTTGTTTTCTTTCTCCAAGAATCGATTGTCTACCGGCTGGACTCGTTCCAGCACAACCTTTTTTTGGCTCTACTTTAATATAATGTGCTCCAATTTGTACAAGGCGTATTGATTGGAAGCTTCATCCTGCCTCGGTATACGGTTTGTCGATGCAAAGTGTAAATCGTTCATTAACGCAACTACTGACTCTGGAATTCAAATTCTCTCACGTTTTCTTTATTATCGTGTCGGATATAATCTTTAGGTCTATTGTTCTTTTTAGAATATGATTTCTGAAAAGGCTTGCAGTATCCCAACCATCACCCTTGTCATCGTGTACCCTGGATTGATTAGACCCTTCTGGTCTCATCTCAATTTCCATACTCCATTTCGCATGTGGCCTAAGTTTCTAGAATCTAGTATATAGTCTACTGATATTAGACCTGGATTATTGATAAATAGTGAATGTTTTGAGAATCAGCTGAAGCTTGACACGTACATGAATGGCCGGCTGATGTGTCGTCTGCTGAAGCGCTTCTTTGCGATTTGGTCTCCTGGCTGAGTAGAATGTTGTCGAGACTAACGCAAGCGTATGGACAGTACGCTATGGGACAGGTAAAAGAAATCTTGACTGAAGGTGCAATAACAGATATATCCGTATTTGGTCCAGGTGGATATATTGCGTCACCAACCCAGAACGCTCTTGTTCATTCTCCCTTAACTGTTGCTGCACGGCCTGATACTGTATTCGTATCCGTTGCAATCTGTCCAGCTCGTCTCGGAGTATTCGGACAAGTAATTGGTTCAACCGCTGGCGCTGATACGGATCGGAAGAGTAATGCCACGTCGTGATTAACTGTAGTACTTGTGCCTCTGACGGAGGTGGTGGTAGTGCTCGTTGTAGTGGTCTCGTCCGTCGTGCTGGGTCTGTCCGTGATGGTAGCCCTATGGGTGGTCTTCGTTCCATGTTTAGTTGTTCGTCAAGTAGATAGTAAATGATACGTTGAGGTGTTTGTTGTCTTGTCTCGGGAATCGGTTCCATGTTTATTTATGCAAATGTTGTGTTTGTCTTGGTTGATCTCAGCTAAAGCTAAATGTTCTGTAGAATATTCTAGTCTTCATCAAGCTTTATTTACATTTCCATACTTAACATACAACGTGATCAAGAGTGTGTTTTTATACATTTTATAATAATACTAATTTTAAATAATAACCTTTTTTACCCCATAGTTCTATCTTTAACCTCTAATTGATCGGAGTTCTATTTGTGTGAGGATTGTACTTGGGCCACAATTACCTGGAAGAGAATATAGCAGAAAACTAGAAAGACTCATTCTTTCTTTCTAGCTTTCCTCTCCCACCTTTGCTCAAGAAATCCCATTACGCTCCGTATCTTGGCAAGAACTATAGCCTAGACCAAGGTAATGAGCACATTATAGACTTGACCAGTGGAGTGGGTAAAGCTTCCAAGTCGGAGGGTTTACTTACTCAGGAGTGTCTACTATTGGTTGTCATCCATCAATCTGCATCTTCGCGGCTAAGAAGCGGAACTCGTACCATGTCTTTTTATCTCATTGGTATATCTCCATTGATCAACAATAGAGTCGTATCATTGATGCATAGACTTTATCAACAATTAAGTGATCCATCAATTGACACAAAGGCATTGAGGTTCCCGTGGATCAACGTGCAGAGTCCGAACATGACATACATGTTGCATAAATACACAGCTTATCTGCAGTTTCTTTTGTTCTTTCTTATTAATCGTACAATGATACTCAAACTCCACTTTTTGCATAACAATCATGGTCTCTCCAAACCTCACCAAAGCACTATTTCTCCTCGCCACTGGTGCCTGGCATCCACCCGCCTGCTATAATCATCTCAAGACGGACCTAGCCTCCTTAGGCTATGATTGTGTTATTCCCCAAATGCCCTCTATGGGCAACAACACAAATGGCATAACATGGGAGGCTGACCGGGATGAGGTTGTCTCAGTAGCAATGGCATACTTCGATCAAGGAAGAGAAGTCATCTTGGTGGGCCATTCGTATGGCGGGGTGCCAGCCACTGTTGCGACTGAGGGCCAAGGAGTTGAAGACAGGGTCAAGAAAGGACTTCTAGGAGGGTTCAGCAGCGTCATTTTCCTCACAGCTTTTGCTGCACCTGCCCGAGGCACGGACTTGCTTAGCATGTTCAGTGGCGAATGGCCAGAATGGCTAGACACAGGCAAGCCGTATGTCAAAGTAAGATGATCTTGCCTCATTCAATCCCTGCTTACTAACTTGTGAGAACCAAATCACTCGCATCAACGAAAAGGGAATCCCGCTTCTATACAATGATGCCACCGAAGACGAAGCCCAAAGAATCTTTGATTTGCTGTTGCCGCACTCTCAAGATGCTTTCGAGACCCCGCTCACTTGGTCAGCGTCGGATATCACGATCCCAAAGACCTTTTTGATTTGCGAGGACGATATAGCTTTTCGAGCAGAGTTTCAAGAGCAGCTCGTTAAATCCATCCCTGGCATGGGAGAAGCAAGGATTGCAGCAGGCCATAGTCCATTCGTGGGGAAATCAATGCAACTTGCGAGAAAACTCGTAGAAATTGCTGAGGACATAATTTAGATCCAGTAGAATGAAGGTCAATGTGGAAAGATTTGAAGTGCAACCAACCTATGGGATACATTTTAAAATAAAATCAATATCTAAGCCTGTTATCCATTTTAACATTCATTTTCTCAGCAGGCCTCTCACGTATACCTCTATCTGAATCTCCGTAACCACCGAAGAATTCCTTCTGTGACCTCAGCGGAGTTCTCGCGGTGGCCTGCTATAATCAACATCGTTCTTCTTTCCCAAGTTTGTAGTCATGAGATATGCCGGGGAGACTATAGATTTTGTTATACTCTTTTAAACATTGAAATATGTGCTTTGAGAACAAGGCGGCCCATCCCCTCATGCAACTGACCTTGGGATTGTTGCTACTCAGACGGCAAGTGAACATATGGTGGTCAGCGGGACTGGATATGATTCCTCGTGTGTCAGTTGGGGCGAGGAGAAGGAAGGATTTGTCAAACGTCTCGCCTAGGATAGACTTGGATTTACAGAAAACGATGTAGCTACGGGGGAGGAACTATTCTTGTATACACCAGGTCATAAGCAAGTTCGTGTCCACAGCGGCCAAGTCATGAAGAAAACTACTCAATCTTTGGAAATCATCTGCCCCTTTTCTAATAAGTGACTAGGCCCTCTCACGATTTTCGTATCAAATCACACCGAATAATACGCTTAAGAAGGCCAGAGATATTCACAGTTTAGGTCTTGGGTTACTGTGTCAATGTAAAAAACGCTTCCGCACATAACATGATTTGGGGTAGACATCACAGCCTAGCTCAGCCTTTCAAGGCCATCATCAGTACGGGAAGTCAGAGAAAGTGATAAATTGATTTTTGGGTTTATATGCCCTGCACAACCTTTACATGACCGCTATCTCCCCAATCCATTCATTACTTGTCCTCATCTTCGATCTTGCTGGGACAGTTGCCGTTAGGGCAGTCGAACGGTGTGTAGAGTTTTGTAATTTTGTGATCCATACACGGATTGTGAGACTCCCTTTTAAATGAAGTGGACGGTGGGGTTTTCCCAGTACTGTTTGTTATTTTGTTCTCTTTCTTGTAAGGATCGCAGTACTCCCATATGATGCTATCAGTATGAAGGCATATGGGGCAGTGCTGAAGCTTTTCTATGCACATGATGTCTTCGTAGTAGATATACTGGGTTATGTGTATGTAGTCGGTAATGTATCAAAGCAAGGTTGTTGAGAAGTTTGAATACTTCTCGATCGATATATATAGGTATCTTCCAGTATGAATCACGACAGCTCTTGCCATGGAATACTAGATACATTCATTCATCTTGCACGGACATGTCGCTGGATATGATGGAGGCACTGACAAATATTAATTAAGTTTTACTATTTAACCCTGCTAGAGATTTTCCTTTCATTATCAACATCTACGAGACCATCCCGCAACTGACTTTACACAAAGAGTTCGTACCACCAAGCGTCCTTCTGGAGATCACTCCCGCATTCTCTCCAACAGATTTCTCTTGTAATTAATGAAGCACATGTCAAGCAGGACAAAGATGATCACGATGATCATGATGTTGATATGGACGACGTTTTCTCCGAGGATTCGATCGACATTGTACGTATCGGACCAGAACTTATCACGATCAGCTACGCCCGTACTCGAGCTGAACCTATGGAGTAAAGTGGGAAATTATTCAATGGTCTTGCGGACCCGACCCTAGATCAGGCACCGCTCAAGCCTGCGTTGAATCGTTGGGCCAGCGAAACCAACATCATAGTCCTCCCTACAGATTTGAAGCTATTGCGCTCCTTCTGGTGTGAAGACACTTGGGAGCTTGGTACCAAAAAATCTCCAAGGGCTTTGAAAAATATCTTCACGCATGGACTTGGTCCCGAGATGTCCCAGTTACTGGCATTGCAAAGCCAGGACGTCATGGCGGCACCTTTCCACGTACTCAGCTCCATCAGCTTGAGATTTGTCAGCGCCTGGACAACAATTACAAAGGTATCACCCAATGCCTTCAAGGTTCGGAGACGTAAGAAACAAAGTTATTCTGTTAGTTTACGCTCTTTCTACCATACTCTGAGGTCATTTGTCATTACATTCTAAAGTTGAGCAGACTTTCCTATCACCTGAAAGGACAATGACCAGATCGCATGTTCTTCAGTTTCGTTCAACCGCGACTTTACCTTCTAATTACTACATGACTATCATCTCTACTGTGCTTCTCTACCGTCATAAATCTCACAGTAAGTTACTCTTAATTTTTTAATCATGCTGCAATCTTCAGGCCAGTTTATGGTTCTGGTCTAGGGTGTGTAAGACGCGTCTGTACACGTAGTGGGGCTACGTCATTTAGATGCTGTCAGCCACGACGCACAACATCCAGAATCAGACAAGCAAGAATCAGGCAGCAATTTAGCAGAAATAAACAAGTGTGTGGTTATGATCATTCTGACAAGCTGTGGCGTCGCATACCAGACCCAACACAGCCACAATCAAGTCGGTTCTTTGTCGCCTTTCTGCTTCCCAATGCTTCTGTTGAGTGTGGCGCAGCTGTCAAAGTATGACGCTAATTGGCTGGGCATCACCTAGGTCGCCTCGACGCTTGGCAGCCGCGCAAACCGTAGGAGAGGCAGCCAAGAAAGAACGAATCAAAGCCCAAGCGTCATAATGTATAAAATAACACATGACGAATGCCTTGGCTGAAACCATGACCTTTTTTCTCTTCCATTTCTTGATTTAAACCTGTATCAGACACATACAATTACAACACACGCACAGCAAACTCTCAACTACTGCTGTTATTAACCTCCTTGCGAGAGAATGGGCTCTCTGTTCGTCATACCTGCAGACCAAGACGCCCGGCAAGCCGCTGACTCTCATTCTTCTGCTAGGCAAAACATGCGCCCTTCACTCGAATCTTCCCTTGGCGATCAAGGCCTTGCTACCGAGCAACGTAGCCTGCTAGATCTCATCGACAAGCTTCAATTCGCACAGCTCGACGATGTCAAACTTCCGCAAATTGTTGTTGTTGGCGACCAGTCAGCGGGAAAGAGTTCAGTCCTAGAAGCCCTCACCGGCACTCCCTTCCCTCGCGATGCCGGCGCCTGTACACGGTTTGCGACAGAGATTCGCATGCGACGAGCGAAAGAGACAAAACTAAAAGTTTCCATCATTCCCGACAAGTCCCGACCTCACAACGAACAAGCTCGTCTACTCCAATATGGTGGCGACGTCACCGGTGACACACCCTTTGACGCAATGATGCGAGATGCGACAGAATTGATCGCCCCGCGAAGTATCCCCGGTCGCTTTGCCGCTCGCGACATTCTCGTTGTTGAGAAGAGCGGCCCCGACATGCCACTATTGACTTTGGTCGATTTGCCTGGTCTTGTTCGAGTCGCCAACCGTGATCAATCCGAGAACGACATCCAAACCATTGAGGCCCTCTCCGACCGATACATGAAGAGCTCGCGAACCATCATTCTTGCCGTCATTGGTGGCAACAACGATTATGTTCAAGCTCCCATCCTCAAAAAGGCCCGTCAGTTTGATCCCAAGGGATCGCGCACCATCGGTGTCCTTACAAAGCCCGACATGACCGAGCGCATCGGTCTTGAAGACAAGTTTGTTGAACTTGTCACCAACAAGGATCAAGAGAACAACTTCAAGCTTGGCTGGTACGTCTTGCTGAACCCTGGTCCTGGTGAACAATGGCAGTCTCCCGAGGATCGCGCCGCACGAGAAGCCGAATTCTTTTCCCGTGGTAAATGGTCAACTCTTCCTCCCGAGATGTGGGGTATTGGTGCTCTTCGTGCCAAGCTGAGCACCCAGCTTCAGCGCCATATCGGCAAGCACGTCAAGACTCTGCGTCGCCAGATTCAGCAAGCCTTGGAAGGGTGCGAAACTCAACTCAAGGCCATGGGCGTCGGCAAAGACACCCCAGAGGAGATGCGTTTCCAGATGGGTGAGCTCTTTACAGCATCCAACAACCTCGTCACCCCTGCGGTGAACGGTAACTACAAGAACCCCTTTGGTGAGCGATTCTTTTCCAGACAGTCAAGTCCCAAGGGCACACCATCACAAAAGCTTCGTGCTCGCATTCGAGATGAAAGTGAGCGTTTCGCAAAGCGGTTCCGACAGCAGGGTCGTAAGGTGACCTTCCAGAACAGCCCTCCTGCCACCGGAGCCAATGGCGCAGACACAAACGGCACTCCTCTTCCCCCGGCGGTTGGAGATCGCAGCAAAAAAGAGTTTGCCGAACACGAAGTTGAACCTCTTCTCCGACAAATCCGGGGTAACGAACTTCCTCTTGACTCAAACCCCCGAGCGCCTTATATCCTCTTCCAGGACTACTCCAGGAGCTGGCCTGTCCTGGCGCAAGAGTACAAGGACAATGTTGGTGTCATTTGCAACGAGTTTCTTGCCGATGTCATCGATCACATCTGGCCTATCCGCATGCGCGATCCTCTTCGCATGTATTTCCTTGAACTAAGAATGAAGGAGTTGTACGACAGTGCCGACACTGAGCTTGGTCATCTCACTGACGACATGGAGCTTGAGATTCAGCCTTTCGACCCCGAGTACGAGGAGCGACTTCGCAAGTGGCGCGCTGAAGCTACTGAGAATGGTGGAACCTACACTGAAGCTGAGGAAGTATTGGAGAAGATGCTTATCTACTATGATCTTACCGCACGCATCTTTACCCGCAACGTCATTACCCAAGTCGTCGAGCGACACCTCCTTCTCGGTATGCTGCGTCTGTTTAATCCTATTGAGATTCTCCGCATGCAAGACTCCACCATCGAGGCTATTGCTGCCGAGAACAAGGAGACCCGCGATCGTCGCAAGACTCTTCAAGCTCAGAAGAAGGCTATCGAGGAAGCCAAGTCCATTTGTGCCAGTCTTGCTATGCGAAGCGATTTACGAGTATACGAGGATGATTCAGATAATGACACCCAAACAGACGATGACGAACAGGCTACTCGTGGAGTAACCCGTCGTCAAGTTGGCGCACCTCAGAATGGCAGCCAGAGTGGTGCATCTCAAGGCGGGTTACTCCAAGCACAACCCGCTCAACAACCAACACGCACCTCTCAAGAGTCCGTCCGTAGACCAAACCGCGACAGTCGCGATGATCGACATGACCGTGAGGAACAGCGATCAAGCAGACCTCCAGTCCCAACTCAGGACTCTTATCAAAACGGCTCTTACCGACAAGAGCCCAGCCGTGATTGGGAGCCAGTGTACCATGCCCAGCAGGCCCAGCAGGCTCAGCAAGCCCAACCTGGACATGCTCCTCCTCCCCCACCACCCCGTCCATCAAAGGTCGGCCTAGGAGATGCTGATGGTTATTACGACAATCGTCGCCAGGACTCGTACAACGAGAGCCCTGGACGAAGCGAACGCCGAGAGGGTGCACGACATAGACTTGCCAATGCCATGCGAATGGGAAATTAAGAAGTTACACAAGAGAAGGATTGGCGTTGGGAATGAATTACTGTGATATCCTTTGTAACGAAGCGATTATGATTGGCTCAGGCAGGATAGTTATTTAGATAGAGTACAAGAGAATGACATTTACATACTGAAACGTCTGTGTGATTGATCCTGTTAGGACATGTAATAAGATAGATAATAATTGACATTAAAGGGTATAGACATTGAAGAGCATTAACAAATAAAACCGGATCCCGCCACTCTAATATCGTCCATCTGCCACGACGTACGACCCAGTACCTTCGGCAGCTTCAACATCATTCTTGGCTTCCCTCTCCTTCTTCCAAGAAGACTCATAATAAACCCTAGTCTCATTCTTGACTTGGATGCCGTACGGTGATGTCTTGGTAGAATTGCTACCCGGTCGATCATCCACACAGCTAGTGACAACGGTGTTACTGTGACCACCACGCTCGGGATAGGTGTGAAAGTCCATGTCACCAGACGACCCATCTTCGAGTCCAGCCAGTTCTCGTTGTGAACTGTTGTCGTCGACTTCTTTTGTGCGAGCCATGTGGGTAAGCTTGATGCCCTTGCTGCTGGTCAATCCGCTGATAGGGTTGGGACCAGTTGAGTTGCCTTTGGAGCTAAGCATGGAACCTGAAAGAAACTTGCGGAAGACAGGTCTAATAATAGGAAGACAAGCTAAAAACGTCAGTACCAGATAATGATTTTTTTTTCGAACGACTTACAAGAGATGATAGCCAAGTAAGATTCTACACCTGCCCAAATGATAACTCCTCTAATATCTCTTGCCATTTCGGTTGTCTTGGGGTTGAGAGTGAATGCTTCATAAAGAACAATGATCGAAGCGATGCAGACGCTTAAAAGGTTAGTTATGTACTGATAAACAGGCAGACAACTTACAAAATACCAAACATAAACATGGCAACGACAGCAATCTTCTGACCCGTGCGAAGTTTGAGACTCTTGACTTGAAAAATAGGCAACGAAAGAACGGCAACTTCGAGCATTAGATGAACTAAAGTCGTACCAAACATGAATTTGGCAGGATCGACTTCACACACGGCGTTTTTGATGTTGTGGTTCCAGTAAGCTTCAACCGGAACACAGTGGAAGATTGTCATAAAAGTACGGATGGTGAGCCAGATGACGGTGCTGCCTTGAAGGATGTAGATTCCAATCCTCATCTTGGCAACACTGCCAAATAGACGCCAGTAGAAACCAAGGATGGCTAGTTTGGAGAATCCGAGTGATGTGGCGTAGAGGAGCTCTGCCATGAAAAGACCGAACCGAGCGTATTCGTCAACTCTTTCCTCTGGCAGAGGCAATTCCTCCTTGATATGTCCAAGGCCCATGGCGACAGTCCCTAGACGAGTTAGCATGTGATTATATGGTGCCGTAGGTGAGTCGTTGAGTACATACAGTAGACAGCAAAACTAAAATATAAAGCTGCGGCGACCTTGGACAGTTAGTACAAGAACTAGAGAGAACCTGATGCAATCAAACAACTTACCCAGGAAGTCATAGCAAAGTAATCATCCCACCACAAGTTTACATGTGTAATCTTTCGAGATACGAGACGGCATATGAGCAAAATGGTAGCGAAACCAAAAGTGATGAACTGGGAGCTCATAACACCAGCATCTGGAGCGAAAGTCTTTGCAGACATGATGGGCCAAGATGAAGCAAGAATAGTAAGAAAGAAATATAGTCGACTGACTTGTGATGAAGTCAAAAACAAATGGTCAAGATACTGCCAGTATTGCTGACTTCACATGTTAGGTGTAACAACCTTGAACAAAGAAAAGGTTCCACTGGGTCCCACGTCTATATAACACCTTCCTGCAAGGTAAACAGGATAAGGCCTGCAAGGTTGATTAACCCAGGATCGACAATGATTTGCGTGCTATGGCAGGGAGACAGGGGTTGAGAGAAATGCAACTGCCACTGAACTGAATCAAGCTAAGCTGCGGCCATACGAACTAGAGGCATACAACGTAGTAATGAGATGAAGATCCTAGAGACCGCGTCTGGGGAACCCCGGATGGGAAGGGCGCCGTCAGGTACCTAGATGACGGAGCTCGTATGCCATTGGTTGCATGACAAGCTCCTTGCATCTCATCATCTCTTGTGTCATGCTGTAAATAGAGCGGTCTCGTTTTAGGCAAGGCTTTCATATGATACGAGTGGTAAGGTACCAGTCCCTTTGTCTGTGCAGGGTCTTTGATTTTCAGTGCTTTAGCTAATACAGAACTGGAATTGCCGTGTATCAGGATTATGACAGTACTGTTAACGAAATTTGACAGGCGTCTGGAAACGAGGCGACGGTAGCGCTCATACCACAATACCAAGAAACCCAAGAAACGCTACGGCGAGCAGGAAGCCTAATTGAGCTGGACTGTCGAGTAATGTCAGTCTAATTTAACCTACTGCCGAGACACTGTCTAAAGCTTAACGCCACAACACCAATCTTCGAGTGACATTTTGCTAGTCTGTCGAAACCGTGCTCGAGTCATTTACTAACGTTTAACCGGTCCCTGACCTGAGCAGCGCGATATATTGAAACATCCAAGCTTATTAGTCGGTTTATTCTAGAAAAGATCAGCAATTGTTCATCTGTGCTAGAATGCCAGCTGTTGGGATTCAGGGTTTGAAGACAGGCTGATTCAAAATAAAGTTTACCTGGACAAATTCGTTAGTCATGGTATTTTCGCTAACCATGGAGATTTGGCAAGCACTGCCTGCCGCTTGAGCCCTTGTCTTTGCCCTTGCAAGTTATGGTGATCGCAACTGATGGGTTTTGATCTTCCAAGTTTTGACTCAGAACCGAAAACCCCGACTTCCCCATTCTACCAACTTTGTGGTATCACCGTTGCAAGCGAATATCACGGTCCACTTTGTAGCCGTCTCACCACTCCACTGCCCGCATTTGACAGCTTCTGAAGACTTGAGGTTCCATCAAACAACCGCGTAATTGGTTTAGTGGTAAAATTCTCCGTTGCCATCCGGTTCCAAGGAACCTAGACTCGGGGAGCCCTGGGTTCGATTCCCAGATTACGCAATACAAGGGTCGCGAGGCCTGTCGTCTTTTTGCTCGTCGTGCTATCCTGGTTTGGTTGAGGATTCCGAGTAGGAAAGGTGCTGGGATCGGAACTCTATATCCTATTCGTTGACCCCATCGATAAGGCATAGCTGCTCGTCGCTCAGTCTAGTGCAAGCCGCGTCTCTGAAGCTAACACGATCGACATGTCCAGGGTCCCTAGTAACTGGCAACTAGTCCAGAACTGCTAGGGGTGGCGTCTGAGGTTCTTTGATGTCTCCTTTTCCACAAAGTTTGATTGGGTAAAACAGTCCCTTGAAGATCACGGAAAGGTTGGGCATCGATTGATGAAGTAGTCAGGGATGTGATGGTGCAAGCGGTCATCCGAAGAATAGTTCTTTGATCAGTTGCCGTCACAGGGGAAGATGCGGTAGATAGAGTGACACAGACAGAATGTGACACATCGTTCTGAATCGTGTTTGCACTAGAAGAACCACAGACAATGTGATAATATGTAGGGGATGAGATGATATGATACGGGAGATAAAATGAGGCGGACATTGAACTCAACTGCCGAGTCACGTGCTCTATGATCCAAGACACGGCAGGTGCAGACTACTGTGGGTAAAGTGAGCCTAACTTTTGGGGCACAAAAGTGAACCGCAAGTATGGTCTGAATAGCATAAACTGACCCACTAATTTCATCTCTATTACTCTGAGCTGAGGACAGGCAGAGTACTTACTGCATGTTCCTTTCAAAGAATATTCTCCTGTATATCTACTGCAATCCATATAATTCAAGGGCCGGATTATTAAACCATTAACTTCCGGTAGCTCTCCGATTGCGATCATGTCGTAGAAGGCTGACCGATGACGACGAGATTCGAAATATCGGCGTTCGGCACGCCAAGCACGCGTACGTGTTTCATTTGTATGAAAGAATCAAGTCAAGGAAATAAAAATAGCAGGAGATGCCACTATTTCCTTGATATTTTCTCGATTCAGTGGAGCCGAAGTCGTTCCTGAACCTGTCGCGTGTTGCATCAGCGCTGTCAACCCCGGATTTACGTCACCTACGTCATATCCGGTTACACCTATACAGGGGGATGCAGCGGCATTGAAGTGAACAAACAAGAGCTCACATCTCTTGCTGATATTCTTTCTCATTCGACTGTATTTTTCCTGTGTCGGCAATATTCAACGCGATGGTGGGAAAACGACAATGGAATGCCAATCAAGGTCCTCGTCATCGAGGTCAACACGTTGGTGAAGAAGCACGCCCTCAGTATGAAGACGGTCCTCGCGATCTCGAAACAGGCCGCTACTCCTACAATGGGGCCAGTAAAGATTCACGACCGAAACCTCGTATCATGAAGTTCCAGGATGCTGCTCGAACAGCTCTTGAAGATGCTCGTCGCGGCGAGATCAAGCGCGCCCTCTTACACGGTATCGATCGGTCGGGATTGGAAAAGTATCGCAAGACGGACGAGGAACTAAAAGCGATGAAGAACAAAAAGCTCCGCTATTTTTATGAACAACAGAATGAACGGTTGAATGATTGGTTGGAGGTAGATGCTGTGGTGATGGCCATCGCGGATGACGTTCTCGAGTCGATGAACCCCGACCCCGATCATGACGGTGACCAAGAACGCTGTGGAGGAATTCAACGCGTCGAAGGAAATATTGGAGAGTTACTCCCTGAAGAAGAAAAAGAAAAGAGACGAAAGGCGGCCAGAAAGGCAAATTGGGCCATCAACATCAATGTGATAGCCAACATTCTTCTTCTGGCTGGTAAAACCTTTGCTGTGTTCACCACAGGGTCTCTTTCGCTGGTGGCATCGCTTGTAGACTCGGCCCTGGATCTTCTCTGCACGCTGATTGTCTGGTCCACAAGTCGACTCGTCCTCTGGAGGTTGCATGCCATGCAGCGTCGATTTCCAGTCGGTAAACGGCGTCTCGAGCCACTGGGTATCCTAGTGTTTTCCATCATTATGGTCATTTCCTTCCTGCAGATCTTGCAAGAGTCTGTTTCTCGTTTGATGCCGCCGCATGCTGAGGCTGAGGTTCTTAGCTGGGCCGCTATTGCGTCTCTGCTGTCGACGATCGTCCTCAAAGGGGCTATTGGCCTTGGTTGTCGACCTATCAAGTCCACACAGGTACAAGCTCTCGTGCAAGATTGCAAAACGGACGTCATTTTCAACACTCTGTCGCTGCTGTTCCCTTTTATCGGATATCGCGCCAATATCTGGTGGCTCGATCCAGCGGGCGCAGGTCTATTGTCTCTCTTTATCATTTACGACTGGGGCCATACCTGCTTCGAAAATGTGGCACGCCTCTCTGGAGAAGCAGCAAACGACCACACCCTCAAGAAACTCATTTACCTTGCATACCGCTTCGCTCCCGTTGTGGTAGGGTTCAAGAACGTGACAGCATACCACGCGGGCGATGGTGTTTGGGTCGAATTCGACTTATTACTCGATGAAAAGACTCCACTGAACAGATCGCACGATATTGCAGAGACTTTACAATACTGTGCTGAGGGTCTAGGTGAGGTGGATAGAGCGTTTGTGACAACAGATTATTCGGTTTCGGGACCATTAGGACATGCAACAGATTCAGAGTGGAATCACTAATGAGAGGGGAGGGCGGTATATTATAGATAAGATTGGTCTGGTTTCTTGGTTAGTTATGTCATATTTTGCTCACAAGACGTTCATAGGCTGTAAAGGTTGGTGTGGCGGATATGCCAAGTGGGCCAAGTCTGAATAGCTTCATTGTGCAAAGGTCACAAGACGTAGCGAATGTAAATATTTACACTTACTATACTCTATGCATTTAAATTACTCGAATTTTCTCCATCGTTTATCCCGTCTTGTCTTAAATTGCTGCTATGAAGTTCATTATCCGCCGAGTTGCCTTTATGCCAAGTACCTACCTGTCTGGGCACATTCTTGGTGTTGCACCATGAACCTGTTTTCCCATCCAGTTCTCGATGCACTTAGTAATCAAGGTTATCTTATCAATACTAACAAGTCCAGGGTTGTCATGATGATAGCGACCCTGAATTGTGCCAACACCTTGATGTCCTCATGATGGAAATGTCCATCAAGGTACAGGTCAATTCACCAACGCCGTAGCCCAATTGAAGCCATGAGCAATAGAATGATTTCAAAATGTCTACAAAGGTTCTCATGGTTGAGCGAGTCCGTTCATAATAGAAGACAGTCCAGTCATGCCTTATAGCCCAGCGTCTCCCCCAATTCTGTCGTTATTGTTCAACCATCAAAATGCACTCATTAGTAACGGAAGACGAAATCTATGATGTCCTCATCATCGGTGCAGGCCCCTGCGGTCTTGCCATCTCAGCTCGTCTCCACGAACACACCCCAGCCGCTCTCTTCACAGACGAAGAACACCGTCGTTTCCACTGGATCTCCAAGTATGGCAACAAAATGCCCTTGAAGCATGCCCGAAGTGGTAAAATCACGGCTGCCAAGTCTCCAGTCCAGAAGCCGCAGTACAAGATGCTCGTACTGGATGCTGATGGCGATACCTGGATGAGTCGCTGGAACAGACTCTTCAAGATGTATGACATCTCACACCTGAGGAGCCCTATGCTTTGGCATGTTGATCCTCTTGATCGCGATGCTTTACTTGCACATGCGTATGCAAATGACAGAGAGGATGAGCTGATTGAGATTCGGAACTGCGTGGGCAAGGAGGTCAGCAAGCATGGAAGAAAAAAGAATGGTCAACGAGCCTGTGGAAAAAGGTCAGTCATTCAAGTCAAGTGTTTTATGGATACTAACAAAGCGTAGACAAGAAGCTCGTGTTGACATTAACGTGAGAGAACGCAACGACTACTACAACCCCTCTACAGCTCTCTTCTGTGATCATTGCGAAAAGGTGGCTGCTCGGTATAGACTCGGCCCAGACAGCATCCGCAAAGAAGCCCTCGAGCATCTCGACTACAGTGAAGTCAAGGGCGTCTCCATAGATGGGGAGAAGCTCTTCACTGTAACGTCCAACAAAGTCCGTCGCTTTGCTCGTACAGTGGTATTAGCTGTCGGTCCTGCCAATGTAGCCAAGATTCCACACATCCCCTCCATGCCGGACACTGAGAGGCTCCCTCAGACATGTCACAGCATGCACATCACAGAGTTTCCTGATCCCCTAGTCAAACAGAGAATCGCTGCACATCGACAGACGAACATTCTCGTCGTGGGCGGCGGTCTTACGTCTGCGCAGTTGACTGATCTGGCTATTCGGAAAGGCGTAACCAAAGTGTGGCATGTCATGCGTGGACCTCTCCGCATCAAACACTTTGACGTTTCTCTCGATTGGATGGGAAAGTTTAAGAATGCAAAGCAGGCGCAGTTTTACTATGCTGATTCCGATGATGAGAGGATTGAGATGATCAAGGAGGCTAGAGGTGGAGGAAGCATCACTCCAGTATTCCACAAGCGCCTCAAGAAGCATCTCGCCACTAGAAAACTTGAGCTTCTCACAGAAACAAACCTCGTCGATGCATCTTTCGACGCAGAGAGCGGTACATGGACTGTTCAGACGAACCCTCCTGTTGAGATGCCAGCCATGGATTACATGTACTTTGCAACAGGCATCCAAACCGACTTTTCGTCTCTGCCATATTTGCAGACTATCTTGCAAAAGTATCCTATCGAAGGACGAGGCGGATTTCCCTGTATCAATAACGATCTGATGTGGAATGACGAGGTCCCGTTGTTCATGATGGGAAGACTCGCGGCTCTGCGCCTCGGGCCCGCGGCCCCGAATCTTGGAGGTGCACAAGTCGGTGCTGAGAGAGTTGCGTGGGCAATAGAGGATCGATTCCCAAGACCTGGTGAGGTTGAAGCGGTGGAGGATCACAGGAAGGGATATTTGTCAGGTCATGGCAACATGTACAGCTCTTTAGTTTGCGAATGATGATGATTTACCAAAACAACAACAAGCATGAACAATATCCCTGTTTGCTATTTAAAAGGATCGGACAGGGGATATTCAATGCTTTTAATAGGCTAGATAGGTGCTTAGGAGCCTAAGTCCTATATTGATTTAGCATTGCTACTCCACTTCCCCATAAGGTTTATTGTACCGGCGAAAGTCTGGGCGAAAATAGACTTGTTACTGAAGCATAGCTAACAAAATAATTGGATCATCTACTATACTCTTAAGAAGAGATGATTGCTATATATTTTCTGTACTCTATGTCGGGATATCTTGCCTCGATCGATAAATCGTGCATGGATGCATGTTTGACAACTTATAGTCAAGGATTATGACTTGCCCCTGGACACATCTTGGCTGAACAGAGTTCCCCAGGCCCCCCCCCCCCCCGCTTCGTCAATTCTCTCCATCTCTCACTTGGTGCTCGGAAAACGATACCCTTAATTTTCTTCGGGAAACGTTATCCTCAACCTTCAACTCCCGTCCCAGCCAGCCTATCATGCCTCGAGAAGGAACTCAAAGAGTAAAGACGGGTTGCAGAACATGCAAGTCAGTATTCTAGAATTCTTTTTTGGAAGAAAATTTGCTTTTTTTTGGCTTGTCTCGCTAATCCGTGCCCACTTTATAGAACGCGCAAGATCAAATGTGACGAAACTTGGCCCAAATGCAAACGATGTGCAACGGCGAGACGTGTTTGCGATGGTTATGATGCTCCTCCCGTTGGTTCTATATCGTGGGATCTTCTTCTTCGGACGCCACAGCCTCGTTTGATCCCTGTGACGAATACACGCGAAGTACGCTGCCTGTCCTTCTTCCATCATGTCGTGGCACCCGCTCTGTCGGGACCCTTTGATGGATCCTTCTGGACGTATTTCGTTGCCAGGATGACACATGCTGAACCTGCGGCGCGACATAGCGTGCTTGCCATAAGCCAGCTCTTTGAAGACTATGAGTATTCGAAACCGACTGCTGACCGATTCGCCATTGTGCATTACAACACGGCTATTAATCTACTCGTCCATGGACCTCCGCCATCGGTAGACACCGTTTTGCTGGTGTGCGTGTTGTTTATATGCGTCGAGTTCCTACGAGAGAATCGTGCAGCAGCCATCACCCATGCAGCGCATGGCTTGCAGCTTCTTAATGCGGCTGGTCAGAATTCTCGACTTGTTGGCACATATAACCAAATAAGCGTGTTTCCAACGTTCTTTGTTGAAGATAATATCGGGAGCCCTACAAATAAATCTGGCGAATGCCCTGTTTATTCCAGCACGAGCGAGGCTCAGTACGCGTTAGACAACCTGATTTTGAGGTCATTGGAGGTCATTCGATCTGCAAATCCGTATCGCCTAGAAATGATGCCTCAGAGACCACCCCAGGAACTCTTTGATGTGCAGAGCGAAATACAAAAAGGCGTGGACGCGTGGGAAAAGGCATTCAACAGGCTCCAGTCCACAAGACCTGCGGCTAGCCTCGAAGACACAGCGTCTTTAGCAATCATGACGCGAAACAGACTCAGCAATTTATGGCTTACAGAATGTCTGAAGCAAGATGAGATGTGTTTCGACGACTATAAAGATGAATTTGTTCAGATACTGGCATGGGTGAGCAAAGCAGCAGACATACTTGAAGCCCGACGCAAAAAGCCAACAAGGTTTACTTTCGAGACGGGATTCAGTCCGATGCTTCACTTCCTGATTTACAAATGTCGCTATTTATCGCTACGCTTGGAAGCGCTATCTCTGATGGAGAGGCTTTGTAGTGAAAGGGAATCTTTATGGGATGGGTCGTTGGTATACACCTTGTCACGACTCATTATCGAGGCTGAGCATGATATTGACCTTTCGGGAGAGTTTGATGTCAACGACGACATATTACCGCCTGACTCAAAGAGAATAAGAGGGTTTCTGTTTGCAGGACGTCAAGAAGCGTTGATATGGGATACATCACCAGCAGATGTGGTTTATTTCCGAATGTGGAGCCCAGAGAGTGGGTGTACATATCGGAAGGAATATTTGACGAGGCAGACTCAAAAGTTGCATTGTCAAGAAACAGTTATACATCAGACAGAGAGTCAGAGTTATTTATCATATTAGTTAGTGGCACAGCCTGTATGCAATCTATTATTACATGCTTTTGTTCCATGTTTAATGATTGGACGACTCTTCCATACAAGGTAATTGTGGCTGTGCCTGAATCAATCTACAGGGGCTAGTCACAAGTCTAGCTACATGATTGGGCAGCTCGCAATTGAATGCGCACTGCTTTGGCGAGCACAGCATCTCGCATTTCAAGGTCGGACTAATGAGGCATTGCCAACATCAGTTGGCAAGATATATAAGATCTAGAATAATACAAATAAAATAATTTTAATCATTCAATATCGCAACCAAGATGCATTCCAATATCAGAGCCCTCATTCTTTACCTGTTGACTTCCGCAGTCACTGCATCTCCAGCACCCACCCAAACTAAACCCCAAATCACCATCGCACCTCGTCAACCCAGCACAACAGAAGCACCGCAAGGCTGGTTCACCACCACCAAAAATATTGCTACCATCGGCGGTACAACAGATCAATACTATACGATCCCCGCCCAGACTATTCAAATCGTCATTCCAACATGCGTTCAAACATACGAATCCGACGAGAATGGCTACCTTCCTCCAGGAACATGTAATGCCCACTGGAACTACTACCCCAGCTTCTCTGCGGCTGCAGCCTTTGCGGTGCTGTTTGCTATCCTGACGGGTGCCCATATTTGGCAGGCTGCTAGATACAAAAAGGTACGTACATTCATCCCTTTGAGAATTTTGCGACTAATTAAATGCTAGTCTTGGTGTTGGGTTATCATCATGGCGGGCATCTGGGAAACAACAGCTTTCACGTTTCGCGCGATAAGCACAAAACATCAACAAAGTATCGGCGTTTTACTCGTTTTTCAGATATTCATCCTTCTTGCACCTATTTGTGAGTTGTCATCCCAACTCTTCTCGCCAAGCCACTAACAGGACCAGGGGTTAATGCATACGCTTACATGACACTCGGCCGAATGGTCTACTACTTTGTCCCCGACAACTCCCTCCTAGGCATGCCAGCCGTCACTTTAGCCGCCCTCTTTGTTGGTCTGGATATTGTATCTTTCATCATCCAGCTCATTGGTGGCAGCTTGGCTGGTCCCGGTTCACCTCCGGAAGAGCAATTGAAGGCCATACACATTTACATGGGCGGCATTGGTCTTCAAGAGTTCTTTATCGTCATTTTCATCATTCTCTGCATTGCCTTCCAGAGAAAAATGCACGAGGTTCGATTTGAGAAGGGTATCAAGGCCTTTACCGCGTCAGACTGGGGCAAGCTTCTTTGCGCGCTTTACTTTTCTCTAGCCATGATCTCTGTACGCATCATTTATCGTCTCATTGAGTTCTCTGGTGGTCACGGTCAGGATAACTCCCTTGTGACACACGAGGTTTACTTTTATGTCCTTGAAGCGGTTCCCATGCTTCTGGCTTTATTGGCGTTCAATATTGTTCATCCTGGGAGAATCATGCAAGGTCCTCTTTCGGACATGCCTGGGCTGTTTTCATTCATTAAGGATAAGATGCGAGGACGAAAGGGGAAGCAGTTGCTGGATGATCAGAGTGACAATAATGTCGAGATGGGACATCGCTACGAGCCGACTAGAGCGACTGATACTAAAGTTGGAGAGCCGTCGCGGTAGGTGAAGTGTTTTAGAGATTGAGGTGTTGAACATGAGGAGCCCTGTAAGGATTTGCTTGTGTTAACAGCTTGGAGTTATGGGTACATATTCTAGAGAGATATCCTGCGATATAGAGTAAAAGATGCGTATTAAATATTTATTCTTTATTCAAACTCAATTGACTTAGTCAACTGTATAGATGTGAGCCGAATGTCTTTATATACTAATGACCAGGATCTGAGCCTCAGATTGTCTAAAATCTGGGGCATGTGGAGCTTAGCTTCAATTAACCATAATGCGACGTCGATCCGACTTATATGCATCGGTCATTAATTGCATCGCTTGTCTTGAATCATCAAAGATCATCCTCCCTTTTTATGAACGTCTCGGCTCAGCGCGGCTTGTGTTTCGTTTTTTCCCGTAAATTGCGTGCTCTGTGATGTCATTTCCTTGACGTCACCATCACCTCTATGAGGAAGCTTCTTGAGCTCAGCTACCTCATAGCTTCATACTTACCACAAACAATCATCTGCAAGCAACCCATTTAATTATTACGAACCAAAAGATAAACATCAATCCCATAAATCTCTGACAATGCGCTTCCTCACTCCTCTCCGCCCAACTGCTCGCATCGCGCCGCGCCTCACAACCCTCCGTCCCTTCCACCAATCTCGCACACTTCGCAAAGAAGATGTCAAGGATAGCAACGGCGGATTCATTGATGGACTTGCAGAGGGAGACGCAAAAGGCCGCACAGGTGGTGGTAAACCACTCGACGCATCATCCAAGAACGCACCCCCTCAACCCAAAGTGTCAAACCAGAGCATCCCTGGCAACCAGACGGACTCTTTGACAGAGGAGCAGAAGCGTGAGGTGGAAGAGCACAACAGGGACTTTGACGCGAAGCATGATCGGGGTAACACGGCGCCCGGGGACAAGGTTGACAAGAAGTTTTGGGGAGGGGCACAGCATGGAGAGAAGAACAAGGGGAATGTGAAGCCTGATGAGGAGAAGTGACGGTGAGTGGTGCATCATTTGGAAATGTATCAAGATTGTTATGGGCAGATGTGCCTCGGATGAGGCTGACATGGACTTTTCTTGTCCAGGCTGGTTATTTGTTCTTCTGTCAACCATATATGCACACAGTTACAAACAAGACAGCCAATGGAAGAACGCCAAAAACATGACAGCATGGCAAAACCGAAACAAATTGGTGATATATGCCGGGCTGGCATGGACAGTCGAGCATTAGTGGCCAAGGGAGACGACCGATTGGAGAGGCAACCGCATATGCTAGTAGTTAACAGCTGATACAGATGTGTACGTACCATGTACTACCAGTCATGGGGATTCATACAAGGCACTCGATCGGGGTCATTGCATGAGCTTACTAGCTGCTACATCAAAGCAGGAGTAGCTCCGATATTCGTAGTTACACCGCCCCCGACCGTTCGGTGTCGCGGCGCTGCAAACTTAGTAGATACCGTTATGATAGGGACACTTATATTTCCGGCGTCGAGTGAACTATTAAACAATTCCCACCAGTGCCCTCAAGTGATATGGGAGGTGACGGTTGGCTCATTCATACAGCGGCCCAACTGCTCCAGCACGAGTTGTTAGGCTAATAAATTGATTGTTGTAGACACTCTTTTCAACAAGCCGAGTTCTCCTTATTGCCTTACATGTCTTGTAGTCAGTCGTAGTCAGGAACTGTGTGCTAATATGTGGATCTATCAAGAAATAAGGGGGGTCAGAAAGCGCCCATCGGGGTGGGATGTCATGAGCGCAAACCCCGATAAGGCGCCCGCATCTTAATTTCAGCCGCTTCCCGTCGCTTTATATCCTCGAGATTTGTTGTTCAAGGCGCCTGCATTCATAACCACGCAACGCCTGTCGATACGACATCATCTTGCAGATGCGATATGTGTCATACATACGCACGGGAAGCTACACCTGGAAAGCCGGATGTATAAGTCTTGTAGCTAAACCACAGAGATTTGACAAAGGCTTAAATAATTAACTATCTCAGTAATAAAACCCCTATTTCGTAGGATCAGTCTTATCCTACGAATTGAGGCTTACGCTGAGTATCGAGGTAACTGGGAGATGATATAGCTTAACGTGGGCAACTTAGCACAGGTGATGTAAACCGTCCCTTTAAGAAATGCGCTACATTACATTTGATGCCCGTATCAAATGCATTTTTGCTCTTCTCGAATTTGTAGTCATTTTTTAGTAAGTAGTGCCTTTCATTGAGAAAAATCAGCAACGCCTCATTTGTACTCAATACGTTGGCTGTCCAAACTAAAAGCACAGGAGAAGAGTGCGAAATATGCATAAAGATGTCTGCTGTATGTGTAGCGGTAATAATTTTGAGGTTTCTGTTTCGGCTTATAGACCGTATACTCGGGGTTCAGTGGAACATGGGGAAGGCGAACCACTGATAAAATGCAAGTTGCGAACCATGCATGATATACGGACTGCGTGCAAAGGCTAAATAAAAACTACCACATGGTATAAAGGGCGAACTGGTTCGCAACCCACCACTACAACCGCTTACTATTGACCCGACCGATATGGTGCATTGCTTTGCTGGCTGCTGATAGTTTACACAAGCAATTGCTTTGCTATTCCAGCCAAAGTGCAAAAACTTCCCCCTATGCAAGACACATATTGCGCATTGTTTAAAACCATTGTCAAGAATGATGAATATAAATAAAGCCTCTCTTTGCCCCGAAATTTTAGTGGCTTGCTTCACATTCATAAGCAAGCACTCAACAGCCCATCAACCCCTTCATCGCCATACGCTTGACCATGCCTGAGTCACACGACACTCAAGTCCCCCAAGGACAAGACTCTGTACAACAAAACACTTCATTGTCACCACAGATGGAGAGATGGTTGTAGGAGAGCAAGAGGGAAATGCCGTGGTATCTCCCTGATTCAATTGCTGTATCTAGCATGCAGACGCAGACCACTTCCAACACCAACACCTACACTTCTTCTCAAAACCCTGCTACTCAGGGAAGTGCCAAGTAGACTTGCTGCCGCAAAGGTCTTGAAGGTATTGCATAGATGCTTGCTTTAATGCGTATAGCTGTGCTGATATGAGACGAAGTCAAACATTGCGGTCTAACTGGACAGCCTTCGTCCGTCCACGGGTAGTCAACACAAGTCATCGTGACCTCGAACCCCTTGTCATTCCGAAACAAAATGATACGACTATACGAACGATGCCATGGAATATGCCACCTGAACAATGCGCTTTCTACGCTTGGTATTGATGCGACTATGATTACTAGAAACATGTTGAAGCTCTCCTTGAAGGGGTACTGGACTATATATGGTCAGCGACTTGAACAAATCGAGATATCAGAACATAGTGTGTATGTGGAAGTATATCAGGAAACTTATAATGGAATCATACAATTTTGTCAAATACAATCTAGCGTGAAGTTTTTAAGTCATCATGTGGGAGGGGATGCGAAAAGAAATAAAAACTGACTTACCCAACACTTCATTGGCGTCGTAAATCAGACGAACATTTCGGCTCGTCCAGCCTGTATTGTGATGTTGTTTCAATTCATAATGACCAATTTACGGTCGAGCAAGTCCAGGCGACGAATTGGATCCAAAGATTTGGCCGATTGCTCCACGAATCTGATCGACTAGAGCCTTGATCATGCCCTGAGGTTTGCCCCTTCCATCGAGTCCATGAACAGGCTCAGTTCCCATTGTAGGAAGGACGTTATCGCCAGCGGACAGACTGACAAACAGCGCAAAAGGCACAAGCCAAACGCACAATGCAAAGTACGATGCGATCTGGGCGAAACTGGGGACGTCGGCCTTGTCGTAGAACGAGGTTCGCTGGTAGGCACGGGACTGTGCATCGGAAAAGTGGCGGAACCATACGTAGTGGTTAACCAGGACAAGAACTGCAGCTCGTTAGACAAAATCAATGGCTGGTCGAGAGGTCAACATACCACATGAAGCTAGGAAGAGAGGATCTGTGAGCTTCACGAAAGGGAAGCGTCTCATGTTGCCCAGATAAACGATATGCGAGACAATCGTCAAGATTGTACCCAAAAACGGGAACCCATCAACTAGCCACAGAAACAGTTGAATCACAATGACGCTGTAGATAAGTCGCGTAAGGAAGCGCTTCGCGATGACGCTATGCTCCTCGACGAGCTCCGACAGGTAATAAAGACCAGACGCGATAGCGAGAGTCAAAAAGCAGAAACCCAAAAGGGTTCCCACGTAGCCGACAAGAGGTAGAATCCACATGTTTGCGTTGCGTTTACTTTGTTTCGTGTAGATGCGCAAGCAAAGCGTTGAGACAAGAGGCTCACATGTTGGGAAAGAAGATAGAATTCCCAGGGAGGGGAGAATACGTAAATATTTCCTGCAGGTTTCAGAGAATGGAAAGGAGGCAGGCAGACGAAAAGGGACACGTTTTTGCCAATCGGTTCAATTTTCAGGTCTAGGTCTTGTCGGAGGCTTGTGAAATTCCTGCTCCGGCGTTTACCCCACTGTGGGACTGCTTATCGATAGCCACGAAAAAAGTGTTTCTGTTCAACACCAGTAAATCGACGATAAGGTGCAGTTCTAGGCTTCGTGACCCATTCATTTTGCTGGATTGTTGTTCAATTCGAGATCTATACATTCAACGTCCTGCAAATTTTCATATTCATCATGTCTCGTCCCGAGGATACGCTGTATGTTGCTACAACCCCGCCATGATGCCCCTCAAGCTTACAAAAACAGTGCGGCCGACGTCCATTATGACGATACCGAAGCGCGAAAGTACACGACGAGTTCTCGAATCCAAAACATTCAAGCGTCCATGACAAGAAGAGCACTAGAACTTCTGGATCTCAAGTCACCATCTTTTATCCTCGATATCGGATGCGGTAGTGGTCTCTCTGGCGAAATTCTATCCTCTGTCGAACCGGAGGATGGTGGTCCTCACACTTGGATCGGAATGGACCTTTCACCATCCATGCTGGATATTGCGCTCCAAAGAGATGTCGAAGGCGATTTGATGTTGGCGGATATTGGCCAGGGCGTTCCCTTCCGAGCAGGTACCTTCGACGCAGCCATCAGTATTTCGGCTATTCAATGGCTCTGCAGTGCCGAAACAAGCGATACATCCCCTGTCGGCCGTCTTACCCGCTTCTTCAACGGACTCTACGCATCTCTCAAGCGTGGAGGTCGAGCCGTCTGCCAATTCTACCCCAAAAACGACGACCAGCGCACCATGATCACCCAAGCAGCCGTCAAGGCCGGTTTCGGCGCTGGTATGCTTGAAGACGACCCTGGCACCAAGAACCAAAAGCTGTACCTCGTCCTCACCGTCGGTGGTGGTGATCTTCAGAAGAAGGGAGGCGACATTACCGGCGTTGTCGATGGCATGGAGGGAGTTGATGTTGAAGACGCCAGACGATCGATCAAGGCGCATGCTCCAAACATGTCCAAGGGTAGCAAGCAGTGGATCGTCAAGAAAAAAGAACAAATGGAGCGCAAGGGAAAGATTGTCAAGGCGACGTCCAAGTACACAGGACGAAAGCGAAGAATCCAGTTTTAGGCGGGATGGTATGGATGTATTTGCATTGTACGGCGTTGGTGGTGGAAAATGTTCTTCTAGACCTTTCAATTTGACACGGATACCCTTTAGTTTGCGTATGTGTTGCTCATTTGATGTGCCGTATCATGGCGAAGCAGCAATATCAATCTTGAGGATGGATCAGTTCTGCTAAACAGCTGGCCAGAAAGCCTCTTCTGCTTCCAATACACCCTGCCACTTCCCTTGGACTCGCTTAAACAGTTGCTTTTTTGCATCCTCACCCTTTTCCTTGACGACATTTGCAACAGCATCATCAATGATCTTCCCTAGATCATCAACAAAGTCGACAAACTCTTTGCATGTCCAATTGTTGATGAACTCCTTTCTCACAGCTCCACCATCAGCATCACCACTACCGTCGATATTCTCCGAAAGCTGCGACTTTGCCCACGACCAAGCATCAAGATAACACTTTTCCGTTCCCCAGTATATCACTGCTGCTTCAAGCCAGGGAAGCACATCATTCTCGTTGGGAGATACAGAAGAGTACAGTGCTTCCCATCGACGAAGACCTTCGAGTTTAGAGCTTGAGTCCACACGCCCATCTTTGGCCTCGAGGTTAATGTTGATACCGTACTCGAAGGCCGTGTTGATAAAGAACTTTTCCTCCCGTCGAATGTTGACAAGAGCAGCGACGATCCAGTCCAGGAGTTGCGTTGTAGCCCCGGGATCTACATCGCGCTGTACGGTATCGGGAAACTCCAAAAAGCTGAGCAGACGACCAAGACCGCGACAGTAGCTGTGGATGTAGAGACGGTCGTTTGCAAGCCAGAGACCTAAAAGGTCCTTTGAAGCTTTACCATGGCCTGCAAGGCGTAGGAATTCAGACTGAGTGGCTCGCTTATAGCCTTGCTCGTCCGAAGAGAGGAGCTGTTTAGTCAGTGAGTAAGACATGATGATGAGTGAGTTATTCTCTCAGTTTGCGAAAGCGGAGATGGCTTCAAGGTTGATGGGCTGATCATCTTGGCAATGAATTATGTCATGACCGGTCTAAAGTTGTTCCATCGAAAGTAGTTGCAAGTTGCACAGTCGAGTGGTTCAATTGGGTGTTATTCAAGTATCATGCTGTTTATGTCATGTTGTGGATTAGCTTGAGCTGTAGATTGAACACCAGTAGTAGATAGCATCATAGTGCTTAAGATACCCCCCAAAAGATATGGAATAATATCTTTGTATTCATCGGTCTACCAGTAAATATATTGATGTAATGGAAGCTTTGAAATAGCAGTCAGTACTATATCATTTGTTGACGTTGCTGTCCTCTCGCTTGCGGACATAACTTGGGTGCAGCTTATTCATACCAATTGAATGCAGCTGATGATGTTCATATCCACATCACTCGCATCCACATAATACTACGTAGTAATCCGCCCTTGACGCCAAGTAATTTCCTTTTGGTCTTTATCCATGCCAACCATGCGACTCCCTTCCCTTGAATCGAACCTCGGCCCTACGCTTGGCAACGTTGAATGATGTCTTCTTGGCTCTCCCGCTAATCGCTCCCAAGTTAGCCAAGCACGCGAGAATTTGGTCATGTTTTGCTTTTTGATCGGTTCAGCCAACTGATCGTCATTATCCTAGTCCCCGTCGAACCATAACAAATCCCTTTTAATCTGGGGGAGAAGCGGACTTGTGCTCGTGATTCGGAACATGACCCGAACAGGGGGTGATTTGTCCACTTTTAATTACTGACTGAATAAATGTCTCCCCACAAAAATCAGGGGGAACAAATGGGTAGAGTGAAAGCTATTTTGGTAGATTACGATTGTTTGAGAGTTGGAATGGTTAGTTTCAGTTTGACCAATTGTTCTTTGGTCTATTCTCTGTTGATGTTTTCTTTTGTTGTGAAGCATCGTGAGATTTAATGGACAAATGTCTTGACATCAAGTCCCTGGGATCATCAAACTCGTAGAGTAAGATGCCGGAACGCGTAACATGATGTGACAAGGACCCAGTTCTAGATTCTAGAACTCGTATCACGGCTTCATCGGACCCGGATTCAATTTCAATAGGACCCCTGATTTATTGATTCGGGGGATCCATGAGCCGTCACGAGGGAGCCAAGGTAGGTAAGCTTTGACAGAGATGAGATCAAGGGGGGGCTGAGCTTCTGAAACATGGAGTTTGGTCTGGGCTTGAGCAAAAGCAAGAGAAACCGAATGGTAGTTATGTTGTTGAAGGTTGCATGTCATTCGTTATTGATGGTGGCTTTTTATTAATCAATGCTCTTTCCCTTGTAATTGTCACTGACGATTCCTTCCTTCTTTCTTTCCGATTTCCCAAGTTTTGCTCCATTCTTTCGCAGACTTGGCTACTATTCAATGCATCAACAACATCAACTGAATACTTAATACTATTAATTCTATTCTATTGTCGTTGCCGCTACTCCCAAACATGATTCTCGGTTCCAGCATTGGCGCATGGCAGGGCTCTCGAATCCTCCCCCGCGAAGCCAAGGAAACGTGCCGCAATGACATGCAGTCAGATACCTGCGAGAAACCCGCCATGTCAACAGGCGAACTATTAGTCGTTCTTCTCATCGCCAGGTAATTCCACTTCTCCCCATACTCGTACATGGCTGACATCTCAGTTCTATTGTCGTCTGCGGTATTGTTGCCCTTTTGTGCGTCTTTCACCGTCGCAAACAACGCCTCGATAAACTCGAAGACATCAAAGGTGTTCAAGAACTCGATGACTACGGCCTCGCCCCCATCAAACCAAGGCCTGTACAACTACCCCAAGCACCACCACCGACGTATGACAAAACGCACGAGGGAAAACCCAACGTGACGACAGATGAAAATTGGGATCGGACAAATCGAAACTCTACAGACTCGTTAACACCGTCACTTCGCCAAGCCATGGGTGTCACTGCCCGCGATACACTGTCCAATAGCTAGAAACTACTGCGCATGGAACGTTTTTAGCGCTGGTAGTCGAGCTACTGCAGCCTGTCGATCACTTATGCATAATCGCTAAAAAGGCGAAACGCATCAAGAAGCTGGTCGTTTTGAGACAGGCGCTACGAATACTTTGTGGTCATTGCACCCGCACTTCGAACAGCTAGACGGTGATTTACGAGGATTGGGATAGGATTTGGTATGTGTTTACTATGGCGTTAAAGAGGCCCATTGGTTCTTGGTAGGCGTACCTGGTTTGGGGAAAAGGATGAGCGATTCTGCCGGTCGGTTTGAACGGTTTTACTATTACTTTTACAGGCGTAGCGACACTTACTTTGAAAATTCAAGAATACTTCTGATGTATGAATTTGTCATGGCCGTAATGCCGTAAGTCTACTGACGCACCCAAGCCTTGATGTTATAGCACTTTAGACTATACTTATGACATCTTTGGCGTCATGCGCTATACCTTTATGTAAAGTGGATTTTTGTAACACAGGCTTGGATAACTATACAAAGCTACGGCATCTCCAGTACTGGAGTTGTTACGACGTCGCCTTTACTATTGACTTCCCGCCTCCAAGCCAAACAAAACGCCAAATTGTGTTGACTCGCCAAAGAATGGTTTACCACCAATTGTTCTAATCATGTGCTCGTCTTCTACGGTAACGTCTCTTCAGATTGCTACGCTTTCAACAAAATGGAAGTCAAGTTACTGAAACACACACTCTACTTCCAGAGTCTGTATTGAGTTCCCCAGCAACGAAGCCAATCAATGAATTAGAAGCAACATATTTGTGTAGCCTGGCCAATGATTCAAACTCTCTCGTGAATAAACTCAATTCGTATCTGATACAAGGGCTGTAAGCCTGAGTTTGGCTCATGTCCCTCCTGATTATATACAATGCTGGTTTCGTTAGTCACACAACCAAGGTTTGGGAGATAATTATAAGAACTGAGCCTTTACCAGTAGAAGCAAACATATTGTGACCTCTCCTTGTCTGACATTAACCAACATCAGACTGATAACTGGCCATTACTTGTCCGCCTAAAGGAGCCAATCAATCGCCAACATGGCGTATCCCGATAGACCACCTGCTACCCAACGTTATCTACAAATCTTCAACCCTGCCCTGAGGCTTGTACCGACTTCCACCAATTTTCTCGATTCCCACCGGAAATCCGATGCCTCATATGGGAACAAGCACTGAGTCACAAACGATGGATTCGCATCTACTTGAGAGGTTACAGCGATAAAAAAAAAGCTGACCTAGTTGCAAACTTCGGCAGGTATGAGATTTATATCAACAGTCGCCGGACCATTAGCAAACTGTTTCGGATAACGCATGAGTCACGACGTGTTGCGTTGGGGTTTTATCGGGTCCAACTCCCTTGTTTCTCGTACGGCGAAGATAGAGAAGAGAAGAAGAGAACTATTTGCTACATTTGCCCGGAGTTAGATACTTTGGAGGTCGGGGGCATGAGGAACTTTGAGTTTTTTGTTCATGATGTATGGAATCGCGATCGTCGTCGTGTTGGTCTTGTCAGCCTTGCAACATGTGGTGTGAATCCTAGGCTCTACGTGGATTGGATCCTCAACTATCGCAGAGACAAACCTCTTCTCAAACGGACCATATTGAGAATTGAGAGTTTCGCCGTGCTAAATGGAGATTCGAATGAAAAGTGGCTGCTTGACCGGCGTCAAGACCCAATCTCGTCGCTATGCAGCCCGACACACTGTGCTTCTCCTGTCTTTGTTGATACCGTTGGCTTTGAACGACTACCATCTGATCCTCGACTATGCGAAGAGCATCTGAAGGAGATATACACGGGACCAAAGTATCTGAGAATGCAGTTCCACGCCTGGTTCAGAGTACTACACCGCCTGAAAATCAAGCATGGCCACAAAGTGGACTATCGTTATGGCATGTGTCATCAAACTCATTCAAGAGAGGATCGATTTGGACAGGACCGTGCCGCCACTGCGGAATGGGTTCGAAGGATGAGGAGAGGTTTCAATCAACTTTGAAGAGGAGTTGTGAGGTCAATGGTCGAGAGTATCCCTCCCCCGAGAGTCAAGGTCTTGAAAAGGTGCCTCAGCAGGCAATAGGATTCTGGCTATTCCTTTTGGAGAGCCTCGAGCCACTTGCTAACCCTAAGAGACGATTCTATAGTTACGTGGGACGCGAAACTCGGAGGCATTTCTCTCGCAATAGGGTCTTGGACATGGCAAAACGTAAGCCAGAGTTGTGTTTGCCGATTATGCATTAATTGCTTGTTTGGGAAAGGCAGTGAACGACGATCGACCACCATGAATCACTTGAATAATGGCCATCATCAAACATGAGCCGTGAATCATTGTCAGATTCAGCTATATAATGACCACATCTTCTCCGAATCACTGTCTTTCTTTTCCTTCTCTTCGTCGCCATCGACTCAGAGTCGATACTGAAAGGAAGCGCTGTATTAGGCGATCAATTAGGTTGAACTCGGCTGCAATATATGCAGTTCTGGACGTGGTTAGAACTTTTTGGTCGTCCTCGACTATATATATATATGGCCCTTCAAGTCGAAGCAAGAATTCGAACCGCACGGCAGATGGGAGTAGAAGCAGGCAAGGGATTGTGGGAACAAATAGAAAGTCTAGTGGTATCAGGGTTTAATAGTTTAACTTTAGGACATGTGGCCTAACCTTAGTTTTCGAAATGCAAGAAGTCTTCAAGTATTCTAAACTTCGATCAGGCGGTCAAGTCATTTCGTCTCTAATGATGCTAGGATCAAACCCTTCAATTAAATCTATCCGAGACTTACTTAACACTAACTGGCATCTAGTAAGCATAGAATAGAGTAGCCTCAGAGTCGGTTTGTCTAATCTTTCTGTTGGCTCTGACCAACATCCATCTCATAAGCCAAACCCCAGCAATGCACGCGACGGCGAAACCCGCACTGCTGGAAAGAGGTAGTACATATCGAGGGGCTTCCGACTTGGGCCAAAGGTACTGCAAAAATTAGTTGGCTATTTTAATGTAGTTCAAGGGTGTAAACCTACAGGAGTCCAGATCAGACTGAGCGTAGCACTGACGTTGGCCAAAGCCAGAGCAGAAGCCTTCTTCTCCTTTGTTTGACCACAGGTGTTTCCAACCCAGGCGAGAAGAATGGAATTAACACCGTATGTTCCAATGGTGAAGACGCACATGGCAAAATATCGGGCGCCAGTGTTCAATGTAGCGCAGCCAAGGACGAAACCAAAAGTAGCAACAATCTTGGAGATAGTGATATGCCAGGTACTCTCGTTAAAGTGGCCTGAAGACTTGGCCCAAAGAATCGAGACGGCTCCGGCAATCAAGAAGGGAGGGCATGTCAAGACCAGAGTGATGGTAGTATTGAATCCAAGCGTGTCCACGATAGTAGGGAAGAAGTTCTTGAAGCCGTTGGTGGCAAGGTGGAGATGCTGAAGGATGATAAAGACCCAGACCTTGGGGTCGACGATAGCTTCACGAAGACCGCTCCAAGGGTTACCGTCACCTTTTTCACCGACTGTATCTCGGAGAACGCGATCGTGGGCGAGTTGTCGTTGCTCGGGGGTAAGCCATCGGGTCGTCAACGGTGTATCTGGGAGAGTGAAGCAGGCCACGATGGCAACGACAAATGTGACAGCACCCTGAAGAATGAATAGCCACTTCCACCCAGAAAGACCTGATATGCCATCCATTTTAAAAACACCCGCAGCGATAAGTCCAGCAAATGCAGAAGCAAGTACATTGCCAGAATAGAGGATACTGATTCTGGTGGCTAGCTCCTTTCGTGTGTAAAAAGTTGACAGCATGTACAAAGCGCCTGGATAGTAAGGGGCTTCTACAACACCAAGGAAGAAACGTGTGAGAAGAGCACCCTTGTAGTCTTTTGCCACAGCTGTAAGAGAACTGACGACAGCCCATGCCATCATGAAGCCGCCCATGTACCATGAAGGTCTTACGCGGGTGATGATCATGTTACTGGGAATCTGGCCTAGGATGTAACCGACAAAGAGGATTGAAACGCAGGTGCTGTACTCTGTTCCTTTCAGGCCAAGATCTTCCTCAAAGCCATTGAGACGGGCAAGAGTGATGGCGTTGCGGTCAAGGTAGTTGAGCCAATACATTGACCAAAGAGTTGGCTGTACATGTCAGAAGAGTTGATGAAGTGGATGTTGGGACTCACCATGATCCATCGATCCAACTTCTTGACCAGCTTGATTTCCTCAGGGTCAGATTTTGCTGTAGCACCAGAATAATCTCCATCGCCCTTCTTGTCAAGAACTTCAGCAGAAAACTCCTGATGGGCTGAATTCTGCTTTTCCGCGTCCAGAGTCTCCATATCAGCCATGGTCTTTCTATCTTGTGCCGCCATAGTGACTCAAGCTCAGTATCAAAAACAAAAAGTTGATGTTGAGATGGAAAGGATCAAAGCAGGGGGATTCAACGGTATTTGACTTGATTTCTTTTCCATACTCGTTTCCCCGCAGAGTTCGACTTACCCCAGATTTCTAGTGTACCAAGATCCGGGGATATTGCCGTGTGCCAAACAAAAGGGCGGGGGAATCAACGTTGAGGGGATCACCATGAGGTTACATCCTTGTTCGGAGACGGGGCCGCAGACCGAATTGAGCGCCAAGACGCCATGGAGATGGACTAAGATGGTGGTTGGGGAATATTGATCGAGAATGATTTGGAGGCGAAGGGTAAAGATATCCGAGACTGTCAGGAGGACTACCAGTAGATGGTCGAACTCTACTGTCTTCTAGTCACCAGGCCGAGTCAATTGGCTCGTACACCGACATGGAAACATCGTCACTGTCTAGTATGAAGTTGGGAGGTTACAATCCTCCGAGTCAGGATTAGAGTAATTAAGCTTAGGTAGGTGACCCATATCTCCAGGCGGGGCCCCATCTCCATCTTTTCCCTCCTACTATTCTTCACATCTCGGCCTCATCCACCGAGACGGTCTACATCGCCGACAAACCCAAATGTAATGACTTCAAACGCATGCGATAGATGTCATCGTCGCAAAGTCCGCTGCGACAAAATACAGCCCCAATGCGGTCCCTGCAAGAGAGCAGACGTGGCTTGCGAATACGCCGTTAGCGAACACCAACTAAGAAGAAGGAATATCCAAAAGTTGGAGCGCAGGATTCGAGATTTGCAAGCTAATAATGAGAATTTGAGTGCGCAGCTGAGAAGGTCCGAGGGGCCAATCCAAGAGAGGCATGGATCAGAAAGAAACACGACAGGCAGCAACACAGAGAGTCCCCTTGGAGATGGAGAGGTTGCCGAAGAAGTCATTCAGATGAGCCTCATTGCAGGTGGTGGACATCACTTTGTCGGTTCAACAAGTGGACTGTTGCTTGCCAATCTACTCCAGTCCAGACCCCAACCCTCATCGTCTCTACACGCATCAGGATGGAAGCCAGATTCGACAGCACTTACTCCCCAAGGGGGGTCAGGATTACCACCAAAGACTCTCGCATCAGAAATCCTCAAAGCATACTGCAGCCATGACCACCTTTGCTATCCTTTCCTGTCTACGAAATCCCTCTACCGTTCATTGGACGCAGTATACGAAGAAGGGCGCGAAAAGGACCCCGTGGATGCCTTTTTCATCGATATGACCCTTGCGATAGGCACTGCACAAGTCCACAAGTTCAACTGGAATGGCGTTTACGATGCTGAGACGCACTACAATCGAGCCATGACTAGACTAGCTGATGTTCTTGCAAGAGATGGCATCGAGAGATTACAGGCTTTGTTGCTGGTGTGTCAGTATAGGATGGGAACGACATCGAGCAACACTACAACGAGTGTATGGCATCTTATCGGTGTGGCTGCTCGGACTTGCCTGGAGATGGGGCTCCATAGAGCAACTACGTATACACTACCACCAGCAAACGAACATGACGAGAGTCGCAAAGCGAAAGAGGAAGAGATGGAGACCAAGAGACGATGTTTCTGGAGTCTTGTCGCGTTGGATCGCGTGACAAGTCTCGCATTGGGTCGTCCTTTGGCTCTCCAACTAGAAGATATCGACGTCGATTTACCACCCTCATCCGCACCCGATCAATTCCCCGAAGACAGCAGTCCTCTTTCGTCCGCACCCTATGGAACACCACAATACCGCGCCGCAACGTCCGTCTTTGTGCACATCGTTCGATACCGTCTCATCTGCGGCAAAATCATCAACGCACTACACCGAAGCACCAAGCATGTTTCGTTTGCGAGTATAAGCTACGAGGAGATGCGCACGGCATTGGCGAGAGAACTACAGGAGTGGCATACAGAAACAGCCAATCTTCCTCTTGTAAAGAGTGACGCGACGGCTGCTTCACCTGCTAGCGGATCGAGTTTTCGTTGCGAAGAGTGGTATCGTCTTTTGTACCATAATGGCGTGCTCATGCTTTTTCGGCCGTCACCTTGCTTAAACGATGCGTCTGTGAATAGTCTTGCGCTGCAGAATATCTTTGACTCGGCGCGGGAGGCTATTGTTTTATACGCCAGTTTACACCGATCTCGAAAGATGAATTATTCGTGGATAACCATGCATACTGTGTTTCTGGCTGGGCTGTCATATATTTTTGCTTTACGACATCATTTTCAGGCCCTACAGCTACCAACTTCGGAACCTCAGCGAGCGAGATTGCATACAACCCCTACCATAAACCAAGTTGTCAACGATACACGCGCATGTTCAAAGGTGTTGGTTGCTGTGTCGGAGAGGTGGGATCTGGCGAGAAATTGCTCTGATTTGTTTGATAGACTGAGCGATGCCGTGGTGGCGGATGTAGTCGAGGCGTCAACACCAAGTAATCACGGGTTGAGTGTTGCTGCGGCAGTACCTTTTTCTGCAGATCTGGCGAATATGACGGTCGATAGTACGTTTAGGGATTGTTTTGGGGATTTACAGAGTCTCGGGTTGGACGAGTTCCATAATGATGCGATTTCGCAGTTGTCGCAGGAGTGGTTCTTTGGGTTGGGCGATGAGACACATCAGTATTATTGAGGATGCATACAAATACGACCATCACAACGCGCAGTATGCCATGCCTGGCCAGGAACCTCTACTCCAAGTGTTATGGCCTGTCAATCCAGCTATTCAATTCGCCGAAACTACTTGATCCTAGTCCATGAGTAATTTACCGATCATGACACCCACTCATCCTTGTCATCTACCCCTTCTTAGGCGAGGGAAATGGAATCGGCCACCGAAACCGAAAGTCGTCGACCCGTGTAAGTGGATCGCCACTCGGCGCCGAGTCCGTCAATCCACAAAACATCAACTTGACTTCTCACGATGATCAACCGATGAGATGAATGCAACATTCTGAATACAGAAATCACTCCGACAATATTTCCAATAGAAATTCAACAACTTGAACGAGTTTATATCAACAGCAACTCGACTTTCCTCATCACTTGCAATCTCACTCATACACAACACAACACATCATCAAAATGCTTGACAGACCACCCATTCGTATAGGAAATGTATCCGGTGCAACGGGTGATCACCCGCATGCAATGTCCCGCATGGTTCGCACAGGCAACGTCAACGTTATAACGGGTGACTGGCTCTCCGAAATGAACATTGCCTGGAACGCAATCACCAAGCAAGAGGTCGATCCTAACCTGGGCTATGAGAATGGCTTCTTTGAGCAGCTTGATGAGTGTCTCGACGATATCATGCAGCGCGATATACGCGTTGTCACAAACGCTGGTGCCTTGAATACCGACGCTCTATACGACAAAGTCAGGGCGCTTTGTGAGAAGCGTGGATATGGAGATGCTATCGTTGCCAAAGTTCTCGGCGATGATGTCTCGGATGTGGTTATGAAAGGAGATGTTAGAGTGACACATCTGGATCACCCTGAGCAGACACTTGAGACCTGGGGTTTTACGCCTTGCTGCGCGACTGCTTATATCGGATGTTGGGGTATCGTGCAGGCTTTGCGTGCAGGTGCTCGCATCGTCATCTGTGGACGATGTACAGATGCGTCTCCCGTCATGGGCGCAGCGGCGTGGTATCACGGCTGGAGAGAAGACCAATACGAAGAACTGGCCGGTTCACTCCTCGGAGCTCATCTCATCGAGTGCGGACCATACGTTGTCGGTGCCAATTTCTCCGGTTTCAAGGATTTTCTCCCTGAGCTGGTAGATATTGCTTTCCCAATCGCCGAGATCGACCCAAGAGGGCGCTGCATCATCGGTCGAACGGGCGAAGGTGGCGGTCGTGTCACAAAAGAAACTGTCACTGCGCAATTACTCTACGAGCTTCAGGGCCATTTATACCTTAACCCAGACGTCGTGGCTGATCTCTCAGGGGTCCGGGTCGAGCAAGAATCACCGAATCGAGTATCTGTCTCTTACGTAAAGGGTCTTCCTCCGCCGCCTACAGCAAAGGTCATGGTCGCTGCAAAAGGCGGTTTCCAGGCTGAAGCAACGTTCTACATCAACGGCCTTGACGTATATGAGAAAGCGGCCATGATGAAGGCTCAACTGGCGCATATGTTTAAAGACGCCAACTTTAGCCGTCTCAGTATTGAGCTTTACGGAACACCGGCTGATAATCCAACTTCCCAGCAAGCAGGTACTGTGTCTCTGCGTGTCTTTGCCCAGGCTCGTCGAAAGGAAGACATTGAAGCGTCCAAGTTCAAAGTCCCAATCTATGCACTCCGCATGCAGAGTTATCCCGGGTACCATATGAATCTTGATTTCAGGACCATGGTTCCCAAAGCCTTTATGGAAATGTTTCCTGCCTTGATGCCCGTTTCTGCGATTTATCACCGTGTTGTCATGAGCACGGGTACCACGCATCGAGTTGAGCCTCCTACACAAACAGCAAAGTACCCCATAGTACGTCCATCTACTGAGACGCATGGACCGGTGGACATGCTCACATTTGGACCAACCGAGTGGGCGCCGCTGGGTAGTATCGTGCACGCAAGGTCAGGCGACAAGGGCGACAACTCCAACGTTGGATTCTTTGTGCGAAACGATGATGAATACGCCTGGCTGAGGAACTTGTTAACTGTTTCAAAATTGAAGCACTTGTTTGGAGATGACTGGTTCAAGATGAATCCTGATAGGAGAGTTGAGAGAGTCGAGTTTCCAGGCATCAACGCCGTTCATTTGTAAGTTCATCCTGCCTATGGTAATAAGATGCTAACTATAGTGTAGCCGAGTTTTGGATAACTTGAATGGAGGTATTGCTTCGTCTGATCGAATTGATGGATTGGGTAAGGGGATTGGAGAGTATTTGAGGAGTCGATATGTCGATGTACCAAAAGCGTTTTTGGATAGAGGGCGGATCTAGCCCATCTACAAGGATAGATTAATGTAAATTGGATACCAGTCACTCCAGGTAATTTTCAAGTCAAAGACTATAGTTTCGGTTCGTTGTTGATGCATCACCAGAGCCCTTCCAAGCTAGACACTAAACTAGAACTCCTCGACAACTCTCACCAGCCAAAGACAAACACTCCAAGATGTTGTCTTAGTACCGAACAGAATACCCCAGCCATACATGCCTCCAATACAGTGCCCTGGGTTCACTACTAACCTTGAACTGCTACCCACATACCCAAACCTCATTCGCCAATTAACTTGACCATTCTTCGGTACAACTTAAACCGAGGTTGGAGTAGCTCGGTCTCCGCGATCAAAGTGCTCGCCAAGCCCCGAACGATAATTAAGCGCAATATCAAATAGTCAATCATGGAAGTACAAATGCGCATCATGACTATCTCACAGACAATGATATAACATACGAGTAAGCTGACACACAATCACACATGATGAACAGGCATGGACTTTACAATATATTCAAGACTGCGCAAGTTCATGTTACACGTACAATCTCCTTCACTCTTCCACTATATCGTCTTCCTCTGCTTTTTCTTCGACGTCGCCGCCAACCCCTTGCTCTCGTAACGCCTGATCCAGACTCCCTAGTCATAGGTATATTCGGTCGAGGTAATGGTGGTGTGGGTTCATAGTGATGTGCGTATATGTCCAAACTGTCCCGCTATCACGCCGGACAAGACAAACGAAAATAAGATGGGATTACGCATGGTTTGTTTTGTTTTGTTTTTGGGGGATATCACAAAAGATGCTGCATTTAAACGGTCTCGAGCTTGTCGAGGATGGCACGGGTGAACTCGTGGGTGGTGGACTTGCCGCCCATGTCGGGAGTGCGGACCTTGCTGTGAGGTTGTTAGTAGATGTTTTTGAGTATGAGACAACAAACTTACCCCTCGGCAATAACGGCGTAGGTGGCCTTGGAGATGCGGTTGGCATGCTCATCGAGACCAAGGTGTCGCAGCAGCATGCTACCGGACAGAAGCATGGCAGTGGGGTTGGCCTGGTCCTTGCCCTTGATGTCAAGACCGACGTGACGGCAACCAGGCTCGAAAACAGCAACCTCGCGACCCATGTTGCAACCAGGGACAATACCGGGACCACCAACAAGGGCAGCACCAATGTTGGACAGGATACCACCGTAAAGGTTAGGCATGACCATAACGTCAAACTGCTGAGGACGAGAGACAGCCTGCATGGAGGCGTTGTCGACAATCATGTCGTTGGTCTCGAGGGTGGGGTACTCCTTGGCGACCTGGTGGAAGGTGCTGCGGAAGAGACCGTCGGCAAGCTTCATGATGTTGGCCTTGTGGATGCAAGTAACCTTGGATCGGCCGTTGGCGAGGGCGAAAGAGAAGGCGAACCTGGCGATACGCTCAGACTTGGCGCGGGTGATGATCTTGAGGGACTCGACGACACCCTCGACGCTCTGGTGCTCAAGACCAGAGTACTCACCCTCGGTGTTCTCTCGGATGATGCACAGGTCGACGTCCTTGTGGCGGGTCTCGTAGCCGGGGATGTTCTTGATCAAGCTGATGCTGGCGTAGATGTCGAGCTCCTGTCGCATAGCGACGTTGAAGCTCTGGTGGCCGGACCGGCTGATGGGAGTGTGGAGGATACCCTTGAGACCGAGCTTGTTGCGCTTGAGAGAAGCGACAGACTCGCGGAAAGCATCCTCAGTGCGGCCGGCGCCCTCAAGACCGGAAACCTCGATCTGCTCCCACTCAACGGGGACGTTATCGGCCTTGAAGACGGTCTTGACAGACTCGGCAACCTCGGTACCGATACCATCACCGGGGATGAGGGTGACGGTGTACTTGCCGCCGTACTTAGCAGGCTTGAAGATGTCGGACTGGATGGTGGCGAAGGATCGGGCGAGCTGGGGTTGTTGCTTGGCGACGCCGCGCAGCAGCTGAGGAGAGTTAGCGACATGATCAATTGAAGTTTGGAGTGTTTGTCAAATCAATCTGAGCCATTTGTGTACTGTGGTTGTCCCTCATTCATATTTTCCAATTCTCGCTTGGTCGCAATGATGATCATGACATGATGCATGTCGTCACCCACATTGATTCACTGCGGGCGTTCCTCCAAAAAAGACACAACACAAAAAAGCTCATCATGATAGCGACAGAGAAAACGTACCTGAGCCGATCGAAGAGATCCTCGAGACAACATGATGACGGGTGGGGGGTATCTTTGAAAAGTAGAGAGGAGAGGTTTCTTAGGAGGGGAAGACCGCGCACGAGGAGAGAGGAGAAAGAAAGAGGGGAGGAAGTTGAAGATTGAAGAGGAAGAGATGTTTTCACAAGTAAGAGTTTAGTTTAGGTAACATAAGTTATCTGGCTACGGGAAAGAAAGAGAGCAAATCGCGCATGGCCCCTTCTTGGTTGCCCAGTTCCAGTTCCAGTTCCCGTTTCCAGGGCCTATTTTTCTTGGATTTACTCTATTGGTGTCGCATTGACCGAGCTTGACATATTTTTCTCTCTTTTCTTTCGGCTGCCGCTCGGAAAACGCGATTGTTCCGAGCTGTCACTGGTTCAAGTGGAGTTGAAAGCCCGGAGGCTTAGTCTATAACTGGTAGCTTGTGGGGTTGAACCTCGCTGTAAAGCCGGCTCCGTCGCTAGACTTTAGTGCTCAAGGGCTGCAAACGACGTCACAAAAATTACGTCGAGCAGAAACAAAGCAGTAATATTCAATCAATGAGTTTATGTTTATATGCATTCAATCTATTGTCTCTGTCACCACTACAGGATACATACAGCAGCCAAACAAACCTTTCCCATAACAACTCAAACATATCATGACGACCATGATATCGAGCTTTATTCTCAATGTGGAGCTTTTCAAGCGGGCCAAGCAAACCTTGGCGCGTCAGGTTGCAAGCATTGGGTTTACTCGGACGTCGTAGTTACGAAACTATCAGAATACCATACTCCGAAGCCACTGAATACTGATAACCTCAAGTTACTCGTAGCATTTAGACAAAGACATCATCAATGTTCTCTCACATAGGCTATACCATCTATTTGTAGCCATGCCTATATCCTTTATACGTTGATCCAGGCTACTAATCCATCCTTTTCATTCATCAGTCCGCCTCATAATACTCATAATATGCCATACAATGTAAAACCAAAACTCCAGTAAACACCATTCGCGCTTTCTCAAACACGTGGATCATCACTCGGGTACAGCCACTAACCCTGTACATCTTCATCCTCGTCCAGAGGCTCAACTCGTACCAAGATCTCTTCGAGAAGTCCCTCCAGAAAACTGCCAACTTCTCGACCCATTCCAACAGGTTCAGCCTTGTCGTAATGATCAATCTCTTTGCAGACATGTGCAAGCTTGTACACCAACTTTCTCAACTTTTCATGCGCAGCTTCAGCTCGTTGCTGCTGAGGAGAGATTTGAGTTGGGTTCTGTCCGGGCTTGTACAATTGCTGAAGGTTGATCTGTCGCCGCTTAAGCGCCTCTTCAAGCGCTGGAAAGATTACATCGTTAAGTGCATCCAACTCGCCATTCGGGTTAGCTGGCGAAGGCGTAGGGAAAGCAGAAGGAGCAGTAAATTCGGACGGGCTAGGTGAGTTCTTTGAGGGAAGAGGTCGGGGACCTTGAGCTCCTCCAGGAAGAGGTACAATGACCTGAGGTGTAGAAGCGTGTTGTAATGACGGCATCCTTTGTTGCGAGGTAGCCTGGTTAGGTCTGTATGGGGGTATCTCTGGTAGGCTCATTTGCTTGGTGGTTGTTGGTCGTGTTAGATGCGCCGGCGGAGCAGGTGGTCTCTGTGGCGGTTGAGGTTGGGGACTCCTGCTCTCCTTTGGCTCATAGCCCAAGTTGAGCATACCGATGTCACGCTGCAATTCATTTTGAAGCTCGCGATCATACTCTGGGGACTCAGGTACTGGTGCAGTGTGTACTGTTCTCAGGGGCCGAGGAGTAGTATCTGCGCTCTCTCTTGTAGGTAGCTTCAGAGGAGTTTGAGGCAACGCTCTTGCAGGTGACTGTGGCTGTTGGTATTGCGACTGAGGGACAGCTTTTCGTTGTGGGCTTGGCTGTCTCGAGTTGGGTGCTTTAACCGTTTCAAGTGGCTGGAGTGAAAAATCTCGCTTCATTGGACTGGCTTCGCGTCGTTGCTCACCATAATTCTCTTCGCTTTCCAAAGGTCGGGAGGCGCGAGCATTTGTCGCATTCTCATCCAGGGTATTGAGGCCTGGTCGCTTAACAATACCCCCTCGGTCACCGACAAGTCTGACGGTGCCAAAATCCCACATATCTTCATCGACTCGCTCACGTTCAGCGGGAAGTCGGCCATCGTGGACAGATTCCCAGTTATCATCATCCTCGCCCTTATGCGCAGCTGCCCAACGCGAGTGTCTTTCGATGAGCTCAGTCAGGTACGTTGTCCGCTTTGCCCGTCTAATAAATGGATGGCGCAGCATTTCTTTGGCTGTTGGTCTGTCTTTGGGATCCCGCTGCAGACATGACTCGATAAAATCTTTAAAGGCCTTGGTAAAGTTGCCTTCAAGCCGTGGTGGAGGGTTCTTGGGGATGAGGAAGAGAACCTTCATGGGGTGAATATCAGCATAAGGGGGTTCCCCATTTGCCAATTCAAGTGCCGTGATGCCAAGAGACCAAATATCAGCCTTGTGGTCGTACCCAGATTGCTTGATGACTTCTGGGGCCATCCAAAAAGGGGTTCCGACAAAAGTGTTCTTCTTGGTCATGGTTGCTGAGAGCTGACCTGAGACGCCAAAATCGGCCAATTTGACCTGACCGTTGCTACTGAGAAGCACATTGGCAGCTATAGACAGTCAGTAATGCTTGAGAATCGAGCTTTATTCTTACCCTTGACATCCCGATGCAGCTTCTTGTCTGTGTGGAGGTAATCCAATCCCATAAGTAACTCTCGCACAATAATGGCAATGTAGTCCTCGCTGATCAATCCTGGCTTCATCAGGTCGGCGCAGCTTCCGCCTGAACAGAATTCCATGACAATCCATAACTCGGCGCCTTTCGCGTAAGATCCATAGTACTTGGTGACATATGGGGATTGTAGCTCGGACAGGATGGCGATTTCCTGTATAATATCCTCGACCTCGTCTTCGGCGCTTTCAATGTCGATGACTTTGATCGCAACAGATTGACCTGTTCTTTTGTCGACTCTATCATATGGTTAGCTAGAACTTGCAGGCGCAGGAGAGTTTCCGTACCCTTTGTAAACTTTGCCAAAACTGCCACCACCTATACAATGTTAATTGATTGCTCATGATGCATGTGCCGCGCGACACAACTTTTCAATGACTGACCGATACAGTATTCCTTGGAGTATAGAAGCTCCGGGTCCAGAGCTTCGTTTCCCTCATCAATGTCATGCTCGCGGTCTGCCATTGTGTTCTTGTGCTCAAGGTCGTGCTTTTCGATTCGCAGAGGCTTTGCCCCACGTCTGGATGTTGGTTCTCAAAGTTCTTGGTCGCGAAAAAGATCAAGTATGGGTCGGTCGATGGATGCTCTGAGCTTCCTCGTGTCAAAGCAGCGCGTGCGGTCGACTGGAAACAATTTAGAGTGGGATATAGTAGTTTGGCGGTGTCGCTAACCCCACCACTGGCAAAGAGTCGTCTAGTATCGAACCGGGCTCGTGGTAACGTCTGTCTCGGGTGTTGAGGATTATCGAAAAATAAGAGTAAAGAAACAAAAGGGACAAGTTGAAATCCGGAGATGATGATGTGCCCAAATGAAAAAGGGAGCCCGGCGAGAAAAGAAACGAAATATGCTGTCGCACAACGCAGCCAATCCCCAAGTACGCAAGGGAAAGAGACAACATGCAACCAAAACAAGCAGGCGCAAGCTAAGAGAAGGAGCAACAACTAACGTTAGTGCTTTTCCCACTATAATAATGACGGCTGGCTCGGGCTGGCTCTGGTTCAGGTTCAGGCGTTGCTGTTTTGTATTTGTTGCTGTTTACCTGGCAGGTGGGGTCGTTGAGGAGCAACCAGTCGAGGTCCTGTTTGCCAATCATCCAATTGTACGCATCGATCCTGAATCGATCTGCTCATGCCTCTTCTGCTTTTGGTGTGACCATGACCTTGCTGACCCCTGTAAGTGCCTATCCATAGGAGCCACCTCCTCCCCGCACCCGATATGAGCGCGGCCAAGATCTCCAGCTAGGGCCCGACTTGTTTGACCTTATCTGGAGGCCAATTGCTTGCATCAGGTCGATCTGTAGACCGAAACTCTAGACATTTGCGTAGAGACCTAACGGTATCGAAATTTTATTTCCCAAAGCTACATGGATTTACTGGCTCATGTTCTCTAGTGAAACACAGGAATGCATTGACTGACATGATCGACGTGGACCAAGCGGCGCCAGTAAGTCATGGCCATCTGAGGAATACCATGGTTCCTTGCATAGGAAATTATATTTCTCACACTTCAACTTTCCCATACAATCCACTAATTGAATATATCAAATCATGTATCATTTCTCATCTTGGTTGTGGGCCTGGTTGAGATGTCTAAAGATAGCGTCCTCCCTCTTGTCCATGATAGACTGAAAGCCAGTCCTAACCTCTCAATAATTCATACCTGCACGTCCACCAGCTGCAGCCAGTCCAATACGCTCCGATGGCTCCAATAACTATCTATCTGCAAATGCCTGCTGTAGTTCGCATAAAGAGAAACCCATCCGTAATTTCAGTCATCACTGCTCAGTCCTCAATAAATTCAATCATGACTGTGCCCTGCTTCAAACCTGTGTCTGCAATAGTCGCGTCCAAACTCTCCATGAGGTCCTGTCCAGCTGGCATCTTCTTGAGTTCAAACTCAACGCCGTCTTTGCCTTCTAGAGGCTCTGCCTTGAGCCATTCGTAAATTCTTCGCACTTGATCGTCCAAGTTGAATCGACGAATGACGCGGCCAGTAGGATGTCGGAACTGGATTCGTGTTGTGGTTGTTGGGTTGGCCTCGGGCTCCGTGTGTGGGTTGGTTCCAGAGATCTTCGCCCAAGGGCTCTGCTCGACAGGGGTCTCAGGTTCCTTTCCTTTGCCCATCTCCTCCGGTGCAGGAGACTTTGTCAGAGCATCGGGATCGTGAAGGTTGGGCGTTGAAGAACCTCTACTTCCAGAAGCACCCTCCAAACTGTTCTTCAGAGCCATCTCCAGCATCTCGTCCTCAGTCATGCGCTCAACATCGACTCTTTGTTTGCGAGCCGTGGCTTTGGCAACAGGGTTCTTGCTGTTGGCTGCGAGGCTGTAACGGTCGAGGAACTCAGCAAGCTCGGCATGGAAGTCCTCTGCAGAGGGAAAAGGTCTGCCTGTCCACACCTTGACCTGTTCACCAGTTCGAGGATCAATGATGGAGACATGGGGGTAGTTGTCGGGGTTCTGGTGAGATTCGTTTGGGAAATAGAATGTCAAAAACTCCTGTGCGTCAGGAAAGTCTTTGTCATACTGCAGGAAGATAAAGTTCTCTCCGACAATTTCCTTCACGGCCTTGTCCTTCCAAATGTCGCGGTTCAGAGCCTGGCAGTTAAAGTCGTTCATATCCTGGAGGTTAACCATGATCCACTTCTTGTCCTCCTTGCCCAGAGTACGCGCGTCATCCCATCCCATTCGTGCCATCAAGTCATAAGGTGGACGGAATAGATCTTCCAGTCGTCTCGCATGAGCGCCGTTCTCGTTCGACGTGGATGGGGCGGAGCGTCGTTCGGGGTCGGTCCATATTTGCTGAGAGAATGGTCCTCCTGCACGATTGGCTATACAGAGTCAGTACAAGACCGAGACACACTCAAGTGATACTCACGTGGGTTTTGCCGCCGCCGTTGTCTCAGCTCCTCAAGAAAGGCCGCTTCCATCCCATCGTCATGCTCGCCGCCACCCCAACCAGGTGCCACCAATGTCTCGGTAGTTCGCGCAATGGGTGCTCGCACATCATCCGGGTTTGCTCCTGATCCAGGCCCTTGGTATAGTTCTTCTTGAAGGCGCTTGGCCATGGCTGCATCTTCCTCTTCTTGCGCTATAGCTGCCGCCTGGGCTGCAACCGCTCGGTCGTTGTCGTCATTGTCACTAAAGTCGTCTAGTTGCATATCCTGGTCATCGTCGCTATCGATGTGAATAACACCCGCCGAGTCTTGCCTGCCAACGTTGCTTCTTCCTGGCTGTGCAGTAGGCCCAGCTGGCTGATTTGTTGAAGAAAGACCAGCTCCTACACCAGAAACCAAGTCGGGGTTCTCGTAGAATAGTTCGATTGCGCGTTCAAAGTTGCCAGCAGTCATCTCAAGGAAGCTGCGGGCAACATCAGTGCTTGCGCCAGTAATGGCCATAAAGGTGGAAATATTGTCGTCCATGGCGGCGCGTCCAACGGGATATCGGGCTGCTGACTTTTTCGATATATAATTTGTCGTTCGTATTCAAGAAGCGAATCGAGAATCGAGTGCGATCACGTCGTCGATTGATGTAATCTCGCAAGGTTCGGTGTAGCTCTTGAGTAGAAGCAAAATCAATGCCCCGCTGTTATCATAGCGGGGAGAGTGTCGGGTTAAATAGCCGCTCGCTTTTTGAGGTTCGAGTGAAATCAAACAAGGTTGATACAATATCTTTGCTCTTTCAGCTCGCCAATATAGTAGTTATGCGTATGAAAAGCAGTTCTGCTGTAGTTTGTGAGCTTTCAACGCAGGCGAAAGTTGAAGTGAAAGTGAAGCACAGACATCAAATACAGGCACCCAACCACAGTGACGCAACCGGATCAGTGGAGCTTAATGTTTCTTTGGAGGGGCAAGTGACAGGGGCTCCAGAAACGGTGGCGGAAAATCAATGACGCGACTTTTAAGTGAACTTACCCTGGAGATTAATGTATCAACGGTTGTTGTTAATGTTCGGAAGCTGGTCGATTTCTCGACGGTTATTTGAGGATGGTGAAATTATAATAGTGTTAATTGTTCTTGATTATTGATGTTGATACCTGCCTAGTCTTGGACTATGGGTTAGAATGACTTACGATGTGGGAGGCAGAAACTTTGCATTTACTTACAAGCTCAAGTAGAGTGCCAATAAAGAACTATTCCATGACAGGCATGTGCACTTGCCGTGTTCGCTTCTTTTCAACTCACAGCAAATAAAGAAGGTACCCCTGAAAGTTATATCTGATTAAGAATTTGAGTTCAAGATGGCTTGTTCTACATTCAATGAAACTTATTGTAGAGCAAGATGGCAATATCACAATCTATCAAAGACCACCAGAATCACTGACAATAAAAAACATATGTTATCAGCGAAAGAAAATTGATCATACCGTTGTGTGATGCTTAATGATTGATCTCGTTGAAGTTGATTTACGTTGACACGTGACAGCTTGTCAGCTTAGTCATGATTCAGTCGTCACGATGGTTGACTGGGGACTTCCTGCCTCGACGACACCTACCAGTCAAACGCCTCGTCATTTGAGCTGCCTATTGCCCCAAATAAAGCGTTTTCTTATTCCTGCATATATTTCTTTTATCTGCACTTGTTTTAAAAATTGTCGATACCCAGCATTTACAGTCATGGCGACACCATCGCCCAAAGAAAGGGAGCTCCAGCTGCTAGATAGTGTGGAGCTCAAGATCCTCAACGTTGCCAATAAGGAAAAGAAGCTTCATGAGTTGCTACAACGGTACCTTCCACCCGTCATTGTGAAGGCTGCTAGTGAGCATGCTCAAGTTAGAGCCAAGGTAAAGGTTGTGAGTTATGACTATGGACAAACGCTGAAGTTATGATAGGTCGTTCAGATCTTCTCTAGGCTAAAGACCTTTATTCAACCTCCTGAGTAAGGAACCCAAACATGTCGCTACGTATTTGACGCTGACTCAAATTAGAGTAATTCTACCCGTGGGAGCCCTTCTTGACCAGTACAAGTCAAACGACTCCCCACTAGTCAAGCAGCTTGACATCTCTGGAATACAACACAGTATAGAGCGCTTGGATGATTACGAGAGAAGAGAGCTTATTCCCAAGGCTTTGGCTGGATTCTCCAAGGATGAAGGCATTGCGCGATCTGGTCCTTTCTTCAACATCATTCTTCGTCTTCTCCTTGATGCTCGTATACCTCCAAGGGGTAGTAAAGATGACACCGAATACCGACAGGCGATCGGACTGTCAGATGAGACTGATGCAAAATACCTCGCCAGCCTCATCAGCATCTTTCTACGACTACGCAACCCTACACAAAGCCAAAACTGGTCGACGGCAAACCCGACACTAACCAAATCCGAGCTTGAGTCTCTTGCTGTGGAGAGCCCAGAGTCTCAAAAAGTCTTTGAGAGAATGGCGGAACTAAAACTCAAGCTCGTTGCATTACTTGCTAGTGGTGCTTTTACAGACGAAGAAAAGTTCCTGCCTGCACTTTATGCCGCATCTAGTTTCGACAACAGGCTAGTATCGGCAGCTGAAGAGGTCTTGAAGAGAAGTTCTGTTTCTATGGAGGACAAAACTCTTGTTAAGCGTTTGTTTCATGCCCACTCGATACTGCCGTCTACCTACCGAACCCGTATCCTCAGCATTCTTTCCAAGTCCACAATATCAGCAACCATGTCCGACGATATTATGGCTGTCGTCAAGCTCAACTTTTCAACCAATGATCATTATACAGATCCTCTGTCGCTAAGCTTGATGCCAAAGAGCGCATTGGAACAAACGAAACTCCACACTGCTGCGTTCCAATACCTTGCCTGGGTAGCCCGTGTTGGGCCGTCGCAAGAAGGCTTCGACATTGCCGTTCCTCTGATTGACACAATGGGCGGTTTTATCGAGAATCATGGCTGGCCTGTTCCCGCACGGACATCACACGACGACATTGCGCTTCGGTCCAAAGCGTACGAGACGATTGGAGTACTGGCAAGGAGCGCCAAGATGCCTATCGAACGGCGACTAAAACTAGCTGGCTGGCTTTTCAAGTCTTTGTCCGAAGACCCTACCAATGATGCTGTTGTCAACATCGACGGGGCCCTTTCCAGCCTGACGACCAATATCCCAGCTACTTCAGGCAGCGATTCTGAAGAATTAAAAACAATGTTGCTTACATACATGTCTCTTCCCGACGAGCCCCCCGTTATCAGGAGTACCCGCCATGCTGTGGTCAAGTGGGCGAACCAGTGCCTTAACTTTTCCGATGTACTTGGTCGTTGGATCGACATCCTTGCAATCGGAGCTCATCAAGACGAGAGGAGCGATGTTGTCGAGCAGGGTCACAAAGGTCTCGATCCCTGGACTTATCATGCACACGCCGAGGCCGACCCTGCTTTGCCAGACTGGAAGGAAATGGTAGCCACCTTTTTTGGCTCCAAGATTAAACCAGAATCACACTCAGAAACAGCAGCTCTACCTGGCCTAGAAAATGCTCATTCTGTGTTTGAGAATTTTGAAGGATCTCGTGTGGCTGCGTTCCCAGTTGCTCTGCGCTACTGCAAGCACATCATGTTCCTTGCAGCCCTCGAAGATTTTGAAGTGCAGCCTGACTGGATGCAGACACTTGACGCCAGAGTAAAGACGGATATCAAGACCCGAGAGAAGATTCTCGGATACCTACACACTGTCGATAGTGCGTTTGCAGTCTTTTATCTGAAGGCTTGTCTTGATGGTGCTTATCTCAAAGACTCTCCAATTACGGAAGGATGTCTTCGTTGCTTTGTTGACGTGGCCTCCCTAAGCCCTGGTGGTGCATTGGGATACTTGACTGGGTTTAGCGATGGCCTCTTCCAGTTGATCAAGTCAAACAACAAGGAGATCCGATCACTAACAGCAAGGGCTTTGGGGATACTCGTGCCTCATTTGGCAAATGACGCTAATACGATAAACAATTGTCGTCAAACTTTGAGTGCGCTCTTTGAGAATGCTGAAAAGCTGGTTGGGCCCGAGCTCAATGCAGCAGAGGGAGGACTACTAGCATATAGCTATGTTTGCTCGCGCAGCGTCTATTATGGTCAGCCCGTGCCTGAAGACATCCAATATCCTCTTCACCTTCTCACAGGAGAGAATGTTTCCTTCTCTCTTTATGACACTGCATTAGAGGCTTTCGCCCAGCTGTGGACCGCAGGCCTTGCTATTCCACAGCGCGAAGGAGATCATCCCCTCGAGACAGTTGTCAGCAAGCTTGTTACCCCAGCGAAGAAGGGCAATGAGAAGGCCATTCTTGCTCTTGGAAGATTGGCAGCGGGACTGGATCAGAATGAAGAAACTGCAGAAGATGGTTGGTCAAATGGAATCATCGGCAATATCCTCAAAGAACTATTCGCCTTGCACGAGATCAAGCAAGTCGAGGTCCAGTTTACTGTAGGAGATGCAATCACTGCAACTCTAGCACGATGGGAGTCTGACTATGTCAAGCTGACTCTTGATGTTGAACCTCGCAGCTGTCTCCAGAAGCGCAACGGTTCACGTGGTCCACTTCTCACTGCTGTTCTCAACAAGATCTTTTCAGACTGCAAAGCTACGAAGCCATCTCTACTCAAGGCGTCTGGAATCTGGCTATTCTGCATTGTCCAGTACTGTTCTCACTTGGAAGAGGTGCAGTCAAGACTACGTGAGACTCAAGCTTCTTTCATGAGGCTTCTCAGCGCACGTGATGAGCTTGTACAAGAGACTGCTTCCCGCGGTTTGTCTTTGGTCTACGAACGTGGTGATGCAGACCTCAAGAGTGCTCTTGTCAAAGATCTCGTCTCTGCATTCACAGGCACAGGCACCCAGCTCAAAGTTGATCAAGAGACAGAACTGTTCGAGCCTGGTGCACTGCCAACTGGGGAGGGCAGTTCCATCACCTCTTACAAGGACATTGTCAACCTTGCTAATGAAGTTGGCGACCAGAGACTGGTGTACAAGTTTATGTCACTTGCTGCAAACGCTGCAACTTGGTCGACCCGTTCTGCGTTTGGTCGTTTCGGACTCAGCAACATCCTATCAGAATCGGAAGTTGACCCGAAACTGTACCCCAAGCTTTACCGTTACCGATTCGACCCAAACCAAAATGTCCAAAAATCCATGGACGACATCTGGAAAGCACTCGTCAAAGATGCAGGAGCTGTTCTTAGCACACACTTTGACGACATTCTGGACGATCTGCTTAAGAGTATTCTAGGACGTGAATGGCGTATGCGGGAAGCAAGTTGTGCGGCCGTTTCTGAACTGATCCAAGGACAGCCATTCATTAAATACGAGAAGCGATATCGAGATATCTGGACGTCAGCCTTAAAGGTGCTTGACGATGTCAAAGGCTCTGTTCGAGAGGCTGCATTCAAATTGTGCCGAACCCTGTCCAATACTCTTGTACGTCAACTTGAAGAGGGAACCAATGGATCCTCTGCTCAATCGATGATGA